AAGTTGAAAACTCAATGGATAGTGTTTTAATAACAGATTAGTCACAAAATGAAAAAAATTACTGAATACAGAACGCGGAATAAGCACAAAAATACAGAAAATATGAAGAGAGAATGAAGAATTAACACATAAAGTTGGATATGGTGGTGCACGCCTGTAATTCCAGCATTTGTGAGTCTGAGGCAGGAGGAACGCTGTGAGACTTTGGCCAGCCTGGGCTACAAAGTGAGTTCAAGGTCAGCCTCGCAGCACAGAGCCTGCCTGGGAAGCATGAGATCCTGAGTTCGATTTCCAGTACCAAAACAAAACTAAACAAAACAAAAAGAATGAACACATCCCAACTTCCAGAATGAGAATCAAGCGAAAATCAGCTAAGTTCCACTTTCAACTGAAGGATGTAAAATACTGCATGCTCATTCTCCAGCCAACATCAAGCAAAATATAAACAACCTACAGAATCATAACCTTTTAATCCTTTTAGTTTATCAGTCCAGGTGTACAGTACATAATGCTTAGTCCTTGTGGGAAGTTGGTGCATGTACATGGCACATCTTAATTCTTTTTCTCATCCCTTTTCCTTTCCTTCCTGCCCACTTCACCCATCCCTCGCCTCCCTTCCTCTTTTTAATTCATGTTTGCAGCATGTGTTTACATTCCTTGTGTGGAGCACACAGCACATCCCGATTCCTTTTTTTTTAATCCTTCATCCCTTCCCTCTGCCCCGCTCACTCCATCTCTTGATCCGCTTCCCCTTTAGGAATGATCTCTCTCTGCTTCCTATTATCTATCCTTTATTTTACTCTTATTCTGAGTTACATGAATATGAGAAATAATGCAATATTTAAGCGTATGTCTGACTTAGTTCACTTAAGATTATGGTCTCAAGGTGCACTCATTATAAGCTGGACATGGTCGCACACTCCTGTAATCCCAGTGCTCAAGGGGCTGAGGCATAAGGATCACCACAAGTTTGAGGCCAGCCTGGGCTACAAAGTGAGTTCAAGGCCAGCCTGGCCTGCACAGCAAAACCCTCTCTCAAAATACAAAACAAAACAAAAAAGGTGCATTCATTTTCCTATAAATGACTCAAATTTGTCTTTATGGCACAGTGGTACTACTGCATACTGTAAGTACATTTTCTTTATCCACACAGGCTGCTTCCAACATTTAGCTTTTATGAATTAACACCACTATTATTATAAACCATGGGCATGAATGTATCACTGTAATATGAAATGTTTTGGAAAGATATTCAAGGAATAGCTGGATCAAATAGTATTTCAGAGTGTACTAGTTTACATTCCTATGAACAGTGTAGAAGGGCTTTTTCCCCAACAGCCTCTCCAGCATTTGTAATTATTTTTGATTCTTGATCATGGTCATTGTTTGTGGACTAAGGCAGAATTTCAGTATTATTTTAATTCGTATTTCTCCAATGACCAAAGAGGTTGAACATTTTTTCATGTATTTACTGGTCATTTGTATTTCTTCTGTGAAGTTTTGATTCATTTTGCTTGCTGATTTTTTGATTGGGTCTTTTATTTTGGAGGGGTCTAATTTTTTTTTTTTTAGTTCTTTATATATTCTAGATATGAGTCTTCTGTCTGAGGAACTGCTGGCAAAAATTTTTCCCCATTCTGCAGATTACCTTTTCACCCAGTTATTTCTCTCGCTGTGCAAAAGCTTTGTAATTTAGTATGATTACCTTTGTTGATTCTTGGAACTATTTTCTGTACAACTGACGTTCTGTGCAAAAAATCTTTGCTTACACTGATGATTTCAAGAATTGTACCTATCTTGTCTTCCAGCAAGTTAAATGTTTCTGACTTAACATTTAGTTCTTTGATTCATTTTGAAAATCGTAACTTTTTTTGAGCCCATCACAAACCTGAAGTCACAAGTCAACCAAGTAAATTAAAAGTTTTACCCTCGGGGCTGGGGATTTAGCTCAGTGGCATAAAAGCCTGCCTTGCAAGTGTGTGGTCGTGAGTTTGATCCCCGGTACCAATAAAAAAGAAAAAGACAAAAAAAAAAAGTTACCCTCACAGAAGAGGCAGGACACATAAGTAGATCACCTTAGGGTATACACAAAGGACAGAAAAACCCATATACAGGTACACAGTAAGCAATCAGGTAATTTTTGGTATATTCTTTTTGTTTGGGTGGCTTTCTTCGTTAGTTGAGGCAAGGTCTCTCTAGGTAGCCGTGGTTGGGCTTGAACTTTCAATCCTCCTGACTCAGCCTCTCCAGTGATGGGATTATAGGCATAAATCACAATGACTAGCTGGTTTTGACAATTTGTAAAGGCTATGTGTTTAGTAATTTGGATGAGACACACACAATGCACCACACCAAAAAATTAGGTTCATGGCAGAAGTCCAACAGAATCTCCTTTAGTAGTGTAAGTGTGCAGAATGTGACCAGCTGCTGCTGCAGTGCAGGCATAACGCCCAAACTCTTTGTCAGAAGCAAAAAGATGCAAGTTACTGGAGGAGAGACAGCAAAGCAATGGAAAAAACCCACTGCCTCCACAGGACAAGTAGAAGGTCAACCCATCTCACTTCGGCGGACAGCAACAATCCTGCTGCCAAGAGAGCATCCACTGCCTCTGCAAGAGGGCAGAGTGAAAAGCCTTTGTCCACGGGATAGGAGGAGCCCTCAGTAACCCCAGACAAAGGGCTGCTTCCTCTGCTGGAGGGAGAAGGAGCTCTCCCCCTCAAGACCAAACACAGACACAGGTCACACACTGGGGAGCAGGCTACTGACAAAGGCCTACAACTGAGGCACAGTTCGCAGGGTCTACTGATTGCTACCGACACACCATGGCCTGTGTCATGTCGGTATTCCTACCATAGGCCTAGCACCAGGTTCCAATCACCTACAGGCTGCTGGAGCAAGACTGCCTCTGAGTCGGCCTTTAGACACGGAACAGCCAAAATGTGGGCAAGAAAAATTAACAGAAAGATTTGAAGGCAGTCTCCTAACATACACACACCACTCACACCACACAGTACACTGACGCAGAGAAACACAGATAACTACAGCAGAAGTTTTGCCATAAATGACACAATCCACAAGTTTTCTCTTTCTCTCTCTCTCTCTCTCTCTCTGTCTCTCTGTCTCTCTGTCTCTCTCTCTCTCTTTTGGTGCTGGAGCTTGAATGCAGGGCCTTTACACTGAGCTACATCTTAGTCCACATTCAACATTCATATGTATGTGGGTGTATGTATATAAGTGTGTATATATATTCATATGTATCTCTAAAACATATATTTTTATATATCTCTAAAATGTATGTGTGTCTATACACACACACACACACACACACACACACACACACACACACAGATACACACACACACACATATTTTAGAGACAGGGTCTTGCTTAAATAGCTAAATAGCCCAGGATGGGTTAGAATTTGCAATCCTCCTGCCTCAGCCTCTAAGAGTTCTGGGATTACAATGTACACTTAACATGCCCCAGTAAAAAGGCTCTCTTTTAAAGATCTGAAAGAGGGGCTGGGGATTTAGCTCAGTGGCTTAAGCGCCTGCCTGGCAAGCTTGAGGTTATGAGTTTGACCCCAGCACAAAAAAAAAAAAAAAAAAAGAAAAAAGAAATGAGATGGTCAATAGCATTTAGAAAAGCTGCCAACCAGAATTCTACAACCAGCAAATGTACCTTTCAAAAAAATGATGACTTGGGCTGGGGATTTAGCTCAGCGGCATAAAGCGCCTGCCTTGTAAGCAGGCAGTTGTGAGTTCGATCCCTGATACCAATAAAAAGGAAAAAGACCAAAAAAAAAAAAAAAAATGATGACTTTTCAGAGAAATAAAGGCTGATAGGATTCATTACAATAGACCAGCACAATAAAAAGGAAGTTCTTTGAATATAAGAAAAAATGAATATACAGCACTTAGAAATATGAATTAACAAAGCAATGAAGAATAATGGATGTGGTAAATAAATATATATGTATGAATTTTTATTTAGAAATGCTTTAAAAATAAATGGCTAAAGCAAAAATAGTAATGCAGTGAGACATATATATTAAAAGCTGTGTGCCAACGGTAGCACCATGTAGAGAGAGACCCAGAGAGCATACTGCTGGTCTTCTAAGGGAAGTGCTTAGCCGTTTTGGGGAAGGACAGTTAGGGCAGAGAGAGAGCCAATGAAACAGTAAGCAATTTCCAAAAATTATAGACATCAATCTTCAGTTTGAAAACCAGATCAGCAGTGGAAAACTAAATATAAGCTCACATTTAGAATAATGTATTTAAATTGCGTAATAGCAGAGACAAAGAAGAAAGAAATTAAAAAACAAAGCCGCAGCGGCAACTTGTACAGAGTCTGGACTTTTGACCTGTGTGCACTTTCTTTTCTAAAATACTCCACAAAGCAAGAACCTGGTCTAGAGTACTCCAGAGCCTGAGATCAAATGTTTACTAAGTAACGGAAATGCCCACTGGTTTAGGGGACAGAAGCCCCACTCTTCTTCCCATGTAATTTCTACTTGCACAGCAGGGTGTGGGCAGAAGGCCCCATGAGCTCTGCGCTATACCATGGTCCTGGTTTTCCCTGGGCCCAAGAGCTCCTTGCTAGTTCACTGGGTTCACTATTCAGAAACTACTCCGGGACAATCAGATTCCCAATATATGCGTCAACAGGAACTCTAGCACGTCAGCCAGTCGTGATTTCACATTCATTTCTGTAATTATTTAACTCCATCTGACTTCTCCAGTAACCGATAAATTCCATGAAGACTGAGTATTATATGTTTTTCTCACATTCACTTTCAATGCCCCGCACACAATGAACATAATAAAATAAATACACGCTGAATGAGTCACACATAGGAAATATGGGTTTAAATATGAGCCACAGTAATGGTTCTATGTTTTTAGAGAAGATATTTTTACCTATTAAGGAAAAAAAAGGGTAAAAATAAAAATGCAGAGTAAATATGTTCCCTAGAATAATAAATTTGGACAATAACTTACCTAGACACAAATTCACTTAGTTCTGAGTATTCGGTGGGCTCCATTACTATGCCAAGGTCAGTAATCACAGAAGAAATATTCTCCTTACTCTAAAGGTGAAAAAAAAAAAAACAAAAAACTATGTGTCATAGCAATGTAACTTTTAAAATAAAGTGACAAAAATATTTTAAGTTATATGAAATGAAATGTCACAAAACAAGAAATGATACTGAAAGTATTGGTTTCTAAAACAATGAGGTCAGCTCCTTACTCCACACTAAAACCCAAAATGAACTCCAAATATATTACTTTCTTAAGCATTGGAATCATAAAATACTAGAAGGAAATATAATTTAACTGATGACTACATCAAGAAAAAAACTTTTAAACAATTAGAAAAAATTGCAAAAATATTTATATAAAAATTCATAAGCATGACAATGAAAACTGAAAAAAGGCACAAAATTTAGCAGTGAAAAATGTTGATTTACCTATAAAAATTTCTGTTCAATTGTAATAAGATAAATGCAAATTTAAACAGTTAAGTGAGATTTTATCCACGAGCAAAGGTTTTAAAACGTTACTGTTGGAGCCAGGTGTGGTGATACACACAGGTAACCTTAACTACCAGGACACAGAGACAGGAAGATCACAAATTCACAACCAGCCTGGCAACTTAATGACAGCTGGTTTCTAAAAAACTCTTTTTTTTTAAGAGACAGGGTCTCACTATATTGCCCAGGCTGGAGTGCAGTGGCTATTCACAGGCACGATCCCACTACTGATCAGCACGGGAGTTTTGACCTGCTCCGTTTCCGACCTGGGCCGGTTCACCCCTCCTTAGGCAACCTGGTGGTCCCCCGCGCCCGGGAGATCACCATATTGATGCTGAACTTAGTGTAGACACCCAATGGCATAGCGCACTGCAGCCCAGAACTCCTGGACTCAAGCGATCCTCCCATCTCAGCCTCCCGAGTAGCTGGGACTACAGGCATGCACCACCACGCCCGGCTAAAAAACTCTTTAAAAAGAGCGGGGCTGTGTAGCTCAGTGGTAGAGAGCCTCTGGGTTCCCTAATTTCTACCCAATCCCCAGAAAAAATTATAACTGGCAAATACACACTCAATTAAAGCTGATGTGACATCACTTGACAATGCATACTCATAAAATATTTCATAAAGTATTCATCTTCTCTGCCCCAGGAATATGCCTTCTAAGAATTTACACAAAATAATAAGAAATAAATGCAAAGACTTACGAATAAAGATACTCGTAACAGTGTTACTTATCACAAAACATCAGAAACAATTCTATACCCAATAATAAGGATTATTTCATCTGCAAGCTCAAGTAGATATATTTTTTTTGAGTCAGGATTTCCCTATCAGTTCAGGCTGGCCTCAAACTTGTAAAGATTCTCCTGCCTCAGAGTCCTGAGTGCTGAGATTCATTTTCTTAACTTCCTTTGTTTTTATGCCATTGTTTTTTCTATGCTTTTAAATTTTAGGCCCCTTTATCCAATATAATAAAAGAGCTTTGTGCCACGTTTGCACTTTGACTGCTAGGGCTCTTATTATTTGTTAGGGTAGTAAATCTAAATATTTGTGGCATTTCCTAAGACTAGGCTAGGTGGGTGCTGCTTGACTCTCTTCTGTATTTGTCTGGACAGCAGCTGGCACATCTGCTTACATCCACGACATCCACGCTGTTGAAGAATGGGACTGATGGTTTAAGTATAACCTTTATTTAGTTTTTCATCTGCTTGAGGATATAGTAGGAATTGGTATTCTCACAAATGAATTTTTAAAAAGATAAATAACTCAATTAAAAGCTAGGGAAAGGATCTGCAGAGACATTTTTTCCAAATATATACAAATTGCAGTAAGCACAGGAAACGATGCACAACATCAGACATCATCTAGTAGTCTAATTCCTCTCCAAGTTGTATTTCCAAGAAAAGCAAACACATATGTCTGCTTAAAAACTTATTCATGAATTTTCATAGTACCATTACTCGTAACAGCTCCAGAAAATAATTCCCATCGATTAATGGAATGGGTAAAGGGAATGGAATATATGCACTCAATGAAATTTCTTTCAGCACAAAAGTTAGTGACACATGCTACCCGTGGATTTAGCTGGAAAACACTGTAAGACGAAGAAGCCAGACTCAAGACACTATGTTAATAGGAGTCCATTCGTACAAAACATCTAAAATAAGAAAATGCACAGAGAGGAAACTGATCAGTTGTTGCTTAGGGCTGAGTAAAGGGACAGAGGGGTAATAGGAAAGGAAGAAAAGAAAGAAAGAAAAGAGAACAAAACTCCCAGAGGCATGCCTTATTCCTGATTTGAGCACGTGTGTGTATGTGCTAGATTTTGGCCTTTCACTCACTGGGACAGGTTTACTGGCCTCTCTTTTCTTCTCCTTTTTTAGGCTGCAGATTCTGCTTAGCCACTGGAAAGCTGACTTCAAGATGCAGGGGTCTTTTTAATTTCTCTTGTAAGGGGCCGCTAACCTGGTTACTGCTCTCTAGTTGGTAAACAGGAAGGGACCTGACCTCCAAGTGCCCAGAGGAGTCTCAGCAGTGCACATTTTTCTACTACGGTTATGAGCCCATGGAGCTCATTCTTCTCCACAACTTGAGGATTGTTGGTAGCACTCTTTAAAAAAAGGGTCTCATTAGCTTTGTAAAATTTACATCCCCTTCATGAAGCATCCTGTGTTGAGTTTCAGTGCTTTGGGTCGAATGTCCTAACAACCAGCATTTTTTTGATGCCTTTGAAATGGAAATGCATTCTCTTCACTTAAAAAAAAAAGTCCCTATTTTTCAGTCTTTTATTCATTCTGCTGGGCTTCAGGGAAAAGAGTTATACAATCATACTTAATCTGCCACATTTCCCAAACACTCCCACGTGCCTGCCTTACTGTGCGGCAGGGACTATGGAAGGCTGATATGATGCATGTGGATCCCGAAGGCCTTGCAGTCCGTCACACACACAGTGCTGACAACACCAGACAGGACGGTTAAGGGAGAGAGGTCGGTACCAACACAGATTATCATTCATAATCTGTGTAGGTCTCCCTATAACACAATCCTCCCGCCAGGCACCCTGTAATCCCAGCACTCGGGAGGCTGAGGCAGGAGGGTCACTGAGAATTCCAGGCCAGCCCGGACTACAAAGCAAGTTCAAGGCCAGCTCCAAATACATAGTGAAAATCCATTTCAAAAAGACAAACAAACAAAAAATTCAGGTTACTTTTGATTCTAACATTCCACTAATCTGACTTTAGGTCACATGGTTCAAATAGTGTAGTATTAATAAGATTTTATTATTGAATAGCAATCATTTATAATATTCTACAGTGAGAGTTTCATTATTTAGGTTAGTGTAGTTTTTCTGGCAGCTAAACATCTCCCTCTAGTGGAAAGTTTGATTTTAGAAAATGAGACCATGGAAGAATGATTGTCTCCATGTTTTCCTATCAGTTTTGACAGTAAAGAAAAACAAATGCTCAGTGTGTAAAATGAAAACCATTTAGAAAACTATCACCCATCAGAATTCATCCCTACAATTTCTGTGACCTAGCAGTTCTACTAGAGACACTTACAGATAGTGCTAGGATATGGTAGGATTTACCACTAAGTAGTAAAATTTCATCCACCTGTTACATCAGAATTCTAGGAAAAACAAGAAAATCCTTGGTTCCTTTCCTTTCTAAGCAGAACCTCATGGAGACTCCCACACGCCAGATCCCTAAACCCTTGCAGGTTCCACAGCTGCCTACGGTTGTGAAGTGAGGCAAAAGCTCACGAGGAATTCTGTCACCACCTCACCTGACTTCAGCCTGCCCAGACTAGGAACAGTGACCGGTACCCTAAACTGCCAACGCACCAGGCCCAGACACCCGGACCCTGTCCTTCAAACTTGCCAGGAGGCAGCTGTGTGACTTTTGAGCGGGCGCCGACTTCCTGACCAGCGCCTGCTCTAATCCAAAGGTGACAGCTTGAGGGTGCTTGTGTGGCTGAGGTCCCTGGCAACCAGAAGGAGGAATCCTGGCCCCCTACCCTGAGCAATGGAGGCGGCCTGTCCACAGGATGATGGTGACACTTCTCTACATCCACCATACTGATCTGATGAGCTGAGGCCGGGGTAGCTTTCCAGGCCTGTTCTGCTCTTCCCTTTGTACGCACTCCCTAGAAGCTCTGCTGGCAAAGCAAAGTGGCTGAACCTGCTTTCTGAGAGCAAAGCACACGACCCTTCCAGGCCTCAAAACAATGCCTGGACCCGGGCCCCCTCCATGCCAGCTTCGAAGGTTCCGCAGCTTGTTCCGCCCTATCCTGATGAGCGGGGCTATGCATTGCCACTCTGCCTGCCTCCTGACTGTGCAGGAAAGGCTTAGCCAAGGTACCCCCTCCTCGTGCTGGGCCTCAGCCAGCACGTCTCGGGGCTCATCTGGTCCCGGACAGTGTCACCTGGCTGTGTCGTCAGGTGATCAGGACCTCATGAGAGTCCTGAGCGAGAACATGCAAGTGAGTGGGGAATTTTGTTGTTGTTCCACTACGCTAAACGCTGAAGGAATCTGTTAAGCAGATGTTTAGCAGAGAACAGATGGCTGGCTCATCAGCTCCATTCCAGCTCTCAAAACAACAGCCCACTAGGAAGACAGCGTCACCCAAAAAACAACACACAAAGGCGAGATAGCTCCCTGCCAAGGCCCAAGGCCTCCGGATTCAAGCTCTAGTACTGCAACATAGAACGTTAATTTAATTAAATTATGGCCTCAGCAACAACCTTACTTCACACAGTTGCTAAGGTGTTTTTCTTTACATTTTTTAAATGGTACAAATGTACCACATGGGAGCCTTGGCTCATGAGCTCCTCCTCAGCTCAGCTGCTGCCTGACACTGTGGGATGAGAACTGTTTATCTCACAGAAAAAATATCTCTGTTATCACAACATGCGCCTTAATTTACCTGAGTTTCCACAATCTGAAATTCAAGTTGAAATGTAATTATGTGGCAATTTCCTGATATCCTGTGTCTCTGAAGAACTTTCTTTACACCTGTAAATTAGAAAAACATTTTATTTGCAAAGAACAATTTTCTTTAAATACCATTTAGTTTCGTGTAATTATCTACATGTCTATAGAGGGATGAAAGTGTGTATTTTTATTTATTTATTTTTTGGTCTTTTTGAGACAGGGTCTTGATAACGTGATTCAAGCTGGCTTCAGACTTTGTAGCCCACGCTGGCCTGAACTGCCTGCCTCAGCCTCCCAAGTGCTGGGATTACAGGAGTGGACCACCATGCCCAGTGTGTACTTTTAATTCCATTAAAAAATATGGATATATGTGTACCAAATATCCTTACAAAATGGGATTAATGAGAATTTATACTTTCTAGTTCTCAATTATACTACAAGTTAAGGTTAGAAACAGAAATACCAGTATAATCCTAGGTAAGTTTAAATCGTGTTAATTGTTAATTCTTGAGTATTTCTGTTTTTTTCAACATTATCTAGTTCTTATTTGTATGGATTCAGTTTGACATGATAGCAGCTATCTTGAGGTATAATTACCATTAACACACCAGAGTAATCCTGCTAGGTCTTTCATTTGTATTTTCAAAAAAAAAAAAAACCAACAAAAAACACTATAACTAATCAACCATTAAAAATGGAGCTGGCTCCCAGGATGCACTTGACTCTCAGATAATATCTTTTTTGCATGAGGATCGAACCCTGAGCTACATCTCTACCCATGTTTATTTTACTTTTTGATTTTTACTTATGAGACAGGTTCTTGCTAAGTCACTAAATTGGAGAAACACCTACATAGTGAGTTCAAGGGCAGCTTGGACTACAGACCAAGATCCTAGCTCAAAAAACCAACCAAACAAAAAAACTGACCAAACTTTGAACCTGTTAGCCTTCTGCCTCGATCTCCCAAGGTGCTAGGATTAGGGCATGTTCCAAGTATATTTTGGCTAGGATAAAATCACTTTCCTCCTAACTATTAAATATGCTCTTCTTTGAACCCAAACTAGGGATCATATCAGTTTCTCTGCAGTCCACAACCACGCTTCAGTTAGTATGACCACTGTGTACAACACTAGATCTGTCAAGCTCTGCTGTAGTCATGGGCTACAAGGAGAATAATTACATACAGGATACAAATTTATAATATTATCTTATGATAGTTACTCGGAGTTAAATACCAGAAAGGGCAGGAAATCTGTCCAAACACTAAAGACCCAAGGAAACCCAGCTGAGGGCCTGGATCCCACAGCAACCTCCTACATGAATCCAGCTAAAGACCTAGAGCCCGTGACAATGCCTCCCACAAGTCCAACTGGAGGCCTAGAGCCCACGACAATGACAATGATCCATTTCATGGATCTGCGCTGGGAAGGCCAAAGGTCAGCAGTGGAAGCCAGAAAGTCTGTATCAGCAGGGTGAAGGATCTGTGCCAGTGGGTTGAGGGTTCTACACTGGAGCCAAGAAATGATGCTCAAAATAAGGACCAAGGGGCTGGGGATTTAGCTCAGCGGTGTAAGCATCTGCCTTGCAAGCGCATGATCATGAGTTTGATTCCTAGTTACCAATTAAAAAAAAAAGGACCAGGACTCCCTTGAAAAGCACCACAGCCATCCTCAGTGACAATGAGGCCCCAAGTTCTCAGAGAGCATTATTGCGAGTCTGAGGCCAGTCTGTGCTACATAGTGAGACAAAAACAAAAATAAAATGCCCTCTGAAGTTCATACTTCATCTTTTAATGCAAATCTCTACCTATGTAACCACTACCCTAATCCAGATACAGACACCTATCAAGCCCTGTAGGGTCCCTCATGTCCTCACCTAGGCCACTGCTTGTCTCCTAAGAGATCAGCACTATTCTAACTTTATGTGGGATCCAGTTTTGCTAATGAAGCTATTTTTATAAGAGTACAATTCTATAAGAGTAAAGAGAATAATAAGAGCAACCTAATTTCAGGAGCTGGGGATCAGGTGAAACAGATACTCTAGTATGCGGACAAGAAGAAATCACCTGATAGACCAAGGAAAACTGACACCTAAACCAGCAACGAGGAAAGGCCAAGAACTAGCCCATTTACACAGCAGAATATAGATGGCATTCTGACTCAGCAGCACCAGGTGACTCCATATACCAGGGAAACACGGGGCTCAACACAGAAAGACAAAGTAAAGATCTGTTCAATATACAGTTAACGAGACAAGACAGACGGCACAAGCGGATGCCATTTGTCTCCTAGTGATATGTACTGGGCTACAGAAAAGAACAAACACCATCATACTGTTCTCCTGCCAAAACTGTAGATACCTTGAAACTTTTCAAAAGGGATCTATGGATGGGGCGGGAATGGGGAACCAGACTAAAGGGCAATCCATAAAATAGCCTTCAAAAATGTCAGTGACACAAAAGACAAAGAAAGGTTGACCAGATTAAAGGAAACAAAAGAGACATGGCAGCTAAATGCAATGTGGGTTCAATCTGGAAGCTGTCAGTTCTTCCTAACTTGATCTATTGCTGTTGCTATCTAATTGAAACCTGGGCAAGTTACTTTGTAGACAACGGACTGTCAAATTTAAGTGAAAAGGCCAGTCTGAACTGTATAGTAAGACCCCGTCTCAAAAAACAAAAAGAGGGGCTGGGGATTTAGCTCAGTGGCATAAACTCCTGCCTTGCAAGCATGTGGTAGTGGGTTCGATCCCTGGTACTGGTAAAAATACAAAAAAAAAAAAAAAAAAAAAAAAAGAACATACTTTGAAAGCTAGTGAGAACAAAATAATAAAAATTATAAAAGTATTGCTATTACTTTGTAGTCACACTTAACTTTGGACTTCAAACTCCTTACTAAGTTTATAAGCCAATTCTTAAGAAAACAAAATTGAGAATATTTAAAGAAATCATCATGAGCACTAAAGAAAATTCCAAAAGAGTTCTGAAAACACTTAAAGTGGTAACAGTTTGTTTGTGTTTTTGTTGAGACAGGGTCTCACTACGTAGTCTAGGCTGACTTTAAACTCACTGTGGAGCCCAGGCTGGCCTCAAACTCACGCTGATCCTCCTGCCTCAATCTCCCAAGTGCTGGGATTACAGGCATGCACCACCACGCCTGGTGGTAACATTTTAAAATTGCAGTAAAGAATACATTCTTTAAACACAGCTACTTTGAAGAGAAGGAAGACCATTTGATTAACTAGCTTCTAATACATTCAATAATTTACAAGAACAGCGGTGGTGAACCTATGGCACGTATTACTGAGTTTTTAAGACAAGATCTTAATGGGTGAGTTGTTTTTCCTAAACGAAAACCTTCCTATTCGGGTTTAATTGCAGTGTCACAAGTCGGTCTCTCAAAGGTTCACCATCACAGCTACTAGAGGAACGATGTCTGGTCTAATAATGTCAGTGAAAGAAATAGTGACTTGAGACTTTTTTGGGGGAGACAGGCTTTTGCTATGCGGTGCAGGCTGGCCTTGAACCCACTATGTAGCTCACAGTGCTCCTCTTGACTCAGCCTCCTGATTGCTGGGATAACAGGCCTGCACCACCATGCCCAGCAATCAAACTGTTCCGTGTGTTTCCAACAGCAACTGACCAAGTGACTCAGCCAGTCAAGTACATATTTGTTGATTAAATAAAGATCTGACCATGTTATTGGGTCACTGAGTATACTCACTGAATCAAACTACTTTCCTCTCAATTTGCTCAGCAGATCTAAAACTGTCAAAATACAGTATTATTATAAATATCACTTTGTACTGGGTTCTACCCCTTGGGTTTAGAGGCCACCATTTACTTTTGCCTGGCAATGTTGTTCCTATGTAAAAAATAAAAAATACGACATTTGAAAAGTAATTTTCAATGACAGCATTTTTAGGCATTTTAAGCTGTGAAGCCTTCACATTTTGAGCTGTGAATCTGTGAATTCATGTTTCAGTTCTATTTCAGTTACAGTATTTTTCTTATGGGAAAAAAGAAATATTTAAAAAGCAGTGGTAACACAAGGCCCTGAACTTTCACATGGCTTACTCTGACTGGAACATTTCACATCTGAAGTCCACTTGTCTACTGACGTCAGACTACATCTCCTTTCTGTTCACAATACTTCTCCTCCAGTACTATTTCTCACATTAAATTACTTCAAAAACCACTTCAGGAAATTTGGGTTAAATTAGATTTGACTTCAAAATATTTCTTTTTTTAACATTTTATACTCACAGTGAAGCATCTCATCTATTATACAGTGACATTCTTGTCTCAAATTACCTATTCTGGCTACAGGTTGCCCTTAACCTCAATTTTATGCCTCAGCCTAAGTGCTAAGATTACAGGTGTGTGCTAACACACCCACCATATTTGTTCAGACTTTTATGCTCGTAAATTTTATACCTGGTCTATCCTCACTCTCTACATTTTTTTTAATTTCATCTTTTCAAGTAATTCAAGCCTTCAAATCCCATCACTATTTCCCTATATAATACAAAATCTGTATCTATACATAACACAAAATCTGCCCAAGACTTTCTGAGTTCCTTCTCCCTCTTCTTGTCTTAAGAGTTATTTCAGACGAAAAGTCTAAAAATAACCTCTACTTTATGGAGTGGTACCCTTGTCTAACCCAAGTTCTTTATATCCAATTGCAAGGCTGAATTAGTTTCCACATACCTGTTAGTACACCGTAAATCTTTGGCAATAAAACTGAAGGCACTAGGACCAGATACCTTCCTTCTGGCAAAAGCTTCAGCTGCTGAACATTTTTTTGGTCACAGACAGTGACAAGAACACAGCATTGTAGATGAGGCAACTTTTGTGTCAGTGATGAATTGTAGCATTCATAAAATCACAGTGCTGTTGTGCTGACAATCACTGGTCACATATTACTAGTATTTGACTCCTAAGGTACTTAAAGCCCGGGACCTTGTTCTGTTCCTTAATATTCACCTTAGGCAACTTTTATTAGGAGGAGTATTAACCCCAATGTAATGGTCAAAAGACACCTTAACACGATTTAATATGTTCATCACAATTACACTTTTAAATAGGGAGATTATAGAATTTTAATTCAAAATTATGACAGCCAATTTCCTATATATAATAAAGTAAGTTTCAAAACAACTTTTAGATTAAAAATAACGTAGCTAGGCACAATTAGGCATACGTATAATTCCCAGCTACTTGAGAGATTTAGGCAGGAAGACAGCAAGTGTGAGGGCAGCCTGGGAAATTTAGCAAGACCTTGTTTCAAAATAAAATTTTAAAAGGCTGAGTGCGGATTAGTGGCTGAGCTCTTGCCCAGCATGTGGGAAGCCTGGGTTCAATCCCCAGCGCCATCACCTCTAAGCAACAAGGATGACAGACTAAGAATGCCACAAGAGCCTACCTTCGTCTGTCATCTCAGCAGTAGTCAGATCCTCGGTCTTCTTCGAGTAATCCGTTATAGTGAAGCCAGTAAGCATGCTCAGAAACGAAAGTTCTGATTCTAAATGTCTCAGCTGATTTCTTGGGTCTTTCGAAGATTCCTGTCCTGCCGAATCTGACTGGTGTATCTCCTGAAGCGATTGTCTAAAAAAGCAAATATCAGAAAGTTCTTGCAATTACTCACAAGCATCTCACTTAGTACCTCAATTTCCACAAACTATTTCCCTTGTTCTTAATCTATTCCCATTAAAACTACATAATAATTTTCTCAAAATCAATGTGGCTGTTAACATTATCTCCAATTTCAACAAAAAAAACCCAAATTATGTTACTGCATTTGCACATATTAGAAACATCTTTAAAGCAAATTAAAATAGGACTTTGCAAAATTGAAATGTTAGCTCTCACCCAAGAATTACCATTGTGAATATTTGATTTCCCAAGACATCAAGTAATTTTAAGAGGTCCTAAAAATAAAAAATGGAATTATCTTTCATTTCTTAAAAAAAAAGTGCATATCACAAAGTTATGCTAACAGATGTCTCAAGAAATCTAAGCATAAAGATTCACAGGAATAAGAAACAGCAAAATCTCTTTAAACAACCCTATACCCAGGTATTCTTCAATGAGACCATGTAACTTTACTGTACTTGGAAAAAAGAACTTTAGCTAATAATTGCATTGGATTTCTTGTACTTTTTGTCGTTATTTCTTCAAACTCTCTGCTGTATTTCTGCTATCTTAAAACATTTCTTGGATTCTAGGTATTGTTGTAGCTTGGCATAAGAGATGCCATCTTGAGCCCTGCATTGAACTAGTGCCCTGTATTTGACCCAAGAGAATGGAAAGTTACTCAGGGTATAAGTCCTATGAGAAAAGCAGAATGAGCTGTACCCACAAGAGAAAAATAAACCTGCTCAACAGAAAAAGCAAGATACAGGTGTCAACCAAAAATTAATGTAAGATTCTAGCTAAATTGTTTCCAACAGGATGTCTTTTGTGATTCTCTTTTAAAAACTCTGTAACTTTCCACTTCTGGCCACTTTTTTGGACTCTGAAACCCTCTAGGTGGCAGTGGGATAGGCGGGGTGTCTGTATATAAGTGGTCCTGAGCTCAGCTAATTAAATTCCAAATGTATCAATCTGGCTCCTTGGATTCCTATATTGTCTTTCACGAACCCACCTTGGGCATGACTATTCTGATTGTCATATTACATCTTGGACTCACTAAAATCTGATTCTTGTCACTAATGTTAGGGAAGTTCCTAAAGTTCTTGGCGTAGCTGTACTAATTATGTATTCTTTTGTCCCAAACCAGTACTCACTGATTAGCTCAGCTCTTTCATGCTACTAACTCCTAAAATATGCTTATTACCTTTCTCTCTCTTCTTACAAGGTAGGATATTCCACAAATGTTTCTTTTTTCTTTTTCTTTTTTTTTTCTTTCTTTTTTTTTCTTTCTTTTTTTTTTTTTTTTTTGAGGTAGGTCTCATTGTAGTTCAGCCAGGTCTTGAACTCACAGCAATTCTCCAGCCTCAGCCTCCCACGTGCTGGGGTTACAGGTGTGTGGCACCAATACAAAATATTTTCTTTCACTGGCCTGATATCTGAACATACTATAATTCTTTCTGCACTCTCAAAAAACTCCTCTTCCACAATATTAGCCAACACTCTATGGCCTTATATAGCATGTCTTTAAGAAACCTCTAATGCTATATTTACACTGAGGATAGAAGATCTGTATAAACCCTGAAATTTTTTTTCTATTTTGTTTTAATGCCAATTTTAAATATTAACAGTTATATTCTGTATCACCTGAAACTCTCTTGCATTTTCCGTCATGTATGCTAAAAAACTTTAAATATAGAAAACCAAAACAAACAAACAAATAAAAGAAAATCAATTTTTTTAAAATTTTATTTAAGGAGAAAAAAAAAAGCAGAAAAAGGGTACAAGTTATACAGAATTTCAGAAAAAAAATAAACAGTAGGAAATCACTACTTAATGGATTACATATTGTCATCTTAGAAATATTTGTTCAAGTTACAAAATTAAAGCATATAAAGTGGACATTCAAACAGTGAGACTGCAAACAGTTCTGTTCAATGATCCAACAAAACTCAGTAATATCATTGTCTATCTTATACACTTAAATATACATGCAGTTATATCATTTAGAGCACTTTCTTTTCCTCTCTTTCGTACAATGACTATTACACTTAAGAAAACCAATTTTTAAAAAAGCAATCTTCAAACATAAGTGATTGCTACCAAGAGAATGCAAAATGTCACAACAAGCTACGAACGAGGACTTCAGATATTTCCACACTGCAAAGTGCTAAGGGAACCAAGTTATCACAGTAAAGAATATGGAAAAATTCAAATGAGAACCCATAGCCAGCAGTACAGAAGTGGTCTAACACTGGGTATAGAGTCTCAGTCTGGGATAATGAAAATTTTCTGGAGATGGGTAGTGGTACTGCTATACAATAGGACTGTTTAGTAGCACTAAACTATACACTTAAAAAGGATTAAATAGTAAACATTATGATATACATAACCTATCATATATGCAAAGCAGGAGCCACGTATTCTTACAGAAATTACTTACTTGAGCAAAGTATCATTGTTCTATTTCAACTAATAACTGATGTGTGGCTAGCTTGAATTTTATTAGTTTTGGAATTCTATTTGCAAATCTTCTGCGTTTAATTTTTGTTTCCCTTTGAAAATGAATCCATATAAGGATTGAGTTTAAAAGTCAATGATTGCTAATGATTACAATGATTGCTGAGAACATCTATAGTCAATAAATTAATAAATTTATTAATATTAATAAGTTACTAGGGCTGGGGATTTAGCTCAGCGGCATAAGCGCCTGCCTTTCAAGCAGGCAGTCGTGAGTTCGATCCCTGATACCGATAAAAATGAAAAAGACCAAAAAAAAAAAAAAATAAATCACTTGTGGAGGCACACAGACGTGACTTGTTAACAGCTTATTCTACTTTAAAGAACAGTTAGCTTTGCCTTTAACAGTTACATCTTTCTCCACTTTCATGACCACACAGAACATCATGCAAGAATTTTTCTTTAGGGCTGGGGATTTAGCTCAGTGGCATAAGCACGTGCATCGTTAAGTGTGAAGCTGTGAGTTTGATCCCCAGTACCAAAAAAAAAATAAAAAAATAAAAAGAATTTTTCTTTAAACCTCTTCATCCTTTTACTACTCTTGTGCATTTGGCTGGGAAAAATCCCAATCTCTCTTGTATCTATAGCAAATTAGTCTTCTTTTTCATGGTACCGCATTTTGAATTGAACCCAGGGTGTAGCACAAGCACTCAGTCAGTGAACTGTATTCCCAGCCCTTTTAAAATTTTATTTATTTATGGTGGTACTGGGGATTGACCCCAGGGCCTTTGCACTGTGTTAAATCTCTCTTGCAGTTGGATGGGCCCAAGACAGTCCAGGTTCTTGTGTAAACCAAGGAAAGAATTGCCAAGCGTATACCTTGTGCTAAGTAGCTACATTTACTGAAGATCACAGGGTGGTAGCAGCTGGAACAATCAAAATGGCAAAGGGAAAAAGGAGGAGGAAAAGGAACTGAGGAGAAGAAAGGGACCTTCTATAATTCAGATGCCTCAAACTCCAGGTGCTTCCTATTTCGACTCTCACTGGTGTCCCTGATTTGCTGCGTCCAGCATGGAGACCTAAGCCTAAACATGGATAATCAATAGGGTTTATGTTTATAGTTCAAGGAAGGGAAGGGAGTGGCTCCCTCAATTTCCCTATTTTTAACTATACTGGACCACTTCTGATCCTTTTGGGGTGTGCTTTTTTTGAGATTGGGTCTCGCTGAATGCCCAGCCTGAGCTTGAATTTGTGGTCCTCCTGCTTTAGGCTTCAGAGTGGCTGGGTTTACAGGCCCACACTATCACTGGCTTCAAGTCAATCTTCATTGAAAAATTTTTTTAAAGACACGGTTTATGTTTTTAAGTGCCTTGCATGATTGAGGTGACACATCCTTGTTACATAATTAACTGCTCAGACATTTCTTTCTTCTTCAATCAAAGTAAGTGCCTGGACTTTGTAGCTAGACTTTTTCGGATTCTATTTGGGTTCTTACTCTTTCTTTCTCTACCTTGGGCAAATTCACTTCTCTGATTCGCCACATCCTTAAATTTAGAATGGGATTAACACCAACACCTGCCTCAGAGAGCTGTCAAATTCTACAGATGTATTAGCCATTTTTCTTCACATTTCTTTATGTAAGCTATTTTTCAAAGTAAAGTTTATATTACCCCAAATGAAAAATCAGTGTCAATTACCATGGCTAAGTAGCACACATAAAACAAAGGGCACGATTCGTTAACTCCGAATTGGGTACGGTTGCCTGTCGAATTTTCAGGCAAAACTTTCTCCTAAACAGGCACCGAGGAAAGAGGGAGCCTGCTAAGAAAAAGACTTTCTTGCGGCTCCGATCAGACGAGTTAGAGAGAACTCCACAGTGCTCACATCGCTGGGCCCTCATCATTTTATTTTCTGGAGGGGAAGGAAAGGGGACCCTGTCATTACGCTAGTCTGTTCCCGTCCTCATTTGGGGGCGCCTAGGGTTAAAACCTTCCCGCCTCTTGCATGCAGGGAGCCGCGTCCGCCCCGGGCCACCTACCGGATTCGGGACGCATGTTCCCAGGGCCCCGGCAGCTGCAGGCAGGTCTGCTGCAGCGCTGCGATCTCCGCCTGCAAGGCGCGCACCTCAGCCTGCTCTGCTTCCATCGCCGACCCTAGCCCGCAAGGGACCCTCCGCAGCCTCCTTCACCCAGGTCCTTGGACCCGGCTTTAAGTTGCGCGCGCCCTGCCGGCGCGACCATCACTGCGGTCCGTAGGGGAGGCCACTGAGCTTATGCGTAAACCCAGCGGCCCACAGCAGGCGCCCCACACTCGGATAAGATTCCGAGGCCTCGACGTCGCTCTTCAAGGTGCCACGTCTCCCTCTGAACATTTCCTACCTCTCCGAGGGTTGGTTCGTTCCAATCTGAATCCCAAACCCTCTGCCGCTCACCCCGGCGAGCGGCCATGGAGACGCCCCGATCACGTCACCCGGAACGTTGCTTTATTTTGCTTCCCCTTACTTGCCACTGCCTACCCAGTGGAGGAGACCAGAGACACGCGGCGGCTAGTCTCTTAAGTAGAAATTAGGGAATTTGGGTTTAGGCTCTTTTGCAGACTTTGCGGTGAAATTGTCGTAGGGTGGAGTACGAGGAACGAAATAAACTTTTGAGTAATGTGTTTGGCAACGGAACCTCGGGAGGTTGGGTTGCTGGTGGAGCAGGAAGAGAAAGAGAAGGCACCTGCTAGGACACGTGACCAGAAGACACAGATCTATTTGACGCAGGCTCGGAGAGGCGGCGTGGTGAGCACTGGGTTCGGGCATAGGCAGTGATGAGGCCCCTGGACTTGGCCTCGTTCTCTTCTTTGGGTTTTTTCTGAGGAAGAGGGTGGGGTGGTAGGTTCGAGATGGGAGCTACCAGGAAGGGGTACACTTTAATTCTCGTCCACACCACTCGGCTTGCATTGGGCGTCTGATGCTAGCTTGTGATCTCACTGGCTAAGAGCAGGCTGAGAGCTGAACGCCTGCAGGGTGATGAGAAATCTAAAGAATGTCAGACCTCAGTAGCTCTGGAAAACATTCCTGAGTCCCCTGTAATCCAACAGGATTGTTAACATCGTGGTAACAACTCCAGGATCTGAAATTAGATCAGTATTATCTATCGTAGCTATCATAATACCGCTTTTTGTGCTCGAACGCTATCATAATACTGCTTTTTGTGCTCGAACAGCACTTTGCAGTTTTATTGTCCTGTGATACTGTAATTGCAGGATTTGTTTACTACTCTTATGACGCTGGAGCTCCTAGAGTGGTGCTTTTCTCCTTTAGCATTAAGTGAAAAAAAAATAATAAAATGTGTGAACAAATAAACAGTCCTGGTGGTGCACACCTGTAATTCCAGCTACTTGGAAAGCTGACACACGTCAAATTCCAGCTCAAAATAAGGGCTGAGATGTATGTAGCTCAGTGCTAGAGTTCTTAGTGTGCACGAGACCCTGGGTTCAGTCCTCACTGCTAAAAAATGGAAACACCCAACACGGTGAATAAATAAATGAAAACAAGTAGTATATAAAGACTTAGAGGGGAAACCTCTGTTTATACCTGTGTCACCATGTGTGTGCTGGTGTGGTTCCATAATGCATTTAAAAAGAATATGGATGTTAGGGCCGGGAGTTTAGCTCAGCCGTGTAAGTGCTTGTTTGGCAAATGTGAGGTCATGAGTTTGATACCGGCACAAAAAAAAAAAAAAAAAAAAGAATGTGAGTGTAGGACTTGAGTAGTTTAAGGCATAGTATTGGAAACAATATAATAGGAAGTAAAATGGAACACCAGGAGACCAATTTAGTGCAGAACATTCAGGTTGTTACATGTAAAAAGAACCATGAGAAAGAACTCTTCCAAATACAGAAAATTATCTTCCTACTAGAACATGCCAAGTGCATGACCAGCTTTCATGAAAGCCAGCAGAGAAACAAAGCGCCTTTTTGTGGGTGGCCTTAGCCAAGCCATTTCTAAGACAGACCTGCAAAATCAGTTCAGCAGATTTGGAGAAGTTTCTGATGTGGAGATCATCACAAGAAAAGATGACCAAGGTAAGTTTATAATTGTCCACTGTGTGGTAACCCAAATGTTACAAAATAAAACAATTCCAGAGGTGAATGTTAATGTTGAGCAATGAAAGTGATATGTGATGTCTAGAAGCACTATGATGAAGAATTTGATCAAAAACAATTGCCGAAATAGGAAATCATCTAAAGCGTCTTATTTTATAACCAGTGTTTCCTTAACTGATTACCTGACATTTTCTTCTTACTCATTTTCTCTTGGAACATTCCCATATTCATGCTTAGAAAAATGTAATCTTAGCTTTTTGTGTTTGCATATACCTGTAATCCCAATAGAGGCAGGTAGTCAGACATGAGTGGTGGGAGGTGGTCTCTGAAGCTTTCATACAGTGCAGACAGTTCTTTCTGCTTATGGTTAAGGACTGTTGTGGATTCAACAGCATTCTGGGAGGCTGAAGCTAAAGAATCTCAAGTTCAAGCTCAGGCTGAACATCTTAGCTACTTAGCTAGACCCTGTCTCAAAATAAAGAGGATGCTGAGACTATACCACAGCACAAAGGTCTTAGGTTCTAACCCAATACATGCCCCGCAAAAAGAAAAAAATACAATCTTTGTATATAATGAAGAATAAATAAGGTTGTTCTTTGAAAGAATAAGTTTTCTAAGAACATCTTTTAAATTTTGAAAGTTAATCATTTTTACATTATCTAAGACTTTTTTTTTCTTTTTTTAGGAAATGCACAGAAAGTCTTTGCATATGTTAACATCAGAGTTGCAGAAGCAGACCTGAAAAAATGTAAGATCATCATATATTTTCCATGCTATTTGTCATTTTCTGTGTAACTTGGGATAACTTTGATTCTAAATTGAAATCTCACCAGCTTCTTCTAAATTATGATCATGGTTAAGAAAATCATATTCTACATCTTGCCAGAGTTAGGTTAGTTCCATTTGCATCTGCAAAGTAGGATGTTGTCAGTTAAAATCTGGTTTTCTCAAATAATTTAGATGGGGGACAGAGTTTCACAGAAATTCCTTGTTATGTGTATCCTAGTGAGTGTGTGGTCCTCAATCTGTTTGTTTCTTGGGCATCTAGCTGTTGATAAATCCTGCAGAGGCTGTGGAGTATTCCCTCATAAGCCCATCTTTAAAACTGTATTACCTCTTACGAGCTTCTTAGATCTGAGAATAAATGTGAAGAAGGAAGCTGGGGATAGAGTCCACGGTGCTGCTGATGCAATGATATATTCTAGTTACTTTGAGGTAAAAAAGTCAAAAGAGGCTAGGCACGGTGGCACATAAATCCTGCGGTCTTAGCCCTGAACAAAAACTGAGTTGTCCACTCAACAAGACCCTGTCTCACAAAATATTTTTAAAAGAGCTGAGGATACAGCTTAGTGGTTTTATCCACTAATACTGGAAAAATAAAAAATCAAGAGAGGGTTAGATGTAGAGCCTAGATGCATGAGGCTGTAGGTTCAAACCCCAGAACCACAAAAGAAAAGTCAAAAGAATTTAAAAATGAATGAAAGGAACATGCTTGCTGATAGAGAAAGCAAGCCATCAGTCTTTTATCACTTTCAGGTTACTATATTGTTCAGTGAGGAAACATGAAATTATGGTTAAGAACATGTAGGCTCTGTTATGTTACCTGTGGTAGGTCATTTAGAAGTCTAAGCTCCAATTTGTTTCTCCAGTAAATGGAAAAGATAATACTGCCTCATGCTATTACTGTGATAAATTAGATAACACATTTGTACTTAGTATAGTTCTAAATGGATACAAAACACCCAGGAAAATCAAGTAGGGCATAATAATTCAAACAGTTTGGGGCTGGGGATTTAGCTCAGCGGCATAAGCACCTGCCTTGCATGCAGGTGGTCGTGAGTTCGATCCCCGGTACCGATAAAAATGAAAATGAAAAAGACAATAATAATAATAATAATTCAAACAGTTAAATAGCTTACAACTAATTTGTTTACAGTTTCTCCAGAGATAATTGCTATCAGTTGATTAAAGTACTACAGGACTTCAAAATTTCTTCGGATTCACCATGAAAAGATAATATTATGTTTCATGGTTACAGTATGGGAAATGACAAGTAAATCCTAAAGAAATGTCCATTATTCATCAAAGACTCCTGATATTGCTTCAGAAACAAATCACAAATAAGTTTTGCAGCTGTGAGATAGCATAAGAAATTATTTACCCCTTTAGCTAAATGGTCAGGGTAAGGTGGGAACCTGGGCTAGCTCCCCCCCCCCAGGTCACATTTCTTGTTCCTGTTTTCTTTGTGATAAACCAGTCTACTTTCTTTGATATTAAATAATTATAAAAAGCATGCACTGAAGTATGATTTTGCATTTCCATCTTCTTTATCTTTTAGGTATGTCCATTTTAAACAAAACAAAATGGAAAGGTGGAACACTACAAATTCAGCTAGCAAAAGAAAGCTTTTTACACAGGTAAGAGTGCTCCTCATGGATTAAATCCCATGTCTGTATATTGGCTTTATATATTCACTTAATTTCTTTGAATTTATTGAGTAGTATACTGTATTGTTAGCAAATGCAAAGGAGTAGACTTGAAGTCCCTCTTAAGCCTGATTTTTTGTCCCAGACTACGCCAGAAGAGAATTGATACACACAGTATTTCTCTTTATATATTGAAATATTAAAAAATTTATATTTATTTTCTTTGTTAAAATGAGTATTTTCTGGCATATGTAACCTTTCCCCTTTTGTGTAATGACTGTTGTACAGTTTCAGAGAGTAGCTGTATCATGGAGTAGGTTGTCCCTGTTTCCACCTTTTTATGATTATAGATGCCTGCATGTGCACAGATGTTTCTCTGGGATTTACGTCAGAAAATGTAGTTACAGGGCGTGGAATATAGCTCAGTGGAAGAGGGCCTCACCGGCATGTGCAAGGCCTTGGGAGCAATCCTCAGTACCCCCAAAACCCGCCTCCTCCCCAAAAAAGTGTTGCTGAACCTTAGGGTTCTGTACCTGTAAAATTGTAATACACTAATTATATAAAAGTTGCATTAGACTAATGCTTTATCATACAAAGATAGAAAGATAGTAACAGATTACTTAGAGGAGTAAAAATAGACAAGTAATTTAAGACAGTGAACAACCTTTAGAGCTTAAAAAAAGTCTAAAGGTAAATTTTCAGAGGGAAAGATTGGTTTGGGAACTTTTGAATTGGGCAACATTTTAAGAATATATGACTGGAGTAACCAGGAAGGTTGATAAGATTGTTCTAGACCAAGGAAGGGTACAGTCTAAAGCAAGTGGTAAGCAGCTTACTGGCACATGTTTTAGATGACTGGCCTCATGGGAGAAGTAAAAATTTGATTTTGTTTTTCAGCTGGGGACCTCTGGCTGTGAACAGAAAACACCCGCACTTTGCATTCAGCAGCATCTGAGTGTGACCCTGGGCAGGCCCAGTGACCTGCGCCCAGCAGGGAGAGCACATGGTGCTGCTGCTGTCTTGGGGCATGGATGCAAATGTGCGGGAGGAGCATGGCTAGGAAGGGAAGACTGGGAGACAGCAGAGGCCAAGAGACCAGCGGGGATTGGTCAGAGCGGTTGTGCAGGCCTAAACAAGTTGGGGTAACTTATGTTTAAAATGGCATTGTCAGCATTAGGAGTACAGAAACAAATTAGGCTCTATAAAGCATGTCTTCCCCATAGGCAGGAGTAAAGGGAGGGAGGATACATAAAATGCCAAAGTTGAGAAGGTAGGAAGGAGGGAGATTGTGATTGGTGGCCTTGGTCTTTCATCAAGAGGAACCAAGAAATCTGCTGGAGCTAAGCAAAGATGTCAGGGTGGACGCCTGGGCCTGCAGAGGGCAGATCAGGAGGGGACAAAGCTTTTGTGCTCAGCCAGCTGCAGTGGGACTCTGGGAAATCAAATAGACTTATGTGGTGCATGTTGTACAGTGATCTCAGTGAAAAGTTTTTTAAAAGTTACGCAACTATACCTACAGGATTGTCTAGATTATTAAATGCATATATTCATATCCATAATGAAGCTGAGGTAACTAGACAAAAAATTTAACAGTGAAATATGTATAAGGAACTGTCTTATTTTCTTCACATTCACATGTTTTCCATGCAAAAATGGATATGTAAACTCACAAAATAATATAGACCATTATGCTACTCACAAAGTGTTTTTTCTTTTCTTTTGATTTTTAATACTATAAAGCTGTTTGTAGTGTTTAAGATCAGCAGAAGGAAAATAACCATTTTCCATGATTGATCATTTTAACTCTTATTCATGTTTTCCCTTTGATTTAGATTGGCCCAAGAGAGAGAAGAAGCAAAAGCAAGGAAAGAAAAATCAACAACAGGCAACACCAACTGGTTGGGAACGGTGGGAGGGGTGGATTTCCATATGAAAGCTGTGCCAGGGACAGAAGTACCAGGGCACAAGGTGAGTCTTCTCTGGAGTCTGGGGCAACTGGGAACTGACACTTGAGACCACATCCTGTGGTGTCTTGTCTAAAACTAATTGCTTTTTCCTCCCTCTCTTCGAAGTAGTTAACATACGTACCACATAGGCATGTGAAACTTAGATAAAAATAGTTCTGTCTTACTTTAAAGAGAAAAAAGTCAGAGACCAGGCAGTCTATCAAGGGATATAGGTGTGAGAAGTACACCTATATAATAGGTCTTATAATAGGTGGATAGCTGGTGGTTTTCTGTAATATACTCCATGTTAGTTTTGGAATTCATAGTTGCTCTAAATTTCCTTCTGTTTTTTTCCTCTCACACTTTTTTTTTTCTTTTTTTGTTCTTTTTGAGATAGGGTCTCCCTATGCAGTTCAGGGTGGCTGCAACTCACTTTGCTGCGCAGGCCGCCTTGGAACGCGCAGCCATCCTCCTGCCTCGGCCTCTTGAGTGCTGGGATTACAGGCATGTGCTGCCATGCCTGGCATTCTCAACTTTTTCTCATTGATATATATATATATATATATATTTTTTTTTTTTTTATTGTCACAAAGCTAGGTCCAACAGTAATAATAGCTCACTCTGAGTTCAACTTTTTAAAAATTATATTTGTATGTTATTACTTTGTTTATATTTGTGACGTATACCGCATATTGTAAATACATTCTTTTTTTTTCTTTCTTTCTCTAGAATTGGGTTGTCAGTAAATTCGGAAGAGTCTTACCTGTTCTTCACCTTAAGAATCAACATAAGCATAAAATATCCTTTGGTATTAACCTCTTGGTATTCATTTACCAGACTGATAGACACTTGCAAAACATTGATATTATCGGATATTGATTTAAAAAGTTTTATGTTCTTGCTTTCCAACAAGGTAAGATCTACTTACCTACATGTATGAAACGAGAATTATGAGACAATGTCATGAGGTTTTATATAATGAAGCAATGTGAATTAAGAAATATGAATGATGAACCCCAACAAAGCAGTTTTTTATGACTTTATACATCATATTGCATGTGGACTCGTAACAATTGCTGCTGGAGCTGTAGAGGGGTGAAAGACAAGGGCTCATAGTAAAAGAAGGCTTCAGGTGAACTGAGATGGTTTCAAATTACTAGGAAAGCAGTAGGAAATAGCTCTGCATGGCAGCACAGATCTTTAGTCCCAGCACTGTGGGAAGCCAAGACAGGAGGATCTCCATCTTGAGCCCAGATTAGGAAGCATAGCAAGACCTTAACACAAAGCAAAAAATTTACAAAGGCCTGAGTTGTGGCTCTCCCAGCACCCAGTACCATGGTCCCAACCCTAAAGTAAAGAGTGGTAGGTAGTGGCTCAAAAAAGATGAAAATGGAAAATATTACACAAAAATATGCAGGCTGGCAGGAGAATGGTGGGCAAAGAAATAGCGTTGAGATGAGGCAATTCTGATCCCTGTTTGGTAAGACCAGTTGGACACCTTGAAGAGGTGATGTCTGACCTTCTGTGTGGAGGGTGTGTATGTATTACCTGAGGGTTTGCTATAATGTCTGTGTGCAGTGTAAGTAAGTTCTGCCGAGTGAGGGTGGCTTTAGCTCCGGAAATGTCAGAGAGAGCTCCATTTCATCAACCCTGAAGGGCTCCAGAGGAGACCTCATTTGATAATCTCAGTAAGAAATTAGAGTACGATAAAGCAAATGGCTTGCTTACATTAAACACTTACCTTTTCCCACCAGATGGATACATTTCCCTAACACTTATGTGCTTTTTCTTTGTTCCTTGACTCTGGGTAACATCATGAAATATGATCCATCAAAATACTGCCACAACCTAAAGAAGATAGGGGAGGATTTCACAGATACCGTTCCTGTGACTAGCCTGACTTGGAAATTGGAAGGAGGCGATGACCCAATGAGTAAGAAACGGCGAGGCGAGTTCGCTGACTTTCACGGTCCTCCCAAGAAGATCAGGACAGTACAGAAGTTCCAGGGTTCCACTGTGCATCCAAGGACCAACGGGGCAGTGGAGAATAATGGATCACCACAACAACGAGCTGCACAAAAAGCACCTCCCAATTCTATTACTTTTCCTAAGTCACACCCCATACCTGATTCTGATGCTCAAAAACCTAAAAATATACCTTGTCAGACTTCTGGATTGGAAACTGTCAGGAAGATAAATAGCATGTCTGATGATGATATCGATTCTGAAGATGAACTAAGAATCATGATTGCAAAAGAGGAAAAGTTACAGAGAAGCTCAAGGTCCTCCATCCGTGAATCTGAAAATGATGCCTTTGAAGTTGTAAGGGATGACTTCAAACCAGAAGTTCATAAACGTCATTCTGCATCAAGTCAGTGCATGAATGATGTCTCTCACAATGTTAGTGACAATATTATGGGGAGTGATTGTGAGTATGATTCAGGTGATACAGATGAAATAATTGCAATGAATAAAAACAGTGGTAAGGTAAAAAACAGTACAGAATTCTCCCAAACAGAAAAACCTACACACAAGAACTCTTTCAAAAAGAAAGAGTTGTCCAATCATTGTAATAAAGTACAACGAAATAAAAACAGCCAGGAGTCAGCCCTCAGGCATGCAGTAAAGCCTCTTAATCATAAATCGCCATCTGGTTCCAGCAGCAGTGACAGTGAGGAGTCTGAAGGAGATGAGGAATATGAAACCATGATTAAAAACTGTCCCCGAGTTAACCTCACTTTGGCTGATTTGGAAGAGCTGGCGGCCAGTAACCTGGAGGCTCCAGAAGCTGCTGAGGGCCGTGACCCACAAAGTAAAACAACCTGCCAGTTGAATGGAGCGTCTAAGACTCCCCGTGGCAGCTATCCAGGCAAACAGTGCATTTGTCCTGAGGAGATTCTAGCTTCCCTTTTAAAGGAAGAAAACACCTATGGTAAACAGAAACCAAAGGAAGATGAGAACAAGCCAAAATTTCAGGCATTCAAGGGAATAGGCTGTCTCTACAGAAAGGAATCCGTGAAAAAAACTTTGAATGTTGCCTCAAATAATATTAGTGAAAAACAGAGTCCCTTGAAACATGGGGATTCCAACAGCGTTTCCTTAGAAAATGGCCTCCCACGTGCTAATGGCTCACCGAGCACACTAACTGCATGGCAACACACCAAGAAGATGAATGGCCCAAATCACATTCAGCCTCAAAGACAGTTTGTTCATGAGACTCGAGATCATAAGGTGCTCTCCCCAAGTAGTTCAGACAAAGAAGGTGGAAATCTCGTTTCTAGTCTGTTGCCATTAAAAGGTAAGAAATCCTTAAGTCTTGGTTCAAAGATTCACAAGGTAGGGTTTGATGAGGATAGTTGCCATGGTACCCAACAGAGAGAAGAGTCTTCAGAGGAAGAGGAGTCTGATTCCAGCGGCCTCACAGCTCCTGGGGACCCACCAAGACGCTCCCCCAGAGAGGACCCTCGGGAGAGCACAGCTGACTTCTCACTTTCTGTTAGTAATTCATCGGGTATGGCTGCTCAGGCCAAGCCTGCCGAAGATAACCAGAAGCGTTTGGCAGCCGTGGAGGCCAGGCAGAAAGCAAAAGAAGCGCAGAAGAAGCTGGTGCACAATGCACTGGCAAATTTAGTAAGTACATTTTCTGTGCGAGGCTTTTATAAGGACACTTTTTAATGGGGACAAGGTAACACAAAATTTCATATCAAGGCAGGAAAATGACAATAACAATAGTGAATACATCACATATTATCTTTAAAGTAGTTACTCAGAGTATAAAAGTCCAGGTTTCCTTCCCACAGAAATGCGCCTCTGAAGAGCCCGTAGTCTTCTTAGTGTAACCACTTAGCAGGTTCTGTGTCCTTGATTTAGAAAGTTCTATTATCCTAAACTTTTGATGCATCCCAAAGGAAGTGAAATTAAACTCTTAAGATTTATATGAAACATTCTAAATTTATCTAAAATTTTGGGGCCGCGGATTTAGCTCAGCAGCATAAGTGCCTGCCTTGCAAGCACATGGTCGTGAGTTTGATCCCTGGTACAAAAAAACAAAAAGTCTCTAAATTTTGTTTAGGGTCTGGGCATGAGGCTCAGAGCTACAACATTTGTCTAGCATGCATCTGGCTGGGGCTTTGGTCCCCATCACATACACAGAATATCCCCATGAGTTTCCTCCTCATTTTAGTACTGCAACTGAACCGGAGCCTTGCATAGCATCTCCTGCCTTTTTTTTAAGTTTTGACCTATGGTCTCAGTTGCCCAAGCTGACCTCAAGCTTGTTGTCCTCCTGCCGTGGCCTTTTCATTTAGAAAGTCTTCAACAGATGTAATGACTGCAAAGTGATTTGCACCTTACCAAAGCTTGCTAATGTTTACTATAATGAGCCCCTGGACTTTGCTGTAATCATCCACTTTTACAGGCTAGATTGACAGGCCAAGGGTGATGATCCTGCAGCACTTGGCTCACAGTGTGGTAAGCAGACATTCATAGTTTAATCCAAGGGGCTCCAAGCTGCTCAGGAAGCTTCCTGAGCTGAGATGTGCGAAGGGAGAAGTAGCAATTAGTGGCAAATGAGTAGGAAAGTGAAAAGAGATCTTCCAAGAAAAGGAAACTGTTTGTTCAGAAGTGAACATTTGAGTTTGCAGAGGCTGTGGAAATTGGACTTCATTCTTAAGATTGTGAACAAACTGAAACATTTTAAGCATTGAAGATTCCTTATGTACGTTTTAGAGCAGGCGTTGGTAAACTACAGCTCTCAGGCCATGTAGCCTATGGCTTGTTCATATACTGTTGGCAAGGCTAGAATGGATTTTGAATGCAGCACAGAGACTATATGTGGCCTGCAGAGTCTAAAACATTTATCCTTTGATGCCATAAAGAAGAAGTTTGGGGCCAGGAAGATAGCTCAGTGGTATAAGCGCACCTGCCTGGCAGGTACAAGATCTTGGGTTCGATTCCCTATATCAAAAAAGAAAAAGAAAAAGTCTGTCAGCCTCTATTTGGAAAGATGCTTTCAAACGATGATGAAAATGAACTGAATGGTTCAAATCTGGAGACAAAGACTTGAGGAGCTGGAGGGCCAGAACCACGGCAGCAATGTTGGGAACAGATTTAAAGATGCCAAGAAGTCTGGGAGGTGGCACATATCCATAATCCCAGGGCTTAGAAGGCTGAGGCAGCGGGTCAGCACGAGTTCCAGACCAACCTGGACTCTTAAAAGCAAGTAAATGCCAGACTAAACTCTGTAGCAAAACCCTGTCTCAAAAATAAACAGTGGGGGATTTAACTTATTGGCATAAGTACCTGCCTGGCAGGCGTGTGATTGTGAGTTTGATCCCTGGTAACAAAAAAAAAAACCAAAAAAGATAAAGTTGGATTGAGAGGACTTGGTGATCACTGGATATGGAGAAGTTCTAAGTTTAGTCTTGGCTAAATAGTAGATGATAGTGGTATTCACTAAATGAGACTGGTATGGAGAGAGAGTAGGGAAGGAAATGATAGAATTGGAAATGTTTTGCTGTGAGGTTGGGTTGTCTTAATGTGCAGTATTTCTCGTGGCTTCCCTAGGATGGACCTCCACAGGACAGGTCTACACACATCGTATTTGGTTCCGACAGTGAAAATGAAATCGAGGAGACATCCATGCAGGAGCAAAACCTACCAGGAGAACAGCTGATAAAAGTAAGATGGACTGGATGACCCATAAACATTAGTGTTCCCCGCAAACATTAGTGTTCCCCACATATCCATATCTATCTGTCCCATTCTAAGACCAGTTCACCCCAAAATCCTGCTGAGAGCTGTGATGAGCCTGAGTCTGCCCAAGCCACTGCACATGGGTCCTGGAGACCTTAGCCCATCTAAGCCCGTGTTTTCTGAATGATCTGCAAAGTTGCCAATATTAATGAAAGGTGGCAGGGACTGTTCTTGTGTGTTATAACTGTCCCCCAACTCCAGCAGGCCTTGGGGAGTCTGTGAGAGCCAGTTAGTGAGCCCTGATCTGGAGTTTTCATCTAGTCTGCCATCTACTTGGTCTTGATGTATTTATCTAGGTTGGTTTTAAATAGGGTGAGGCTTCATTGTGAAAGCAGTGCTGCTTGCTTCAGTTAATAAACGTTTCGCTTTTTGTGCATACACCAGGAGCCCATGGCTAAAGCATCCGGGAAGCTGTTTGACAGTGACGAGGATAAGGAATCGGATTCTGAAGACGACGGTGACAGATTCAGAATTAAACCTCAGTTTGAGGGCAGAGCTGGACAGAAGGTTGGTGAAGGCTAAAAACTGAACCCCTCATAGCATATGCTGGTTTTCCACAGTTCTTAACCCTAGGTGAACGTGGCCAGTCTGGGCCTGCGTCGCTGAGCCAGGTGTTTCTTTGGGGAGGGACTCCTCTTGAGCTTCTAGTTGGCTCAAGGGCAGGTGACATTATGTGGAAGCTATTGACGTGAATTTCAGAGCTGGGAAGGGACACTGGGAGAGTCTTCTGTAGAAGCAGTTTCTTGGGAATGTGGTTGTCAATTGTGTTTCCTTTTCATCTGTGTAGCTCATGGATTTACAGTTGCACTTTGGCAGTGACGATAGATTCCGCATGGACTCAAGATTTCTAGAGAGTGACAGCGAAGAGGAACAGGAAGGTAAATGTTTCACTGTCCAAAAAGGTCTCGACGTCAGAACTAGGGATGTGAAAAATCTCCTCCATTAAACACATGAAGAAACTTTACCCCAGAGACCAGGGAATATGTAAGGACATGCTTTTGGTTACCATCTCTCAAATTTGTTTCACATATTTACTTAGTAAAATTTAATTCCTTGAAGCTGGTAGATAGGACAGGAGTAAGTGGACTCCACCAAACATATAGTTTCTTTCGTTCCATTCCTGGCACCAGAGGCAGGTGAGGCCTCGCCTGTCCCTCTCTGGAGTAGCAGATCCCGGTGGAGGCTGTAATGATGGTTAGGTCTCTCTTGGCTTTCTAATAGGAAGAATCTCTTGCCTTCCACTGGTGTGCATGCTGGGTGCATGTTTTCCAAAAAGCAGCATGCTGCTGAATGCCATTCTATTGAACCCCTCCTTATTTAGATGTATCTGAACAGAATGATCTATTAGAAGCATCCTAATTCTACTTCCTATGGGATTTTGCACAACTGTGGTTCCATGTTATTTACAAAACCTTAACCTCTTGTCAGGTGTGGTATGTGCCTGTAATCACAGCACTCAGGAGGCTGAGGCAGGAGGACTGTAACAGGTTCAAGGTCAACCTGGATTACATAGCGAGACCTTGTCTACAAAAAAAAAAAAAATTTATGCACAAAATCTCAAACCATAATAAACCTTGTTGTCTCAAAAAAAAAAAAAAAATTTTTACCTCCTACGTGGCCACCTTGAATAACCTCTCCCCAGACCCTTCTCCTAATCTCAGAACCTCAGGCCTTGTCTTCTTTCGTATTTTTTCTCCTTCACAGGTTAGGTTGCATCTTAATCCTCACTTCATTTGTACTTCCTGCCATCCTCTTTCTCAGGTAGTTTCTGATGAGTCTGTTAATTGTTGTGGGAATTATGACTGTTTTACATCTTGGGAAACCAAAGTTCAGAGAGGCTTATACTAAGTTTTACAGGCTCCTCACCAGCACATGTGTCTAACCCGACACCCCACTTCCAATCGTCCACTCAGATTCCCGTGTGGAAAACAAAAGGGTGAGTGGACTCTCAAGAAGACCCCTGTGAGGCCTGGGGATTTTGCTCAGCAGCATAAGCACCTGCCTTGCAAGCACGTGGTCGTGGGTTTGACCCCGGTACCAATTTAAAAAAAAGACAGTAACCACTGTGTTAGACATGGTGGTTACCGTGCTCCCTCCTGCCACTCCTGTCTGTTTCAGGAACACTTCAAGACCGCTCCTCCGTCATCTTTCCCTTCCCAACTTTTTTTTCATCTGTTTTTGCCTTTCCAGCTATCGAGGCAAAGTTGTTTTGTGCATCCCCCAAACAGAAAGCCCAGCCAGCCTGCGTCTCTTCTGGCCCTTCTTAGTGTACTCTGCTTCCCTAATGATTACTAGTAGGGTAAAATTGAAGTTGCTGTTTTTGGAAGCTAAAGGTGTTGAGTATTAGCATTTTCGTGTTTCACCTAATCTAGCACAAACTCCTGGCACTTTCTTGCTTTGGTGTGTGTGTTTCCTTTGTTTCCTACATGCCTCCTCCCACTTCGGGGGTCTGCTCTGTCTTTCCACCCATACCCCACCTGGAGTACGAAGCGTGTCATGATCCAATGGAATACAATCTCCCCCACCTCTAAACCCCTGGAAATTACTGGGGCTTCCCTGGGAAAACTTCAGTAAGCATTTTATTCTAGTTTCTGTTATTTGTTCATTTTCTGCAGTAAGTTAATGTGTTTAAAAGCTTTATTTTAAACTTCTTTTAGCTTTCTTTCATGTATCCTTTTTCTTTCTTTCTTTTAGCTTTCTTTCACGTATCTATCATCCAAACTGTCTCTTTAAGTTTATACTCTGATGTCTGTCTATTATTAGTAGTTAAGATTAGCAGCTCATTAAGTTCTGTGATACCTTAACAATGTAAGATATATGGCTTTTTTTTCCTGTAATACTGTGGACTGGATTAAAGACTGAAGCAACTGTTTATTCAAGTATCAAATTAACAATCAGTAAGTTTATCATCTTTGGGCTGGGGATTTGGCTCAGTGATTTAAGTGCCTGCTTGATAAGCATGAGGTCATGAGTTTGATCCAAAGCAAACAAACAAAAAAAACCCAAATGTATAATCTTTGCCTATCCTTACCATTTTTCCATGTAATTTAGAGTATATATATATTTTTTTTTCTTTTTTTTTTTTTTTGTCTTTTTGAGATAGGGATAAAAAAAAGAAAGAGTTAGGGTTTCACTATGCAGTTCAGGCTGGCCTTGAACTCACTTTGTAGCGTAGGCTGGCCTCAAACTCACAGCACTTCTCCTGCCTCAGCTTCTTGAATGTGGAGATTATAGGTATATACCACTACATCCAGCCTAGAGTGTATTTTTTGAATGTTAAAAATAGCAAAGTCGGAGCTGGGGATTTAGCTCAGCGGCATAAGCACCTTCCTTGCAAGTGTGCGGTCATGAGTTCAATCCCTGGTACCGAAAAAGACCAAAAAAAAAAAGCAAAATTTGTGATCACTTTAGTGTTGTAGGTAGCATCTTGCTGTATTTAGTCTTACTGTTAACATTTTAGATTTGGCACATTAGCCATTAAATCCAAATTTCATTTTCATAATTACAAATAAAAGCAGGACATTTGATTTGCTGTTTATATGATTTTTCAGTTTGCTGTACTGTGAAGTCTTGTGCATAGGAATGTAGTAAAATGAAAACCAGACTTTTCTTCCCTCCTGATACACTCTGGATATGGTTAGTGCTTGTTGGAAGTATTGACTGATTGCTATTTTTCAACTTCCATTTGTCAAAGGATACTAATTATTTTATTTCCTGAAAGAGGTCAATGAAAAAACAGCTGAGGAAGAAGAGCTTGCTTCAGAAAAAAAGAAAGCTCTGAATGTTATGCAAAATGTTTTGAACATCAATGTAAACAACACTACAAGCAAAGGACCTGTAGCGGCTAAGAAATTTAAGTATGGTTTATTTTCTATCCCATTCTACCATTATTTTCCTTTGCCATAAATGCCTTCTTTAACAGAGTTTGACACTAAGTCTTTTATTCTTACTGTTTTGCCACACTGGAGGTTGACCTCAGGGCTAATGCCAGGAAGCGCTGCACACTGAGGCGCATACCATTAGTTTTGCTGGATCTTTTTTTACTCACTAGGGCGAGCATTTGGCATTACCTATCAGTTTCTCTAAAAATGTTCTTACCTTTCAAGAAACTAATCTTAAATCATTCCTCTATTTACTTACATAGGTGTTCTTTCTTTATTACATACATGGACATCTTACCAGTATTACTTCCATTAGTGAAACAACTGAAAACCATTTTAAATATAAATATTAACTCCCAAAACTACTGAGTTACATCAATATAACATATATTTTAGAGAGACTGGTGTAATAAAACCTTAGTATACAAGCTTCTAAGAATGCCCAACACAGCCAGGTGTGGTGTCATATACCTGTAATCCCAGCACGTGGGAGGCTGAGGCAGGAGGATCATCATGACTTAAAGGGTGAGCCCAGCCGAGGCTATATAGTGAGACTCTGTCTAAAGAAGCAAAACGTAAGATTACCAACATATGACCACTTTTCCTTGTCTATACAAACCTTGCCTTACCCAATGGAATCTTTTATGCAAATTCTAGACACTGTTTTATCTATATGTATTTTTAATATACTTAGAATAATTTTTAAGATTAACAAAAGATTCAGGGAGACTCAAAAGCTGATGCTTTAAATTACTATTTCTAACACAACCATACTACTGTTTGATATCATTTAACTTTATTTTCTCTCTAAAATTTGTTACTGTTTGCACTGTGATTTTGATTTATCTGTTCCAACTTACTTTTTATTCTTTTTCACAACATAGGGACATCATACATTATGATCCAACAAGGCATGACCACGTCACTTATGAAAGAACAAAAGATGAAAAACCAAAAGAAAGGTAATCAAGCTGTCTTTTACTTTACAGTTCTGCCAAACTACTTTCTTTTAAGTCCCGCAGAAGCATTTTTGTTTGTACAGCTGAAGTTTATTAGCCCTGTCTACAATGTTTCTTTTCCTGTCTATAATTTTAAAGAGTTTTGTTTTATTTTTAAACCAAAATATATATCCACAGTGGCCAGATAGGAAACATTACAGGCTTTGCATGCCCAGAAACCTCTGTTCTGATGAATTGCCTGCACCCTTGTAGTGGAAAAGCAGGACATGAGGAAAGTCTAATAAAAATATAAAAGTATTAATAAAAGTATTAATAGATGCTGAAATGTACCTTTTATATAGTTTTGACATATCATGAAATCATCTTTATTTTCCCCCTGTCATTTCAAACTATTAAAAAAATATTTACTGTGCATTTAAGACCCACAAACAGCATGATGACGTGCCTCGTGGGCTGTAGTTGGCTAGCTCTTGCCTTCGCTTATGTTTTCCTGAGAGTATCATAGAGTCAGTCTTTGCTTAAAAGCCATTAAACTACATGTCATTTGCCTTCTGGGGATTAGGAATCTTCAAAGCCATGAGGTTCTGTTTTTAAAAAGTGTTTTTTCCCTCTTTAATTATAGTTTCTCTCTTTCTCTCATTTTATTATAAGCAGCAAGAAACAGTCAGATGCCCTCTATATTTTCTTGGATATCTGCTTAACTAGACCACCCAGATAATTAGGTCATTAATACAGATACCAGTGTTGGTCATCTTTCTGCCACCCCCTGACAAGGATTCTCCTTCTCCCAATTTCCAGTCATGCTTCCCTGCAGTCTCCTCAAAGGCAGTGTAGTGTCTGCTAGCAATTCCTACAAGGCCTGTTAAGTTTTGCTGTGTGCGTGGTCTCAGAGTTACATGCTATTGCATCTGCCTAATCTCATCATTACAGTAGTTTACTGCTCCACCCCGTGCTCAGGGGATGTGGAAGTTAACTTGCACCTCTTCAAAGACCTCAAGGAGTTCTGAATGGCTTGGAACTATCTGTATGGACACTTTTTAATCCAGCTCAGTTTCATAGGAGGTGCATCTGGCTAAAAACCTAACCAGTTTGGTTTTATTTTATGAAATATGGATGTTTTCTTTGACATAATCTCTAGATTATTTTGGACATTCTGTTTACTTACGCTGTAGGTAGTTGGTTAAGAACTTCTGGCCTATCGTGGAAGGGACACTAATTGGAAGAAGGATTTTAATCTGTGCCTGTAGAAACAGGCATTGAACCTCGGAGCACTGTGCTGTTGAGCCATATCCCCAGCCCTTTTTTTTTTTTTATTTATTTATTTTCATTTTTATTTTGAGACCAGGTCTCACTGAGTTGTTGGGAGTAACTGCAAACTTGTGATCTTCATGTCTCAGCCTCCCAGAGAGCCAAGAAGGATTTTAATCTTTCAGTAGCTAAAATTTTAATATTGGAAATGGCCATGTAACTTTTTGTCTGAGGTCAAAAAGAAGGCATATCCATTCCTAAAAGTAGAGAAAAATTATAACAACATAAAAATTGCATTCCAAAACAAACTAGATTTAGCACATTTGCAATTCATTTCTAAAATTGAGTAATTTGTTTTCCATTGCATGTAAAATTCACACCTTTAGAACTTAAGATGATATAAGTGGTCGTGTTCATTTTTTTTTCTTTTTTTATCAGTATCTGGGATCGAACTCATGACTGCCTGCTTGCAAGGCAGGCACTTATGCCGCTGAGCTAAATCCTCAGCCCCCTATTTTATTTTATTGTATTTTTTCTTTTTTGGTCGTGTTCATTTTGCAGATGCGGAAACTTCAGGCTCCTTGAAACTGATAATTTCCTTATAGCTGATAGTTTTAGTGTAATTTTTTTTTTTTTTTAATTTTTTGAGATAGGGTCTCATTGTGTAGTCCAGGCTGGACTTAAATTTACTATGTAGCCCAGGCTGGCCTTGAACTCACAGATACCTTCCTGACTCAGCCTTCTGAGTGCCTGGATTACTGGTGTGCATCACCTAGATTGGCTTAGTGTAATTTCTGAAATGTAATTTAGAAGGTAAAAGATAAGAGAATGTGTTTTATATTTAGTATTTGTATCTGTTTGTAATAGTTTCATGTTATTGGTCAGGCTTCTGTGTGTATATTCTTAGTTAAAAGGATGGAATCAAAGTTATCCAAGAAGGTGGGGGTAAAGTTGTCCAGGGAGTTTACCTTTCATGAATTTTAAAAATTTCCAAAACTTGTTTCTATGTGATATACCTGTATGTTTATATGTTACTCCAGCAAAGCAAAACGGAAGAAGAAAAGGGAGGAAGCTGAGAAGCTACCTGAAGTATCTAAAGATATGTATTATAACATTGCTACGGATTTGAAAGAAATATTCCAGGCTACGAAAGATACTGGTGAAAAGGAAGACAGTGCATCTCAGCACAAGGCCTGTGGCATGGAGGAGGGCGAGGAAGAGGAGGAGAAGGAGGAAGTCCATAGTGCTGCAGCCCTGAGGAGAGAGGCCGAGCCGCCCAACGGGTTCATGTTCTCTTTTTTTGATTCAGACTCTAAAGATGTAAAAGAAGGTACTTTCCTTTTTCTCCCACTTTTTTATTTCAGGCAGATTATATGTTTAATGGATGGAGTCTCCATTATGTGAAAAGGATTTACCACTTTCTAGATAAAGGATTCTTTCTTTGACCTGCATGAATAATAGGAGATTCAGTGCTACGTGATTATAAGTGTCACGTACCTAAGGTGAAAGAAATGAATTTTGCTTTTAAGGGAGCAAGCTGCTGCCTGGCTCCATATAAAGGGAAGCCAAAAAGTAATTTACTACATTCCTTCCTACATAAAAAGGACCATGAAGGGCTGGGAGTTTAGCTCAGCGGTATAAGTGCCTGCTTGGCAAACGCAAAGTCGTGAATGCAATCCCTAGTACCAAGAAAAAAAAAGTATCATGAAATCATGAAGAAGTAAAATAGGTCATCTGAAAGTTCCATTTCTTCAGTGTGGTTGGAGTTGCCATGACTTACAGAAAGCTATGGCTGTAAATGACAGGAGAAAGGAAGGAGTAGGTAATCTTGGTTTTATGTGGATGTGCTATGTCATCAGTGTGCCAGTTATCACAAACTATCCCTGGACATTGCCAGAACCTACAGAACACCGGCAATTTAGGATACTATGTCAGATTTGCCTCTTTAGGCCATGCCAGGCCACATGTGAAAATGCCTGTTCTTTAGGAGGCTGCTCCATACTAGCTTTCAAGATTTGTGTGCAGCCTTCTGAAAGTTCATTAGAGAAAGCAGGGTAAGCCTGGCATTGTGGCGCACACTAATCCCAGGTGAGGTGGGCTGAGGCAGGAGTTGTGCAAGCTTGATTTAATCTTGTCTCAAATTTTTTAAAAAGGGCCGGGAGGACTTTACAAATTCCTTGGGTATAGAGGCCTTGGGTTCAATTCCTAGTACCACCAAAACCAAAGAAAACAAACAAAAACAGGATAGATCCATCTAGCAAAATGCATGCATGAGTATATTCTATTTGAAAGGTCAACCCTTAAAATGTTACATATGATATGGCAGGTAAGCATCAAGTGTCTGCTCTGTGATACTGTGAAAAGAAGTCCTGCAGTGTGGTAGTTTGTCGTATGCTCTGCTTATTGTATGTTCTTGTCAATGTTGTCCATCTGAGTACCAAAGTGGGTCCTAAACAACTGAGTGGAGCTAATGGGCATCGGGCGCCAAGTGTAAGAAATTGGCCTTAACATAAAAATTCCAAGTCCACTACAGACTTTTTTTAAGTAGCTGAAAAATTTTAAAGACTTATAACTCTTCAGATCTTACAGCAGTGGCTTTTTCAGTGTTTCTATAAAGAGATGCTGGGGATTCAAAATGTAAAGATATATCCATTTTCTCACTTAAAAGTGGGATGGAAATCGGCTTTTAGGCAATCATGTTACAGTGTTTCATCTAGATTTCTCTTCCTAGCACAGATGCCATGGTTAGTTTGTTCTCTTTTTAGAAATTGTATTTCTCATTTATAAATTTTTTTTTATGTCTGTTCATAGAGCTATTATATTCCTTATTCAGTCACTCTTAGCAATGCCAAAATTTAGATGGTAGCTTTTTTGTATTTGAGAATTGAGGAAGGTGATAATTTAGGGGGTGGGGCTATCGCTCAGTGGTAGATTACTTATTTAGAATTGGATCTCCTGCCCTACAGAAGCAAAAGGAAGAAAAAATAAGATAGTTCCTATGTTTAAATCAATGCTTAACATATGTACATGGTGAAAGTAATCGATTGCTGAGTTACAATCTCATGTATTTGTTTTGTCCAAATGATGCAGAAACCTATAAAGCTGAAACGGTGAAACCTGGGAAGATTGTTTGGCAAGGAGACCCGCGGTTCCAAGACAGCAGTTCTGAGGAAGAAGATGTTCCTGAAGAAACGGCTAACCCAAAACCCAGCCCTGAGTAAGGAATTAGTTTGTGTGTGGGTTTGTACCATAATTTTTAAAATCAAGAGTTAGGCGTAGTTTATAAGTATTTAGAAATTACCTAGGTTAATCTTCATGACACAGTTTAATTCTCTCAGCCCCATTAGAGGCTTCTTCTGCCTTTTTGTGCTGGGGAACGTATTATCTTTTCCTGGAGATTTGTATAACATGGGGTAGGAGGTAAGATATGCTGAGTGGTCTTAGAACAAGAAGCTGCTGTTGGCCAGGCGCCTCCTGATGGGCAACACCGGCAAACAGGGTAGCAGTGGGAAGAGAGACTATTACCATCCAGAATCCGGAGATAGATAGATAGCCCTAAACGAGTCCTCATTTATCAAAGCATCAGGTGGATGGAAGAGGATCGGGAGCACAAAGAAGTTAATTTTCAGGAATAGTTTATATTTTCAGTGTTAATATTTCTTCTGAAATATTCAAAGTTAACCAGTGAGCTGGGGATGGCTCCATGGTAGAGCTCTTGCCTTACCTGCACAAGGTCCTAGGTTCCATCCCCAGCACCACGAAGAAAAAAAAATTGAATCTAACATTAACCAGTATCTGTCTTTCTCTCCCTCTCCCCGTTTGCAGAAAAGTGTCGTTTCTTGAAAAAGAGAACACTAGATTTTTCTTTTTCTCTAAGAATGATGAAAGACTCCACGGTAAGCCCCTTTTCCTGCTGAGTGGTGCATGACTCTCACTGCACACTCAGCCCCAGCCACTCACGTTTGGAAATTCCGACCCTGTGCAGTGTCACATGTTGACCTGGAACACTCTGGGTACTGAGAACTTCTTGCTCAGAATGCTCCTTGCTCTCATTAGCATGAACATGGACCTGGTAAGATGCTAGACATAATTCCCCCAAAGTCCACATAAGAACTTCCAGGCTGCTGGTGAACTGACTTTACTTTTTCACTGCTGTTTTCTGTGGTGTGGCTCTGGGAATTGAACTGATGAGTATCTGCCACTGAGCTTTATCGTCACCCCTTTTCATTTGAGACAGTCTCGAGTTCACTGTGTCACCAAGGTGGGGCTTGAATTTGTAATCCTCCTGCCTCAGCATCCCAAAGTTTTGGAATTACAGGCATGTGACACTATGCCCAGTTTTTATTTTTTGAGACAGGGCCTCCTTAAGTTGCCAGGCTGACCTCAAACTTATAATTCTCTTGTTTAAGGCTCCTAAGTAGCTGGGATTAGTTCAGGGCCATCTCCCTAGATTTTTTAGGAGGGGTGAGTACAAAGTCTTGCTGTATAGCCCAGACTGGCTTGAACTTGTGGCATTCCTCCTGCCTCAGCTTCCCAAGTGCTAGGATTATAGGCATGCACCACCATGCCCAGGTTTTTGTTTTGTTTTGTTTTGTTTTTTCTTCTTAACACATAAAACAAATGAAAACAAGGTTGACTAACAGTAAATCGGGGACAGAGGCTGTAGCTCAGTGGCATAAGCACCTGCCTGGCAAGCACAGGGTCATGAGTTGGATAACCAATACCAAAAACAGAACAGCACATCTTTATGTTTTTTTTCTTTCTTTCTTTTTTTTGTCTTTTTTATTTTTATCGGTACCGGGGATCGAACTCATGACCGCCTGCTTGCAAGGCAGGTACTTATGCTGCTGAGCTAAATTCCCAGCCCCAAAACAGCACATCTTATATAAACAGTAAAATTCTAGCAATCCATTTTTCTTTTTTTTTTCAATTAAATATTGTTGTGAAGTTTGTATGAATTTAAAAAATGATCCCAAGTGGTATGGGGACCTTTATAGTACCAACACTAGGAGGGGACCCATTTTGGCAGTGACGTGTCATCTCATGCTTCTGGTTCTCCCCTCAGGTTCTGACCTGTTCTGGAGTGGCGTGGGAGGTAATATTAGTAAAAGTTCTTGGGAAGCGCGAGCAAACAGCTTGCTTATGGTGAGTGTTGTTCCTCCATACTAAAATTAAAATAGATAAGGTTTTATCTCTGTTACTGTTTCCTTGGTGTAAAAGTAACTGGAATATGATATGAAAATTTAGAAAGGATGACAATTGAGAACACAATGTAAACATTCTAAATCATGGTATGGGAGGAAACTTAACCTGCAGCTGGTACTAGAGAAGAAACTAAAGACTAGTTCCTTTGGGGAGTCAGTCTGAGAGTCCAGGAAGGCTAATTAACCTACAGAAAATCAGGAGACTTTTAAAGAATGAATTCTAACATCCTCAACTGTAAAGCTGAAAGTTTGAGTATTTTCTACCCATGTTCATTCCACTGAGCACTTCTAAAATGGATTTCCAATAGTTTAACAATGATAGTAACAAGTGTTACCTTATAAAATTACTGAACACCTTGGAAACAGTTTGTATTGTTAATAAAGTCTTTTGATTTTACAGGATTGTCGGAAGAAACATAAAGAAGCAAAAAGGAAAGTTAAACAAAAATAATAAATATCACCATTGCTTTTGAAACTGAATGTGATCAGGGCTCACCAGGAAATTGAACTGAAAGATTTTCAGCTCACAAAGGACATTTCAGAGCAGAGAATATTCAAAATCTGGTTGCTGGAATATCATTTTGGTTGCCATGTTTTTCTGTGGAATTCCTTTGTATTTTGTCCTTCGTAATTAATTCAAAACATTAAGCTATTCCTGGCAAGCTCAAGATTCTAAATTTGATTCCCAGTACCAAAGCAGGGGATAAGAAAATTAAGCTAAGCCTGGCATGGTGAAACACATCTATAGTCTTAGCATTCAGGAGGCTGACATGGACAGATCATTGGATCCCAGGAACCTGAGACCAGGCTGGGCAGTATAGCAAGAGCTTATCTTGGGAAAGAAAAAAAAATCAAACTGAACTTTTAAAAAATGAAGTCCAACATAGTCCCAAAGTATTTCTTGTACATAATCTCTTTATCCCCCATCTTTAATAAGTAATGGACATAATTTAAGCTGGGCATGCCCAGAACCCCAGCACTCAGGAGGCTGAGGCAGGAGGATCATTACAAGTTTGAAACCAGCCTGCATAGTAAGACCCTGTCTCAAAGAGACAAAACAAAAAAACAAGTAATGGGGGGAGGGGCCTGGAGATTTAGCTCAGCGGCATAAGCGCCTGCAAGCAGGCAGTCATGAGTTCAATCCCCGGTACCAATAAAAAGGAGAAAGACAAAAAAAAAAAAAAATTAAAAAAAAAAAAAAACAAGTAATGGGCATATTGTGATGCAAGTTTTATAAAAACCTTCAATAAACAGTTTGATCCACTTGTGTTTTCCAAAGTAGGCTTTGTGTGAATTAAACTGTTAGAATATTTCCAATTGTACCTCACCTCCGTGTTACGCTTTTTGTTTCAAAGGATGAAGGCTAGGCAGCTTCGAGTGCAGTGCTTGTGTCCTGATGAAAAGCCAACTGCAATGCAGGGAATTGCAGGCCAGTGTCATGTAAGAGTTCTCCAAGGATCAGGAAAGGAAGCCAAATACAGAGTGTCCCTGTTGATGGCCTTAGGGATTTAGGGAGCAACATAAACAACCAGGTCATCAATCCTAAAATTCTAGTTAAATGACGAGCTTATGAAAAATACCAAATTTCTGAAATTTCAAATTCAGTAGTTAGACCCCAAGTCCAGAGAGGGAATCAAATTTAGTATTTCACTAAATAAACACACCCAAGATTTAAGGCAGATAGGTCTATCGAAATCAGCTCTGGATGAAATGCATGTGACACAGGATGTTCCAAGGAGTATTATCAAGCCAGAACATGCATATCTGAACTTGCCTTTGTATATGTTGATTTACATCTTGCTTGACTACAATGGTATAAAGGCTTACTAGCCGACCACTTCCCAGTTGCCTAGATCTGTGTCTGGTACATATCAGGTGCTCAGTATATACTGTATGTTTTTTAGTAAATAGGTACAAGGAACTAAGTAGCTTAAAAAATCATTCTCAAGGGTTGGGGATATAGCTCAGCAGCTCAAGCACCTGCCTGACAAACAAGGTCGTGAGTTCGAGCCCCAGTACAAAAAAAAAAAAAAAAATCAGTTCCATTGTCTCTGGATTCAAACCTCAGAATGGGAACAACTACTCAGCAGGATAAACACTTGAATAACTTCAGCTCTTTCTACCTCTTTTTTTTTTTATCGGTACCAAGGATGAAACTCACAACCGCCTGCTTGCAAGACAGGTGCTTATGCCGCTGAGCTAAATCCCCAGCCCCCTTTCTACCTCTTGATATAAATTACCTTTATACTTGATCTGTTGCTTCATAGCAAATTGTGCCACTAACATTTATTTTCCTCACAAATACATGATTTGGTCAGACTCAGAACTATACATCTCTGCTGTGTGTGCTGTCATTGGGGTGGTTCAGCTTCGGCAAAGAGGGTTAACTTCTCAGATGCTCTGTACACCACCCTTGGGCTTCCTTACATCACAGCAACTAAGATCCAAGAGCAAGTGTGACCATAGAGAAGAACCAGGTGCTGACAGTGTCACAAGCCTGAACCTTGGACTGGCTCAGTCATTTCGTTGTGTTTTATGGTCACAATACACACAGCCCTCTTAGATGTTGGAGCCACTGACACTGAATACACATGCAGGGATATGGCTTGGCCTGGGGCATGAGAAGAAGGAGATGCCTTAGAGGCCAGATAGGCCATAGTTGAGGCCACCTGGAGACTTTCTGGATCGTTTTCCTTAATTAGCATCATCTGTTGCTCTGAGGGTTCCTCGAACCCCTCTCAAGATCCTGCTCAGGCTTCCTGCATTTTCCAATCAACTCCTTGCTGGTTAGGAGCTCTGTAGAGGATTTTAGTCCTCCGGGAGTCCTAAAGATCATACCACTTGTCTTATTCCTTTGTGTCTCCGCCATTCATCCATTTGGGGGGTTGGGGACCTAGGCACAGCCCCCAACAGGAACCGTGTCCGAGTTTGGTCACACTTAAGACTCATGCTCCATTCCCAAAGAAGACAAGTTGGTGACACCAAGTGGCCTTGCCTATGCCCCAATTGCTACTTCCCAGATTAAACCGCCTTCAACAATTATAATAGTCATCCCCATTTCTTTAAAATTTTACCTCCATTTTTTTATACCTGTCCTGCTTATGATATGACTCCTTGGCTTTTTAGTTCCAGAAATTTCCTACTGACTTCTTAACTGAAAAATGGTTGAGCCCTAGTGTGCCCATGGTTATCCTAGAGTTACTGTTTTTGAGTGTTTTCCCAACATAGTCTTCACCTGTCTTCCTGCAACACTTGAAAATGTTTCTCAATATAGTTTTAAATAATCTGAACAAGAAGTCTGTTTCATTTTTCCCTGGCCAACCTGTCCAGGAATCCTCTAGGCTACCACCTGTGAACAGGTGGTAGAAATCATTCGAACATGGTAACAACTAGAGGAATGCAAAAACGTCAAACACATTGCCAGTATTTCCAATTAACAAATTTATGGTTAATTTAGATGTCCCCCTAAAGCCTCATGATCATAGGTGGGCTTTTGAGAGGTCGTTGCATCATGGGTGAGGAAACATTAATCTACTGATGGGGTTGGCGTAGTTGTAAATGGTGGTGGGATTACTGAAGAAAGAGGACCTATGTTGAGTGTGGGTGGCACCAAAAAATAGAACTATAGATTAGATGGAATAAAATGGGGCAGAAAGAAGTTTGCTTTTTACTTAAGATTTTTTTGGTTTGGCCGCACAATTGACTATTTCTCCTCTGCATGCTGCCCTTCGATGGAGTCAGGTGACTATGGACTAAAACCTGTACAAAAAGTGAGCTAAAATAAGCCTTTCTAGAGTGGGGATTTATTTCAGGGGCACAAGTGCCTGCCTGAAAAGCATGAGGTCATGAGTTCAGTCCCCAGTAGCAAATACATACATACATACATACATACATACATACATAAATTTCTCCTTTAACTAGTATTGGGGATCTTGTCCCAGGAACGAGAAAGTAAGGCACAGACTAAAGCCCTTGGTGTAATGGCACACACCAGTAGTTCCAGCTACTCCAGAGGCCAAAGTGGAAAGCCTGTGAGTTCTAGACCAGTCTCAGCTGCTTGACAAGACCCCCCACACACATATATACACACAACTACTAAATATACACACGTGTTCCTGTGAGTAACTTCTTTGGAGAGGACATCGAACCACTTACTCCTGGACATTTGGTAGGGCCCATACCTTAGTAACTTTTTTTTTTGTCTTTTTCATTTTTATCGGTACCAGGGATCGAACTCACGACCGCCTGCTTGCAAGGCAGGTGCTTATGCCGTTGAGCTAAATCCCCAGCCCCGAGTAGCTCTTGAATACTAAAATGACTATCAAAATGTTTTTAAATTTAGGAAGCGCTGTTTCCTCTGGCCAGCTCAGTGTTTTGGATCTCTCATGAATAAAATAGGCCATTACCTACAAAACTACTCTCCCACTGTTAAGGCTGAGTTTCCTTTTGTTTTTAAGTCTCTTCTCTGGAAGGAGATAGGCAAATGCGCGGCAATATAACAAGGAAGCGTGTGATTTGCTTTAATTACAGGAAATATACAGTGCAATAAAAACTGTAAATCTGACCTTTAAGCCCACCCAACTCGTTTAGCCTGGGAACGCGTTCCCAGTGTGCACCGCAGTGCGGGATACGGGTGGTGGGGGTGGCCAAGAACCACCTGACCAATAGCCATTCAGGTTGTTTGTGGGTGGCACATCGCGCATCCTGGTTGGCCGGCGCCGACCTCGCTCCGTGCTGGGTGCTGCTGGGCGTTGCATCAGTTCTGGTCTCCACGCCGTACTGCTGACTTCTGCTGCCTGCTAGGCTTGCGACCTCCGGGTCCCCAGGTAAACCGGGCCTCTCCAGCACGCCTCCCCTCGTGCCTGAGCCTGCATTTAGGCTGCTCCTGTATTCCAGGTTCTCCTGCAGAGGCGAGGGTCATACACTCGGGACGACCCCCAGACAATAGGTCGTGATTTTAAAAGAAAGGAAAAAGACACCATATGTGTCCATGAGTAAGTTGTGTGCTTGTCTCTTTCCATGAGGAAGATTGGAGGAAGCCGCAGGGGGCGCCGCAGAACTCAGACCAGGCACGACTCCCGGCCTAACTCCTTGGGGCCAGAGTCTACGATCTGGGAAAGTTCCTCTGCTGCATGCAGGAGCCACGGTGGCTCTTGAAGCGGGTAGTTCTGAGAATTCAGGGTAATAGAGCGCCTTGGGGACGTTCAGAAGATAGGTGACGTTACTGACAAATCTAGGGATAAGAACAAATGGAATGGTTCCGAATCCCAGGCTCCCTCTACCTTTCCATAGAAAGTTTCGGGAAACGTGCGGGCACTTGGGGCCGAAGGTGGGTGTGCCCAGCGACCCTCTCCGGGACTCATTCTGGTAATGCAGAGGCCAAATGTAGGCCTCGCGGGGAGCACAGAGGCGAAAGGCAGTTATTTCAGTGGGATTTGGAGGTTGGAGAAGCTTGGTCATAAGCTGGCGTTGGTCTTAATCTTTGAAGGTGGGCAGGAGACCATACCCAAAATACCATTATTTGAAAGTACCTATCATGTTAGTTTCGTTGTCTCCACCTTTAGTCATACGTGAGGAATAGGTGGAAAGTGGCACTTAGTTTTCAGCACAAGGGCCTGAGTTGGACTCCCAGTATCCAAAAAAACAAGAAAAAGAAAGGAACCTTGAGATTTAGGGTTAAATTTGTCTTACTGAAACTGGGAATAAAGAGAAACGGGTAGAATCCACATATTTTGGTGATTAATTGGATATGAGAATCATTCCAGTAATGTTATGGGTGACTCAGAAAGGTCATGTCTAAGTAATGGGGAAGATAATGAATGGAACCACCATAATTTAAGAAAAAAATCAGTATGGCAAGTAAAACCCTAAGATTTTAAACAAAATGTTTTATAGGCATTTCCAAGATGCAGTGAGGTTAACAAATAAAGGTCAAGGAGAATAGTCTAGAAATGACTGACCAGGAGGCCGAGGCTAACACGGCCTGGAGCACTTGCAGAATGGGGAATAGTGGGGCATCTGAGAAGAAGGAAGAAGAGGTGATGGCACACTTAGCTAAATCTGGCAAGGTTAACCTGCCCTGTGGTTGCTGGGGGCTGTTGTTCAGGTACAGCACTCCAGTGGGTACAATGGGCCACAGCAATCCTGTGATTTTTGCATGGCATCTGTGTTTCCTCAGCAGCTGCCATAGCCCGGTCACTGGTACATGGATTTCTTCCTGAAACGGTCAGTACTGTTGCTTTGGGTCTTTGGCATAAAATGTACAGTATTGTGATTCATAATCTTTTGGGGCCTTAAAAATTCAGTGAAAGCAGCGAGTGAGCCTCCCTGCCAAAAGCTTAAGTCTTTTCTTTTCTTTTTTTTTTTTTTAAGCTTAAGTCTTTTCACAGAAGAGAAAAACATTCAAACATTTATCCCTGAACAATGTCAGAACAGTATGAGCTTGTGTATCAGTGCCTAAGGGATCTTGTCAAGATAGAAGTTCTGGGTCCAAGGTCTAGGTTAGGGCTGGAGCATCGTTCTCTATGTGCTTATAGATTGTCAAGGGTCATCATAAGAACAGCTTAGAAGAAACAAATGTATTGATATCTGAAGCCTAGTAGTCAACACATTTCAGTTGACCTCTGATAAGGTGGCCACTGAACTAAGTAGGACCCCTAATAAATCAGTAAATGCAGAAATTAACATTTCTATCCTCAAAAGGCTAGAGACTGCAATGAAAGTTAAAGATCTAAACAGCCTTACAACTTCCATTTAGTGCTGTTTAGTAATGTACTTTGATTGGAAATTGCTGTTAAGTGTCCTGCCTTATTTTTCCGATATAAAATTCAGACACACATATCTGAAAAATGAAAATGAAAGAAAAGGTATGATGTTACTTGACAAATACGTTATGATCTGAGTCATTTGCTTTAATGCTTTCAGAATGGGTTGAGTTGTGTAGGGGTCATTTTGTTTTCAGATTATTAGTGATCCTGTTTTTCTTTCTAACCTGACATTGGCTTGGAAATTTGGTTACTGACGTTAGAATTTTAAGCTGCATGTGGTAGCGCATGCCTATAATCCCAGCATTCAAGAAGCAGAGGCAAGAAGATCAATGTAAATTTGAGGTCAGCCTGGGCTGCCTTGTAAGACCTGGTCTCAAAAAAAGAAAAACCAAAAAACCAGACATGGTGGTACATGCCAGTAATCCCAACACTGGGAGGTTGAGGCAGGGGGATCATTCCAAATTCACTATGAAGTGAATTCAAGACCAGCCTGAACTGCATAGTGAGACCCTGTCCCCCAAAAAAAGGGAAAAAAAAAAAAAAAACAAGAAAAAGAATTTTAAGTAAATAAACTTTGAAGCCAGAGGGGATCTAGGATAGTTGATTAAGTGTCAGATTGATCAAGTGTCTTTGTGTGAGCTTATCAGCAAAACTTAAGACACTTTAAGATGGCTCACACGAGACAAATCAGAAAGGTCTAGGGCTTGTCCATTTCAAAAATCATCAATAAATAATAAAAAGGATAAAATGGAAAATTGGAAAACTATTCAAATATGAGATTCTCATCTTTTTAGCTTTCTGTGGGTGGAACAGGAAGTGGGTATTCATCTCAGGACCTTTTCCCTAAACGATACTATCCCAAACCCCTTTTATTTTTGAGAAAGTCTTGCTATGTTTCTCAGATCAGACTTAAACTTACAGTCCTCCTGTCTCAGCCTCTCCACAGTGTAAGGTCCTGAGTTGGACCTTACAGGCTCCCACCTAGCTTTCTCTTTTTTGTCTTTTTTTTTTTTAAAGTTAGTCGTCCTCGGAGAAGATGAGGTTATTTCAAATGAAGTACTTTCTAAATGGCTATTAAAAAAAATCAAATAGCTGTTGCTGACTAGGTTGAAGGGAAAGGGGAAGCCTTCTGGATTGTTGGTGGGAATATAACTACCACAGCCATCATGCAAGTCAGTGTGGAGAATCCTCCAAACCAAAAATAGAAATTTCATTCAACCCCACTATTCTCTTTTCGAGGGGTCTTCCCAAAAGAGTTAAGGCATCGTTTTTATAGCAGCACAGTTCATAATAGCTAAATCTTGGAAGTGACCTACATGTCTATCAGTAGATGAATCTGTAAAGAGAATGTGGTATTTATGTACAATGGAGTATGACTACCATGAAGAGTGATAAATTTAAGTTATTTGTAGGAAAATGAACTTGAATCTTTTTGTTTTTTAAATCGGTACCAGAGATTGAACTCATGACCGAGTGCTTGCAAGGCCGGCGCTTATGCCGCTGAGCTAAATCCCCAGCCCGGGAAAATGAACTTGAGACCATAGTGTTAAGTGAAGTAATTCAAATACGCAGGATTAAACATTGCATTGTTTCTCTTGTATGAAAAATCCAAAGTATAAATCAAAGAGCAAAATAAAAGATAATAGGAGACAGAGGTAGATGTTTTGCAAATGAGAAAGGGACCAAGAAATGGAAGGAGGAGGAGAGGAAAGGGACATTAAGAGATTTGAAATGTGTTACATGACTAGGACACAGTTTTGCAATAATTTAAAAGGTACCTTATGCCCTACATCATGCCATGTACAAAATAACTCAAAATAGATTATCATCTTAAATGTTAACTAAACCCAGACATTGCTGGTGCGTTTCTGTAATCGTAGCACTCAGAGGGTGAGGCAGGGGGGCTGCAAGATCAAGCCAAGTGTGGGCAGCTGAGAGATGGCAATTAGAGAGAATATAACGCAGGGTAGACACTCTGGGCTGAGTCCCAGTATTTACCCCTCCCAAAAAATAGTAATGGTGAGAATAATCATCATTTAACTAAAATTTCCAGTGATAAGAACGATGGTGCACCCTGTGACCCTGCATTTGTGAGGTGGAGTGGGAGGGTCACATGTTTGAGGGCAGTCTGGGAAACTTAGGGAGACCTGGTATCAAAAAATGAAAAGGACTGCAGATGTAACTCAGGTGGAGCACTGCTGAGCTCCATCGAGAGTACTGAAAATAGGAAACATTCTTACCCCTGCATCAGGGAAGGACAAACCAGTTAGAAAAGGTGCGAAGGCTGAGTAAATGTTTATCTCAAGAAGACCCACAAAGTGCCAGTATGCTTAAGATTCTCACTCACTAGGGAGATGCAAATCAAAACCACTTTTAGAGATGTCACTGTGTCCTCAAAAATGGCCAGAAAATGGTGGACAGAAAGAAGTATTAGGGGTGACATGGAGAAGCTGGCATCCCATTATACTGCTGGGGTGTAAAGTGGTGTGGTTACTGTGTTTTATCACTTCGCTTGTGATTCTGGCAGCAAACCCAGGCCTCATGCATGCAAGGCAAGTGCTCTACCACTGGGCTGCATCCCCAGCCTTGTGTGGTTACTTTGGAAAACAGTTTGGCAGTTTCTCAGAAACTTAAATACTAAGTAAATATACAACCCAGAAATGTTCCACCTAGTTAGATACCAAGGAAATGAAGGAGTGGAAAGTAGTACTTGAATGTTGGTAGCAGCCTTGTTCAGCGTAGCACAAAACCAAAAGTCCAGTGTCCGCAAACTGATAAACATAATGTGGCATATCCATTCAACAGAATAGTATTTAGCCATAAAAAGTAACATGAGCATATGCTACAACTGAGTAAGCCTTGCAGACATGTTAAGGGAATGCAGCTAGACATGCTAGACCTCTTTCAGGTGATTCATGTCTAATTTCCCAATTGGTATGAAATGTCCAGAATAGTTTAGAAAACAGATTAATGATGGCCAGGGATGAAAGAAGAGAAAATGTGACCATTACTGCAGGTGAGGGTTAAAAGTGTTCTAAAATTAGTGTTAATAATTGCATGAACTTGTGAACATACTGAACTGTATGCTTTAAAAGTATGTATTTTGGTCAGACATGGTGATACACACCTATAATCTTAGCACTCAGGAGGTTGAGGCAGGATGATCATCAAGAGTTCAAGGCAAGTCTGAACTGCGTGGCAAGACCCTGTCTCAAAACTAAACAACTAAAAGTGTGCACTCATTGAACTTTATCTCAATGAGTATAATTTTAATAAAGTATTGTGTAGTGTAGACAGTGGTGTGCACTCCTGTTTTAATCACAGAACCCTTCTATTAGATTTTCCTTCTGTTGTTAATAATTTTAATTTCTCTTATTCCAACAGAATGATTCAACAAGTACCAGAAAACATTGATTTTCCTGCTGAAGAAGAAAAGATATTGCAGTTCTGGTCTGAATTTAATTGTTTTCAAGAATGCTTAAAACAGTCAAAACATAGGCCGAAGTATGTGAATTTTTTTCTTTTGTAAAAGTTGACTCCTTAAGAGCAGTAACTTAGACTGAATTCCACTAAAGCAGAAGCTGTTACTTCAATTCATCTTTGCATTCCCACTCTCCCGGCTGACATAGTGGATCCTCCGCCATACATAAATGTTGACTAAGTGAGCTCTTTTTTATTAGAGCGACTTCAGTGTGAGAGGTTGTCTAACTGGAGAGGATCCAGCACCCTCCTTTCGGCCTCTCGTCACCCACCTTCTGGTCCTGCTCCCCCTGAGTGCAGGCTGCTGCAGTGCTTCCTGGCCCTATCTCCATTCACCTTAGAGACCACTGTTTTATCCTGTGTCTTCTGTGTGTAAAAACTTTGTCTGTTTTACTGAAGATCAGGATTAATAATCTGCCTTAATAGGAAATTTGTCATGGGAACAATAAATGAAAAATTGGTAATCAAATGATAGTCTCTCCAGCTGTGTCAGAATTGGTAGCAGTAGCCTTTCTGAAGGCAGGACCTTCATAAATATCTAATCAGTTAATGCCCAGATGTCCTGATTTTGCTACTTTTTTCTTCTTCCTGAATACTGTGACAGGAGCTACCCATAGAAAAATGTTGACCTAAATGTTTTCTGTTATAAAATGATTTCAGGGGGCTGGGGATAGAGCTCAGTGGCACAGTGCCTGCCCGGCAAACGTGAGATCCTGAGTTCAATTCCCAGTACTTAAAGATTAAATAAATTAAATTAAATAACGTCAACATATATTTATTACTTCTATTAGATTTACCTTCTATGACGGTCCTCCTTTTGCAACCGGACTGCCTCACTATGGACATATACTTGCAGGGACAATTAAAGATATAATTACAAGATACGCTCACCAGAGTGGGTTTCATGTTGACAGAAGATTTGGATGGGATTGTCATGGTTTGCCTGTGGTACGTTTAAGTCTTAAATCTGTGTGATGTTCCCACTTTTTTGTATGCATTATATTTCATCATTTGTTAGAAATGATTCATTTTTATTACATATTACACTTCTGCTTCATTTCTGTAATAATGCCATTCATTTTCTTTGTAGAAATTCTGGAAACTAGTGTTTTTTAAAGTCTTAATTTTTGGATTTAGCTGTATTTGTTTCATAAGGTGTGTGTGTTAACAATCTTGCCCCAAAATTTCAGGAATATGAAATCGATAAGACACTGGGAATCAGAGGGCCAGAGGACGTGGCCAAAATGGGGATTGCGGAGTATAACAACCAGTGCCGGGCCATTGTGATGAGGTACTCCTCCGAGTGGAAGGTATGTTCAGTTCTTTTCAGTAGAAAGTATGGTTTTTAAGTGGGCGTTGACACGCTGTATGGTCCTCTGAGCTTTTTACAAGATATTTCTAAATGCACGGATGTCTGTGCGAGTTTGTGACGCTAGATGAGTTTATCCTGCTCCTGGCACTGTGCTCCAAGAAAGACTCCTTGTCTTTACCCTGCTGGGATAAACCGAAGCCTCTGCTCTGATTTCTGAATGCATGGCCGTGCTCCATACTTCACAGTGCATTATGGGAGTCGGTGTTGTAGCAGTCACACTGGCTGGAATGTTCCAACACAGTAATGCAGGTATTTTTTAAATTCCCATTTGGACCCATTCTTGTGTGTTAATTTGACTCCCTTATGCCCCCCGCCCCCCAGAACAGAGCAGTATAGAGGCGCTGCCGAGCTCCTGCCCTCTTGTTTCTCCAGGTGTGGGAACTACATTCCGTTCTTCCTTCTTGCCCCTTAGAGGAGGTTAGCATGTCTGTGTAACTTACAAGCATCTCTGACTATTTCCCCCATAGTCTCCGTCTTCCCTTTAGTCTCTCAAAATTGGTTGAGAATTCCCTATTCTGCCAATAGTGTCATTTCTTCAAAGTTTTAAAACATTAATTCCCGTGATCCCATCAGTCATCCAATCCGACTTTGTATCTCAACAAAGAGAAGCTACTCAGGTTTCAGGCAGAGGAAGCACACAATGGAAACAGAACTGCAGGAGATAGCACTGCAGCCTGTGTGGAAAGAGCTTGAAAAGGAAAATGACCAGCTGCACAAAGACCGGGGGTGGGGGTGGGGGTGAGTGCTGAGGACAGGTTGTGAGAGTGACTGTACTCAGAAGAGGGGCTCACAGGACTGGTGACTGATAGAGCATCAGAGTGTCTCAGCCTAACTTTCTAACCTGACCATAGGGGTAAATACTGCTAGGTAGGGAATGGTTACGGACTTTTTCTCTTTTTTTTGTTTTTGTTTTTGTCTCTCTGAGACAGTCTCAATGTAGTTCAGGCTGGGACTACAGGAGTGTGCCACCATGCCCGACTAAGGAACTTTTCTTTGATTTTTTTTTTTCTCGCTTAAACGTAAAATATTTTTGAAACTTTTCATTTTGAAATAATTTCAGACATATTAAAAATTTATAGAATGGTATGAAGAGTTCCCCTATGCTGTTCATTACCTTTCCATCTTCAGTAATGGTAATATAATTTCAACAGCAGTAGGTTAATGTGAGTGAATACTACAACTTTTATTTAATATCATTAATTCTTTCACTGATTTTTATCTGATCCAAGATCCAATCCCAGATCACACATTGCATTTCGATGTTGTGTCTTCTTAGTCTCCGCCACGTGGAACATTTCATTGGGCCCTTTTTTGTCTGTCATGATACTGTCATTTTTGAAGAGTGCAGCGTGTCCCCCAATGCCTGATGTTTCCTTATAATTCAAGCATTGCATTTTGCCTGCACGCCTCAGAAGTCATGTCCTGCACTTCTCTGTGTAGCTCATCAGGAGAGCAGTGTTGCTGCTGTCTCTCTCTGATGATAACTTTGCTCAGTTAATTAAGTTGCCATCAGTGTTAGGTTTCTCTTATGTAAACTTGCAGTTTTTGCTTTCATTTAAAAGTACCTGGTAAAGAGATTCTTTGCAAATATTCTTTTTCTTAATATACTTTCATTAATTTTAGCATCCATTTATTCTTGCTAGTAACAATTATACCTGAGTTGCCAAATGGTGCTTTTATATAAATGAGTATTTGTAGGTGTAACTAACTTCTTTGTATAGAATAAATGCCAAGAAAACTGGTTCTGAATCTTATATAGTGTTTTTTTTTAATACTGATTTACTTTAACCATTGATAGTTTTTATTTTCTAAAATTTTATACGATGTCAGTAAGAGTAATGGTACATACTGGTGTAGAAGAATAAAGATCACTGCCTAATACTACTCTAATATTCATACTTTTAAAGTCTGTTGTTACCAGACTTGGCCGATGGATTGACTTTGACAACGACTACAAAACTCTGTATCCACAATTCATGGAATCTGTCTGGTAGGTTTATTTAAAATTGTAAATGTGAGAGATATGCTGTTGTATTTGTCAGTGGAGAGGTATATTCGCTTGAATTTGTTTTCAGATCCAGTTGTCTGGGAACAGGTGTGTTCTAGATTTGATAAATCACCATCGTATCCATCTGTCCTTTAGGATGTAATAGCTTCAGTAGGTTGAACAACCTGTAATCAGATACATAGCATGTCTGCCTCATGAAGTAGAATAAAGATAAGAATGTGAATGGCTTGACATCAGTTAAAGTTACTTTGCCAAATCAATCCATGCCAAATTTAGGAAAAACTAGTGGGGATTTTTTGTTATTGTTTTTGATGGGAGTACAGGGAATCAAACTCAGGACCTTACACCTGCTAGGCATGTGCTATGCTGCTGAACTGTATCCCTGGGCCCAAAAAGTTAGTTACTAAAAGAAAAAAAATTTTTTTTAAGGAATAACTTGTGCCTAATGTGATTGATGGTGATTACAGAGATGAAATACAAGTTCTTGCATGTGCTGTGGATCTCTGGGTTTTTGAACAGGGGGTCTACATGGTGCAGTTGATTTTGTTACCTATAGAGAATACTTTTTTTTTTGTACCGGGAATGGTACTGGTGACCTCGCACTTGCCAGGCAGGTGCTTATGCCGCTGGGCTAAATCCCCAGCTTTGCCTTTGAATTTAATGCTGAAAAATCCTTTATAGTGAAGTAACTATTCCATAACAGTTCCAAAATAAATCTGTTTCTTTTTATTCTCCTAAGACAGTGGAAGTAGTGCCAATCTTGACAGCTGTTCTAACTTGGACCTCCTAATAGCCTGATAATCATTACTGGTCAAGCAGGCACCTTTATTGTGGTTGCAAAATGCCCCAAATATGTAACTTAGCCTGGAGGAAACCTTATTTTCCTTAAGTTGTATACAAAAGTACAGATGAGTTACAAACCTGCTTCGTAAGGTGCAATTTCTCTGCCTATCCCTGTAAGTCATTTGGCTTTCACTGCCTTATCTTCCCATTCCCATTTCTCTGAGGAGCTGCTACACGTGCTTGGTGTGTGTGCTGTGCCTCCAAGGACGTAGGCACCCTGGACAGTGACTCAGACCTCCTTACTAACGTTCCCTAGCGCGTGTACTCGGGTGCAGAGCTGGTCAGAATCTCTGACACACAAGACTTTGGGCAGGCATTTCCAGTTCACTGGGGAGCTGGAGTGCCACTGTCGGGAGTGTCTAGTGCACTCTGGACTCTGGGAAAGGCACACACGCACACAGATCGGGACACGGGGGGTGCAGTGCTCGGAAAAGAAACAGAAGAGACGGCAATTGCTACTGCCTGCACTGCACTGCACGCACAATCTTTATTTTAGGATTCTTATATAGTAAACCGGATCAGTTCACAGAGCACAGACAATTAAGTAGTGAAAAAGCATTCTGTGTGACGAGCTACAATGTGACAGACTACAATGTTTATTCTAAACTATCTAAGTGAAGTAAACAAGCACAATCAATTCTACTAGCTCTTCTAGCCCAGGAGGAAATTCATTAGCCCAAGAATGTTGTTAATTATGTTTGTTGCTAGTGTCACAAAAGGTGGTCAGCCACTTCCTCATGACTCTGTAAACAAAGCCAGGTCACACAATATGGTTTCAGAGGGTGAGAAGATCCCCACTGAGAACAGGCATTCCTGTCCTGCCTCTGTCTCTCATACCGGGGGCTATTGTTTACTGCAGGTCCGAGGGGGCTAGGGCCTTCAAAGTGACACCTCATCCCGCACATGCCACAATGAGGGATGAGGGAGAGCGACTAAAACCAGGTTTTGTGTTAAGCATGGCGAAAGGAAGTTTCAGATTAGGGCTGTTGAGCTCTAAAATGCCTTCAGCCACAGCCTCCCAAGTAGCAGGTGCTGCCACATCCAGTTAAATATTTAGGTTTTTAATTCAAATTAAAAATTACCTATGGCTAGCACCCACCATGTTAGTCAGTGTAGCACCAGATCCTGTTTCTTAATTTATGTAAAATGTGCTTAAACCAGGCATGATAGTACGTGCCTGTAATCCCAGAACTTGGATTACATGGAGTATATAAAGCTAATTTCGCAGAGGTTTTCCCCGAGTCCTGCCCTTTGGTATTCTGTGTGAGGTCAAAGGAAGTGATTGTGATTTGCCTGAGGTCACACAGCTGCCTGTGCGGCTTTTAGGCTTAGAACTGGATCTCAGTGTATCAGTTTTAACATTCTTCCTCTATTGTGAATGTCCTTGTATCAAAGAATATTTTAAGATTTTTTTATTTCAACTTTGGAAAGTTGTTTTTGAAATACTTATCTTTTAGCTTAAAAAGCTCAAAGATACCACAAAGAAACACATTTTCTTCATAAAATGTCATTTTAACAAATGGGAAAGAGTTTCATTCATTTACTGTGCCATATACATAGGAATTAGAATATAAGGATGAAGAAAGAAGGAAATTAAATAAAAGTTTCTGTTAATTTTCTGTGTTGCCAAAGCAGGGGAGGAGATTAGTGATCAATTTGGGGTGACTGTTACGGTTGATATCATAGGGTCTGGGAACCCTATGCTATCTATGCTTCCCAGGGAAACCAGAATGATCAAGCAAACTGACATAACTGGTAGGAGAAAAATGTGGAAGAGCTAAAACACTGCTCACACGGCCTCCAGAGCAAGCCCTGAAGGGCTTTAACTGACCTTGTCCTGTGTCACCAGCACAACACACCTGGTGACACACACTTCACCCCCAAGAGAACGAGTACCTTCCGGGTGAAACAGCCTCCCTCCCCACTCCCGTGTGACCAGTAAACTCCTTGGAACTCCCTGAAAGAGAACGAGAAAGGTTAAATGCTCAGTGAGTTTTTCATTAATCATGGGAGAGAGAGCTGACACTGATCCCAGTAGTGGGTCATTTTCAACTGCTGTTTTTAAAATGCCCATTATAATAAAATTCAAACAGTACACCAGAAAACTGTTCAAAGAAAAAAGTTCATATCGTTAAAAGGGTGATAAAAGTATATTTTTGAACACTGTAGGAAATATGTAAGTGTGTATGCTGACCAGTGCAGATTTCTCTCGTTGACAGTTTGGTCCATCAGAGGCTTTTCTTCATGTCACATTGCGAACATCTTTCCATCTGATTAGATAATAGCATTTCTTAGTGTCCACCTAATGACTCACCATACTGATGTGCTGGAATTTACTAGTGAGTCTCTACATAGAAATCTTTTTTTTCACTTCTGACAGACAGAAATTCTGAACAGAAAATGATGTAAATGTTTTCCATGGAGGGAAATCTTTGTATTATATAATAAAAACTCCATCTGTTACCTTGCCAGGTGGGTGTTCAAGCAGCTGTATGATAAAGGCCTTGTTTACAGAGGTGTGAAAGTCATGCCCTATTCCACCGCTTGTAACACTCCACTTTCCAACTTTGAGGCACACCAGAATTACAAGGTACGTGAGATGCTGAGTGATGTCCCTCGGCACTGAGCGATATGCATGAAAGGTGAATGGTGTGATCACAGTAATATATTCCCAGTGGAGTGTCAACCTGGGGGCGTCTGTCACATGCCAAGCTGCATCCCAGCTGTTTTTTGAGTCAGGGTCTCACTGGTCTGCATTATAAACTTGTTTTTGGTTGATTTGTGTTGGAAAGTGATCTTGTTAACTGGGAGCTGTTTACTTTTAAATCTTTGATATTTTCATGTCAAGATTGCTTTATACTTGGAGCTAGTCTTCTAGATAGTGAGCAAAAATAATTAGTGTTGTCACAGAGTGCACATGTCCTATAGGACATGTCATTTATAGTAAATGATCATCCAAGAAATCAAATACAGAGAAACTATAGGAACTCTGTGCACACACTGAAGACCTAGAGAACCTAACTGAGGGCCTGGATCCCAAGGCAATGTCCTGCACGAGTCCAACTGAAGACCTAGAACCCATGACAGTGCCTCCCACAAGTCCAACTGGAGATCTAGAGCCCACAGCAATGACTCGTACAAGTCTGTTTTATGAATCTGCTCAGGGAAGGCCCAAAGGTCAGCAGTGAAGCTAGAAAGTCTGCACCAGCAGGGTGAAGAAGCTGTGCCAGTGGGTTGAGGGTTCTACACTGGAGCCGAGAAGTGATACTCAAAATAAGGACCAGGGCTCTCCGGAAAAGTAGCACAACTGTCCTCAGCAACAGTGAGGTCATGAGCTCCTCTGACAATGAGTACAAGCTGAGCTCATACTAGGAAGCCAGCATGACAAGCTTCTGGAGATTGAACAGCACACATCTTCCCCGCTGAAGCCAGGAAGTGGTAAAGACCAAAGCTTCCCATAAAGTGAACCTCAGCCATTGTCTGCTACAAGGTCCCAGGCTCCTGTGTCAATGAGAACAGCCAAGTTCATGTCAGGAGAGAAGCTCAATGAACTCCAAGAACCAACAACTCTTAGGAGAACCCACAATGCTGAACTCTTCCTCTGCAGTTGCCTTTTATCCTGGCCACGGTCCTCAGGTGGGCCATCCACTCCCAGCACCGCACTGGTGCAGTTCAGCCGGTGTTAGAAGTTCATCTCCCGTTACCAACCCTTCACAGTGAGCTGACTACAATTCAAATACATGATGTTTCAGTATGATTCTTTCTGATATTACAGGTGAAAACATAACTTTTCTCAAACAGTTATCAACATCATTTGTTCCTCTTGATATATTAACTTTAAAAAGTCCCCTGATGGGGCTGGGGATTTAGCTCAGGAGCATAAGTGCCTGCCTTGCAAGCAGGCAGCTGTGAGTTTGATCCCTGGTTCCGATAAAAAAAAAAAAAAAAAAAAGTCCCCTGATGTGTTAAAAGATTTTTATATTCTCTGGGTTCTGTGTGCGTGCGTGTGTCTGCCCATGTGCAGTACTCTGAATTGAACCCAGCACCTTCACACTAAGCTCTGTTCCCTGCCAGTTTTTATTTTGTTTTGAGACAGGGTCCTGCTGAGTTGCCCAGACTTTCCTGGATTACAGACATGCACCATCTAACTCACCTGCTGTTTCTGGCTTTTGTTATCTGTTAAGTATTGAAAATTTTTGATGTGGAATTTCTTGCATTGGTTTTTTATATTATATGAATATTATGGGCTTCTACAACAATACCTCAGAGCCAACCATGGTGGTGCAAGCCTATAATCCCAGCACTCTAGAGGCTGAAGCAGAAGACTGTTGCAAGTTCAAGACCAGCCTGGGATACAAAGTGAGCTCAAGGCCAGCCTGAATTGCATAGGGAGACCCTGTCTCAAAAAGACAAAAATCTTAAAAAGTAAAAAAACCTCATTTTGTTCCAGGATGTTCAAGATCCTTCAGTATTTGTAACTTTCCCTTTGGAAGAAGATGAAAATGTATCTCTGGTTGCTTGGACGACTACCCCCTGGACTCTACCTAGTAACCTTGCTGTCTGTGTTAATCCAGAAATGCAATATGTAAAGATTAAAGGTAAGTCTGAGGCTGCTTACATTCATCAGAATGGATAAGATAATTTTATTTAGGGAGAACTGTAAAAGCTCACGTATCTTTTTGGAGTAAAAAAGTCTCTCACAAGATCTTTACCTAATCAGAAATATAAGCCGTTTTATTTCTAATTTAAAAGTAACATAAAAATTAAAATAGTATAAAATAGTACTGAGATATAAAAGTAAAATTTCTTTATAATTTCCTGTAGCGTGCTTTAACCCACCATTCCCTTCTTATAGGTGAAGAATCCAAGATTCAGAGATAGGACATTATGTCATAGTAGCATTGATACCAGGACTTGAGGACTTTGTCTCTCAGATACTTCCTGGTAGAGTTATCATTGTCTTAGCTAGCACCTTCCATAGAGATTTATGTGAAAAAAGAAGTTGGTGTTCTGTGCACAAGGACAGCTTCAGGTCTGGATAGTTCATGGGGAGGGAAAGGAAATAACAAAGAGAAAAACCCATTGTCCAGGAAAAATACTGTGGTACAGCTGCTGCGGAGAACAGTATGGCATTTCTCCAGAAGCTGAAAGTGGAACCATGGGCCTGCGCCATCTGCCCACAGGAAGTTTAGGCAGTATGCATATGCAAACATGTAATAATAAAAACAAGAAGAAAAATATTTTAAAGGCAATTGTGATTCATGCCACAACTTGTTGAACCAGTGTGCTGAGTAAAATAAGCCAGCCACAGAAGGTCAGATCTGTAGGATTCCTCTGATCTGTGATCCCCAGAGCAGTCAGCTTCAAAGAGCAAAAGGTCCAGCTGTGATGGCTGGGTTGGAAGAGAGGGAGCGATACTGTCTCAGGGGTAACGTGTTTCCATTTCTGATTCCAGTAATGAGGATGCAAGAACATTGGGAATGTACCTAATGCCACTTACAAAGGGTTAAAGTTAGTTTTTATAAACTAAGGGACAGTCCACTTGATCCGTACTAGCTTATGCTGGCAAGGAAGAAGTTGAAGGAAGAAATTGGAGAGCAGTGGAGGTCAGAAGCAAGGTTTATTTATTTGATTCTCCCCTGACTGCTGGTAAGACCAGGTGTGGTCCCCGTGCTGGCCATCGGGAAGAACTGTCTCTGCACAGGAGCCTGGGTAGGGGTCTGTGACTGCTTTTCTGGGCCACTGGAGATCCCCTCTGTACAGTTTTCCTGTGACCCGAGTCACTGGCCGTCTGGAGTGAACCTGGCAGCCTGAGGAGCCATCTGACCACGACTTCAAAGTGTCATCCCTCTGCCACGTACCGCACTTGTTTTTTCAGACGTGTATGTCTGAGTGACAGGATCCTTTGAGGTCAGGTGGGGAGTGGCAGCATTATTTGTAGCAGTTTTTCAGTGCATTAAAAAAGCCTTGGTAATGAGCCATAGATTCCTTTTCCCCTTGTCTTCCTTGCCTTTATTTTTTGTGGTGCTAGGATTCAAACCCCATGGTTAAGCACACCCTATACCCTGGGCACCTTTTCTTACTGTGAGCCAAATGTATGACATAGGCTCTGGTAAATTCTGGTGTGTTCATAGTTGTTTCTTTGTTGTTTGTTTTGTACTGGGGATGGAACTCATGGCCTTGCCAGGCAGGCACTTATGCCGCTGAACTAAATCCCTGGCTCTTTTTTGTCTTTTTGAGACAGAGTTTCACTATGCCATTCAGGTTGGCCTTGAGCTCACTTTGTAACCCAGGCTGGTCTCAAAACTGGCAACAATCCTCCTGCCTCAGCCTCCTGAGTGCTGGGATCACAGGAGTGTGCCACCACGCCCAGCTCCTCGTGTGCTCATAGCTTACAGGTGGGAGTTTACATTGTGCTAGATTTTTGTAGAGTAGTTTTTCAGTATTAAATTGTGATGTTCATACAATCACTCCAGCTTTAGTATTCCTAGACTAAATCCTCCAGGACATACATTGTCTCAATGTGCATAGTAATTAAGTTGTAAGACAATTTGGGTACTTATTAGTCGATTTGTTAGAAACAATTTGTACCTCGAATAATGGATTCCAATGGAACTATTTAAAAGAATAAAGATTTATATCTATATGGAAAGATGTGTACAATATATTATGTGAATACAAGATACAAAACTGTAGAGTATTATTTTATAGTTGTTTTCAAAATACATAGAATTTACACATACTTACATTATTTGGTATGTATGTGCAGAAAGATACCTGAATGGACACCCAAATGAGGATATATTAGAGGAACTGAGATCACAGGGGACTTCTACTTAGCGAGCTACTTAGTTTGTTAATATTATGGTATTTGTTGCTGATTTTGTGGTACCATGGTCAAACCCAGGACCTCACACATGGTGAACAAGCACTTTACACCTTAGCTTACTAAGGTTGTTGCAGTTTATAAACATTGACAAAATTACATGTATGAGGTGCAGTGGGTAGTACGTGTTAGCTGCCCAGCTGCATCAGCTGCCTGTGTCCAGCATGGTGTAGTGTCCTGTGCTGTGCTCCTGCGTGAGGCTGGGCACACCGCATGCAGGCGATGTGGGAGCTCCTCAGCAGCAGCTGTGCCTCTGCATGTCTAGCCCAGATGCTCTGAACATCACTGAAATCTGCTTTTTCCCTTCTCATAGATGCTGCCAGAGAAAAATTATTCATTTTAATGGAAGCCAGATTATCAGCCCTCTATAAGTCGGAGAGTGACTATGAGATCCTTGAAAGGTGATTATTCAAATAGTTGATATGTGTTTGTCTGTCCATCTTTAGTTTTTTTTTTTTTTGTTTGTTTGTTTTTTTTTTTTTGTCTTTCCTTTTTACCGGTACCAGGGATTGAACTTGGGACTGCCTGCTTACAAGGCAGGTGCTTATGCCGCTGAGCTAAATCCCCAGCCCCCCATCTTTAGTTTTAAAAAGAATCAAGCTTCATTATCTTCTGTCTGTAGCACTGCGACTGTTAAAGCCACATCCCTGTGCTCATGACAGAGCAGCATCCCAAGGGGGTGGTGATTTGCTGGGGCTGCTTTTCTCTGATTTTTTTGAGCCTAATTGTTACTGTTTCATTGTCCTTATTCCAGGTTTCCTGGTGTTTCTCTCAAAGGCAAGAAATACAAGCCCTTGTTCGACTATTTTCTGAAGGTAAGTGCAGGTAGCCAGGACACAGGCTCTCTGCCTGCGACTTTCTGATCCTGGAGCACAGCTCTAAGTGGAATTCACAGCATCTTGTTAACTTGTTCTTGTGTATCGCCCAATCCAGAAGTCTACCTGAGTATTAACAAAATTAAATTGTGGTGAGAATCTTGGAGCTGTGCTCCATGGTTTTCAGTTTCTGGCACAATTACTATTGCAAAACACCCCACCCCCAGCCCCAGCCCCACTAAAATAAGGTCAAATAGAAACCCTTTGGCAGTTCTTCATTAAAACTCCTGGGCAAGGTGGCGGAGCAGCGCCTCAGACCTGGCTTCCTGTGCAATGTGGAAATGATAATGGGCTGGAGAACCGAATCATTTCTGTCGCAGCTAGGACAGAACGTCTGCTGACGCTGAGGTTGCTCCATGAGTTGGTGACTTTGTTGTTGAGACCCTATCCAAGTGTCTGTCCTCTCTGTTCACTGTTTTCACTCTGAATGCTTTCCCACAGTGTCTCCCACTTAACAGCTTTTGTCCTCTTTTCGTGTCACTTCCTAACATTTCTGTGTGCCCTGTCCTTGGTTTTATGTGTCCCTGCAATCTTATGTCTTATGCCAGCATTTACGAGAAGTCTGTCCCACTTCCAGCAGATCTGATTCCTAGCCACACCTCCAAACTGGCCCTTTCTTTCCTGCCTCCTTATATTTTTAAAGTTTTCCTCCCATTTTAAATATCCTCGCCTGTTATTGTATCTTCTGGGTACAAACCATCCCTGTAGTCTGAACGCAGCTGCCATCTGAAAGAAGCCTTCTCGGGAGTGCCTCCCTTCTGCCTGCATTCTGTTAGTGTCTTAACATTGTCTTATTTAGAACCTCTTTCCCTGGTCAGTGGCTGTTTACCTTTCTGAATCACAATCCCCATAAAGGACCAGGGAAAGCTTGGCCTTCAGAACGGGACTCATGGATACTCGGGAGAGGAACCTCAGCTCAGTCAGGGGCCTGTCCGCATGGTGTGCTCCAAACCTGCTGATTATACCAAGCAATACTTGCCTGCTAAGTAAGGCCTCCGGAGAGATTTTAGGTGGAGCCGCCTGCTAAACCACACAGGTCCTGGGCTGCTGAGTGGGGCTGTGGTGTGGACACTGCCTGGGGCAGTACCATGGCTCTTGGTGGTGTCTGCTGACCTGTCCTAGGAGAATGGTGGACCCGGGTGAGATTGATTTGGGACAAGAGAATTCAGCGATGGCTTTCTTCGTCTGTATTTAAGACCCCCACGGGGTGCAAACCCTTGTGCTCATCTCCAAGTTTAAACTAGGCACCTTTCAAACACTTCAGGGTGACTTGAGTTGTTGAAAATTAAGTTATTTTCCCAGTTTAAAGTGCTCAAGAAGCAGAATGTTAGGAGGGAAATAGCATTGTGCTGTTTGGGAGCAGAAGACCTCGCTTCAGATCCAGCCTTCGTGGCTATCACTGGTGTCATTTGGAAAAGTCACTTATCTTTATCCTGAATTTGCTCATTTATGATACTTTTAAAAGAGCAAAAATATTTCTGAAGTATATGAAGAATAAAGTTTGTCATGAAACTGTAGGAGTTAAATGAGAAGTCATTCATGAAAGTACTTGGTATCAGTGCAGAGAGCGAGGAAGGTACAAGGCCGCTTGTATGCGGAGAACCGTGAAGAGGCGGAGACAAGTGCTCTTGCGCTGTGTTAACCTGACAGTGTAACTGCCACATTTCCCCTAGGTCTTATTATGAGTAGATGCCTGGAGAGCTTTTGTAGCTCTGTGATTTCCCCACTTTTTTCTCAGGAGGTTTCCTTTTATGACTGAATAGCTTCAACGAGGTGGAAAGAAAAGAAAGCACATACAGTAGAGGAAAATAAACTGGGAAGCAGAGGCGCCATGGACTGTGTTTTTTGCGATTGTATGCTGAGTTCACACTAGGGCGAGGGTAGGCTTGGATAGTGAGCAAGAAAGCCCAGTTAGGTGCCCGAAAGAAGTTTGAAATTTTCATCTGCAAATCTTTAGTAGTTGTGCCATTTATGCATAAAGACCCATTATACAAGGAACAGATCTATTGAACCAGCTTGTTTTTTTCTGACCTGCGTTAGTCATTTTTCTATTTCTAAAAGTAACTTTGTATGAAGTTTTTTTCAGGCTAACGTTGATTCATCCCTGATGCCGCTGCCTTACTTTTCCAGTACAAAGAGAAGGGTGCTTTCACTGTGCTTGTCGACAGCTACGTGAAGGAGGAGGAAGGCTCGGGAATTGTGCACCAGGCTCCTTACTTCGGAGCTGTGAGTAACAACCTTGCAAACCTTTCATGAGACATAACTGCCAGTGAACATTCTCCCTGGGCTGCTGTCTTGGGCCTCATCGAGCTTCTTGGTCTCATTTCGGCCACAGACTCAGCCCCTTTCCTGGCTCCCTGCATGTAAAACTTGTACCTGTAGATTGGATTCCTTCTGCACTGATAGCTGGAAGCTGTGTGTCAGATTATGGTCCAATGCTGGGTGTTTAATAACTTTTAAAAGGACAAGGTGCCTGCTGGGTCTTCATTCATTCATGAGTTACATGTGGTAAATTCCTCTCTTCAGGATACATAGCGTACATTTTTCCGAGAACACTTTTTCTGGTATTACATTTCTTTGACTATAATTTTTGTTTTCACGTATATTAATAAATTTTATTTTATATATATGAATAAAAAAGAAACCAGGCATGGTGGCTCATGCCTGTAATCCCAGCACTCAGTCAGGCTGAGGCAGGAAGATCATTGCAAATTCGAGACTGGCTTGGGCTACAAAGTGAGCTCAAGTCTGAACTGCAGAGAGACACCGTGTCTCAAAAAGACAAAAAAAAAAAAGAGGCTAGCACAAACATTAAAGGTAGTACTTCCCAGTAAACCATCGCGGCCTTGCCCCAGAGCTATGCGGGTTTTGTTGAATTGAGTACCTGGATGCACAATGCTTCCCACTGCTAGGAATGTGCGTCCGCCACAGTCACTGCTGCAAGGATGCTGGGGTCACCTGCAGACTCTTGGGGTTCATCTTGTCAGTGAATGGTGCCTGTATTCTGTAGGGCCGGAAGCTAGCTGTCTTCATTTATCCTAATCTCTGCAGGGGCTTTTGTCATGGAATCCTTTAAATAGAAATAGTATAATAAATCTTTATAATGAAGCAATCCAGCTGCATGAATTAGCATTTGGGAGACCTGTGTTACCTCTTCCTTGCCCCTGTACCTTTTTTATTTTGGCTAGAGGAATTTGAAGCAAATCTTCAGCATCATGCCTTTCATCTGTATATAGTTCCAGATGCATCTCTGAATAAAGACTTAATGTATTCACCATGCCATTGTTATTTATAAGCAATAAAGTCAGCAGTTCTTTAATTTTACTTAAAACGATGTAAGCAGTCCTGATAAGACTGATTTTAAATTACTCATCACATATCAGTTCATAATTTTAGAGCAAGCTGGTATGATTACTCTACTGATAATTGGTAATAAAGAAATAATTCTGTTTGTATGTGAGTCACAGCACCAAAAAGTAATACTGTAAAACCCTGATTTGCAAGCATAATTTGTTCCAGAAATATATTTATAATCCAAAGCATTTGTGCACTGTATCCTAGTGAATTTCCCCATAAGAAATTATAGAAAATCAGATGATTTGTTCCACGGCCCATAAATATTCATAAAAAATTAGTGCAGCCAGATGTGGTGGTGCATGCCTGTAATCCCAGCATTTAGGAAGCTGAGGCAAGAGAATTGCTATGAGTTTGAGACCAGCCTGGACTATGTTAGCAAGATTTGGTCTCAAAAAAAAAAAGGTACAATCCGTAATATAATACATAATAATAATAAAGAAAATACAAAATATGAAGAAAAATAAATTAACTTGTGGTACTTAACTTTTGCAAACTTTCATGGTTTGTGGCCATCGCAGGGGATTTGGGAGAGGAGGTCACTGTGGAGGAGGATTTCCCAGTCACTGCTGGGGTCGCTGTTCTCTGGGCTCTGTGGAGTCTTCGTCTTTCCATGCAGTTTTAACAAGGAGCCTGTCCAAGGACCCTGGCTTCTGCCTTCTTTAGAGGATTTCATGGAAATGTGACTTCGCCTTGTCTTTAAGCAAATTCTCTCACAGTGCTAGCTTTATTTGAGTGGGGCTTTTCTACAAAACTTTGTGCTCCCCACATTGTATATATCTCCCTATTCTCATTTGAAGTGTGGGGTTCCTCTGCCCTTTTTACTCCTGCAGACAAGGTCTCCTCCATAACCTCTTGGTGATGAGACATCACCCGCCATCCTGCGTGGAGATGCAGAGGGGAATCAGTGGCTTGGTTGTGATCATGTGGCACTCGGTGACAGTATTTCTCATATTGCAAGACATCGATCATTTATCAAGTTAAAATTTATGAGAAATGTTAAAATTTATTAGAAATACTTGCTTGTCTTACATAACACTTGTAGAGCAAGGTTCCAAACCCAAGGTTTTGCTGTAATAAAGACAACTGTGGGTTTGTAGATTTTCCTTTTTACATGAGGATAGTGGTTAGTTACTGTAGATGTAAATACCACTGGCCTAAGTGCTGCACGCTGTAGACGTTCACTTGTCCACAGGCGTTGGCACCACGGGCTAACCATGTCCAAGACACCTTCCTCCCTGTGAGCTCATCCTCACCAGGTGGCACAGTGCGTGGTCACCGCCTGGAAACTACTTTGTCTCATGGTGTGGAATGTTACCTGTGCCACCTGCATTTGGGTACTGTGCCTAGCTTTTCATGTGAGCTTGTCTGCTCCATTCTTGGTGCTTCTACTTAGCTGTGCTCTGGGTGTTTTCCTGTCTGTTCATGCATCCCATCCCCAGGCAGCTCAGCCTAGCAGCAGGTAGTATAGCTCCAGAGAGAAGGAGCTTGTTGGCTTGCCAGCCTAAGTCTTTAATTTCAGATTTAGGCAGCAGAGCAGGTGTTGAGGACCACAGATTCTGAAACAGGCTTTGAATCCTACCTGGCTGCTTCCCAGCCAAGCTCGTTGCATCTCAGCTTCTGTGGGAACTGTTGCTGATTTGTGCCAGGGGAATGCCTGGGGAGACCAGGAACACCCCTGCGCCTTCCATGCAGCGCCATTGTGAGGGTGGAGGGGATTGATGTGGTCAAGAACCCAGGACGTTGGCAGACGAGGAGCTCTAACTTCAGACACTTTTCCATCCGTTCTGGAAGCTCCATGTTGTAACCCAGGGAAACTACGCCATCTGAGACCTGGTTTCTTTCTTTTATAAGATGAATGCCTTGAAGTGAGGTCACTGTTGTCATCCTGAGGCCTGTACTTTTATAGGATCCCAATCTGTGTGTACATCAAACATCTTATGGTACTGAGCAGGCCATGCCTGATGCCTGGGTGGACTTGCGGTTTGCAGGTGTGCTTGTCGGCTGCTATGATATATCAGATATTTCGTTTCAGTTTTTAGTTGTTGAAACATTCATCTGCCTAATCTGTCTTCTCACGTACTATAGGTCGGAGTCTGTGAAATAATAGTTGAAGACTGGGCCAGACACCCAATCTAATCTCTCTCTGGTCTAGGTGTGAGGCTATAATTGCCTGAATGATAATTGAGTGACTTTCAGTTAAGCTGAAGAAAAAGGGAAAGAGAAAGATTAAAAATAGTCTTGCAAATCTGTGACTTTGTGCCTCCCTCCTTTCTCAACACACAAATTTAGACTATTTTGTTCTTCTCCCCCTTCCCTCTTCCTTTGCCTTTTTCCAGGATGACTTCCGCATCTGTATGGACTTCAACATCATTCAGAAAGACACACCCCCTATCTGCCCAGTGGATGCATCAGGCCGTTTCACAGCAGAAGTGACACATTTTGCAGGACAGTATGTGAAGGTCTGTAGTCTTTGTGATGTAGAAGGGTATCCGTCTCATCATACTTAGAAAAAGCAATGCTAGGCTGTACCATCAGCTGTACTCAGAGGACTTAATGTCTCTGTCTTGGTGGGGACAGCCCAGGGCATTCAGATTATTTGTTTTTCTTATAAGACAAAAAACATTAATATAGGAGTTGCTTTTTAAGCTGAAACCTCAGTATTCAGGTTTAAGTGCAGTGGTGTACTAAGGGGTTTGGGGTAGTAGTTTGGGCACTTGTCCCTACAAGGCTTTGCCATCACTGCTCTAGAGAAAGCTTGTGGTGACTCAAGGGTAGGCATGAAGAAAATTGAGCCACAGTTTGTGTCTCATGAAGCAGCCTTGTGATCATTTCTTTTTTTTTCTTTTTTTTTTTTCTTTTTTTTTTTTTTTTTGTCTTTTTCTTTTTTTATCGGTACCAGGGATCGAACTCATGACCGCCTGCTTGCAAGGCAGGTGCTTATGCCGCTGAGCTAAATGCCCAGCCCCAGCCTTGTGATCATTTCTAATTGGACTTCTCACTACTTTAATGGTATGCAGTGTACTTAAAAGTACAGTCCTGTATCCCGGCTGCTAGGGAAAATGGCAGGTTTGAGGTCAGCCTGAGGAATGTAAATTTTACATACTTCATGCTTACTAAGCACAGTAAATCCAGACTTAGGAATGAGTTCTCTTCCATGAGAATCGTTCCTTAGTTGGGTTCATTTGTAAGCCAGCAGAGCGACTCTTCCGCAGTCCACCTGTGGAAGTTGGCAGCTCCAAACATAATTTGGAGATGTACTGTAGCTAAAGATGGACAGTGTTTTTTGATGATGTGTTCTTTGTGCCTTTCATTCATAATCACATGTCAGATTTTAGTAATATGTTGTTAGTAAGAGGAATAGACTTTACCTAAGATCCTGGGATGTGAACGCAGGACCACTGCACTAAACTGTGTCCCCAGCCTGCTTTATTTTTTATTTTGAGACAGGATCTTACTCAGGTGCCCGGCTGTGGTGTGGACTTGCACTCCAGTCTCAGTGCTAGGGTTACAGGTGTGGACTCCCACACCCAGGTGGGATGTTTTCATGGCTAAATTTTTCTCCTTTTTTTGTTTTTTAACCAGGATGCTGACAAAAACATCATCAGGACCTTAAAGGAACAGGGCCGACTTGTCGCCACCAGCACCTTCACTCACAGCTACCCTTTTTGCTGGAGGTGAGAGGGTGTGAACACTGTTGTAGCTGGGCTTTGTAGTGTGCACCCCTGCCTTTGTATTATTGTGGGGCTCATCTCGTGGGTGTCCTGAAGAGTTAGCCTCTCAGGACCATGACACCCACACCTTAAAGGAAAAGAGGTTTATTTTGGCTCACGGCTTCCCACCATGACAGCTGTCTCCAAGGCAGCCATGGTGTGGTGGGTGGGCCAGGTCCAGTGGTCCTAGTGGACCAGAAACAGAGTAAAGGGGCAAGCTGAGCAAAGAGATCTGTCTTTCCCCATCACTTCCCAGTGACTGCCCTCTTCCCACTGGAGCTCACCCCCTAACAGCAAGCCGAGCTCTTGGTCTGGTCACCTTCCCAAAGCCCTGCCTGTGAGGGCGTGAGTTTTTGGGGAGACCTTCTCCATCTCGGCTGCAGCAATGTTTGAAAACTGCGTGGGGTATTAAATGCGAGGGCTGAATTTGAGGCCCCTCAATGTCACGTTTTTGTCCACATGTGTCTGTTTTTCTCACACAACCCTGGGGAAACTGACAACTTTATGTACTGATAAAATTCCTAACAGTGAGGGAGCACAGCCCCTCAACACATGTGGTGCCCCTGAGACGCACCCTGCAGTGTTGTGTCTTTTTTTTTTTTTTTTTTTGGCTTTTTCTTTTTTATCGGTACCGGGGATCGAACTCACGACTGCCTGCTTGCAAGTCAGGTGCTTATGCCGCTGAGCTAAATCCCCAGCCCCTGCAGTGTTGTGTCTTAAGACGCTTGTCATCAGCAGAATTGGTTTTCTCCCTGGTCCTGTTTCCCCATGGGCTTTTACCTTTCTTGCTGTCTTGGAGGAAGTGAACTGGTGTTGAAGACTTAGACATTTGTCACTGTAGTAAAATAAGTCTTAGCAGAAGGCCAAGCAGTGCAGCCTCACTGGGCCCGGGATCCTCCCTCTGACCATCTGCACCATGACGCTGCTTCCCCAGGTCTGACACGCCCCTCATTTACAAAGCGGTGCCCAGCTGGTTTGTGCGTGTGGAGCACATGGTGGACCATCTGTTGAGGAACAATGACCTGTGCTACTGGTGAGTGGGGCATGTGTTTCCCTGTGCTGTCCTCTCTGGGTAGTGAGTGTGGTCTACATGCCCAAATTATAATCCTGATAGCTAACTTGTTGGAATAGTTGTGTTTCATATGTTGGCAATCATAACAATTGAATATTAAACAACGGAACTCATAACCTCATACTTGCCAGGCAGGCACTTATGCTACTGAGCTAAATCCCCAGCCCCTAGATTTTACTTCTTGTTTACCATGAAGATCCAACTAATGCTACAAACTGCATTTGAGGTTGGGTGTGGTGGTTCATGTCTGTGGCCTCAGGACTCTAGAGACTGCAAGCTCAGCTTGGCCAGCCTCATGAGACCCTAACTCAAAATAAAGAACTGTTTTTGTTTTTTGTTTTTGTTTCTCTTGTCTTTTTAATACAGGGTCTTGCTATACGGTTCAGACTGGCCTTGAGCTCACTTTGTAGCCCTGATGGAATGATCCTCCTGCCTCAGCCTCTCAAGTACTGGGATAACAGGAGTGCACCACCACGTCTAGCTTAATAAAAAAACCTTAATGGTTAGGGATGTAGCTCAAATATGGAGGCTAGGTACTAGGTTCAGTCCTTACTACCAACAAAAAACAAACAGTAGAAAAAATAAGCTACATGTGCCTTTCGGAGTATGAGGTGGATTACAGCGCAACAAAGGAAGTGGTTATAAACTTTCTAATCTGTTTCAGCAAAACGACTGACTTCACAAAAGATAACTTTTCTGTTTTCCAAGCAAGCAAGCTCATTAGTTCCCTGACATGTAAGGTACATTTATTAGTAAGATTACCTTGAGGGGATCCACTCACATAAACTAATGTTATAACGTAAGATGATGATACAAGTTTCCAGGAGGGCAAAGAGGCTATTTGGGGGCCTAGGAATCCCCTAACTGAGCCCAGCCTTGAGATGGATTCCTGCAGAGCTGAACCTCAAGGGAGCAGAAGTGTTGGGAGTGGGGAACAATGAGCTGGGGAACCTGCCCCGATGCTGGAAGTGGCAGCACGGGGTCAGGGAGGACCAGAGAGGAGGAGTCCCGACTGCCGGAGCCCACCAGCGACACCTTTATCACATGAAGACTTGGGCTGGTGCCTTCTCCCCAGAAGACAGGCTCCTAGCAGCAAACAGAGATTCTGGAGCTTTCAGGCCACAAAGTGTTATACAAAGGCTTATGCAGATGTAATGACAGCTGGGCATGGTGGTACACTCCTGTAATCCCAGCACTTGGGAGGCTGAGGCAAGAGGATCATTGCAAGTTCGAGACCAGCCTGAGCTACAAAGTCAGTTCAGGGCAAACCTGAACTGCACAGGGAGACCCTGGGTCAAAAAACAAAAAAGATACAATGACTTACTAGTGTCCTGACAAGATCAATTCTGTAACCTGTTTCTGTCAGGGTGCCAGAGTTCGTGCGAGAACGGCGGTTTGGAAACTGGTTGAAAGATGCGCGTGACTGGGCGATCTCCAGAAACAGATACTGGGGCACCCCTATCCCGCTGTGGGTCAGCGATGACTTCGAGGAGGTGAGGCAGGGTGTGCGTCCTTTGCTCTTCTCGTGGGAATGCGATGTGAAAGTGTTGCTTTTTTTGTCTCTTCATCAGTCTTTTCCTTATTTCTTCCTTGGATTATGACGTGAAATAAAATTTTTTATTTGATTTTTATTAAAGGGAGTAAACCAGATTAGTAAAAAGAAAACAGTGATAGGACAGTAGGAAAGTCACAATTATTATTAGGTTGCATATTGTTATCCTCTGAATAGTTGCCCAGACTAAGAGCCCCAGGCCTGCAGCCAGTCAACGCGAATCGGTCAGGTTGCTTCCCCACCTCACTTACTGTTGTGCAGGCTGCATCCAGTCTGGTTGCTGGGGCGGGGCGTGTGGAGGCGGCTTCCTTGCTGGTTCTCCCTGGCCAGCAGAGCCTCCGCCAGCACACAGGAAGGCTGCATGGCTTCCTCATGCCCTTCCTGCATGCCCTTCCTCCGCAGGCGACAGGGCCTCCACGCTGCATGGGGATTGGTGGCTGCATTGCTTCCTTGCTGTTTCTCCCTGTCCAGTGGGCCCGTCGCCTCTGGTTTTCCTGTTTTTGCTGAATTCCTGAGTTACCTGTCTCCTTGGGCTTCACGTCTCAGTTCACATCCTTCCTGTGTGCGGGGACCCACCTCTCCCCCTCCTTCATATTGCTGTATTCCAGGGTCTGGACACCAGAGCTTGGACATCTGCTTTCTCTGCTGCTCACCACTCTGCCATTTTCCCTGAAGTCCTCAAAATCAATTTTGAGAGTTTAAATTTTTACCTATTTTAGTTTAAATGCTGTTTTTAATTTTTTTTCTATGTATATTTTGTATTTGTCTCAGGGAAATTACATATTAAAAGTTTTTTCTGGTGTTGCTGTGATCTCTCTTCCTCTACTTTAAGTTACAAGATTAATTTAATCCTAAATTGATCGTGCAGATAATGAAAAAGTAGAAATCAGAAACAAATGTACCTTGCATTGCAGCTCTTTAACTTTTAAAACTAGCCCTGTGGGCAGGTGGGTGGACGGGTGGAAACAAAGACAGATGGTTTTCCCTGGTGGACCCTCTGTCCAGGGCAGACGGATGAGAGCCTGACGCGCAGCAGTGCCCAGGAATTGATCAGCTTCCTGTGCGCCTGGAGGTGTCAGTGAAGTACCTGGTCCACAAGAGTTTTCAGGACTGATGGGAAGGGCAGAAAGAGGCTGTGGATACTCTGTGGGCAAAAGAGCCACAGCAGCCCTTGCTTGGGCGGCTGCTGCAGGGAGATTCTCCCCCTTCTGGATATTTCCATTAGCCCAGGTCATAGCTCTGAGATCAAAATGTGGTTTTTCAAGAGAGATAACCCACAGTGGTAACTATCTTTTAGCCCAGATTGGTGTGTTAGCCTTAAAAGAATATCAAGTCATTTGTGGTGACACATGCCTGTTATCCCAGCATTCAGGAGGCTGAGATAAAGATTGCCACGAGTTTGAGGCCAGCGTGGGCTGTGTAGTGACTTTAAGGTCAGCCTGAATGACAGAGTGAAGCCCTGTCTCAAAACAAAAGAAAAAGCAGAGGTCGTCAGAGAAATAAAAAGAATTAGGATGTATTATGTATGTGTTCCAGCTCCCCATTAATGAGTATCATCATGTACTATAAACATGTATTAATGTAAGTATAAACAACAGGGTCAATAGTTTCTGCAACTAAACATGATGCCAGGTAGATGACCCCAGTGATAGTAGCTTCTGCTCTTTTGTTTTTGACAGGTAGTTTGCATTGGCTCTGTGGCAGAACTTGAGGAGCTCACAGGAGCAAAGATCTCAGATCTGCACAGAGAGAGGTCAGTGTCTGCTGAGTGTCTGCCTCACTTCAGCCCAAAAACCCCTCTCTTAAGACGTGGTCTGGCAAATTACAGAGCTGCATGCGGGAAACACTAATTTGTGAATGGCTTTGGTTTTTCATTTGTATCCTTTTTACTTTCATTAGCACGTTTCCAATATGTAATGAAGTGACTGTATTCGCTGTCAGGGATTGGTGGATGTACGTGACATATTTCAATTCTGTCCCTCTCCTTCCTTCCATTCCCCTTTTATTTTTCAACATCAGATTCATTTATTTATCTTAGGAAATCTTATGAAGTTAATTGTCACATATACAGATTGAAAACCAGATTAAAGCCAGAGAACACATAAAACATGTAAGGAAATTGTACTCAGTCAAGGTATGTTTTTAGATGCATTACTGGCAGTGCATTACATCACCTTTTTCCTGTTACTCTTTATTTCATATATGTACATACTTATGTATGTATGTATATGTGTGTACATATCTCTTGTATATATAATTTTTATATAATTTATATATCACATGTGAGTTACTTAACATTATGGTCTCAAAGTGGATCCATTTTCCTACACAAATACATTTCCTCTATCCCGTCATCTGTTCATGGAGTATAATATAGGCTGATTCCAAGACTTAGCTATGGAAACTGCTGTCACATGGGGATCTGCGTACGTCACTGTAGTAGCTTGTCTTTAGCTACTTCGGGAAGGTGCCTAGAAGGAGAATGGCTGGGCCAGATGAAATTTGTTCTTAGTTTTTTGGGGGATCTTCCACACTGATCTCTAAGGCGATTACGTCAGTCTGCACTCCCATGGAGAGTGGAGAAGAGCTCCCCTACAGCCTCACTAATGTTTGTTATTGATTGATAGTTGTTTATTTGAACTCACTGTGTTGCCCAGGCTGGCCTCAAATTCAGAGCCATCTTCCTGCCTCAGCCTTCCAAGCAGTGGGATTCCAAGTATATGCTACCGAGCCCAGCCTTGGTTTCTCCATGGTAGCCCCTCTTAGTGGAATGAGATGGGATCTCAGTGTTACTTCATGTGCACTCCTTAAATGGCCAGCAATGTTGGACCCTTTCCATGTATTTACTTTCCATTTGTATCTCTTTGTCTGAGAAATGATTCTTCATTTCAGAAAACCACATTTTTAAATGGGCCTTCAACTTCGGGGGTTTCTAATGTTTTAGAGGTTCTTTATACATTCTAGCTGTTAGTCCTTCGTCTGAGGAGTAGCTGGCAAAAGTTTCCTGCCGTTCTGTTGCTTCACTGTGTCAGTGGTTTCCGTGGCTGTGCAGGGAGTTACTCTTGAATCCCGCTGGGTTGAGATAGTGTTCCCTCCTCTTTCAGTGACGCATCAGGGGACTTCGGTGTGTGACCCTTCAAAGTGAGGGCTCCTCTTGTCATTTTGCAAACTTCCTGGAGTGTTCGCCCCAGCCTCAGCTGGTCTCGGCTGTCACTCGGGTGCTCTTGATGCCGTCAGAGAAGGAAGCACAGTGGATAGGTGTTTGCGAGTAGCAAAGCCCAGCACCCCGGAGTGCATACTAAAATAACAATAAAAATTGTAACAGACCAGTTACAGTCATTTATCAAGTGTCCTGCGCCATATATAATTGCATGCACTGTACTCCTGTACAGTTTATAGCATAGCGTGTTTACTCTTCACCATCACCTCAGACCTGAGTAATGTGCTGTGCTACCTTAGGACCATGCACTGCCCCTGCTTGTAGGAATTTTTTAGCTCTGCTATAATATTGTAGGTGGTCACTTAAAGGGTGAAAATGTCTTTGTATGATGTGACTGTGATACCTTCAGGGCTGGAGGTTCTGTCAGACTTACAGCTAATGGGAGGGGCACCTCTTTTGTTCGGCAGCATTGACCATCTGACCATCCCCTCACGCCGCGGGAAGGACCCGCTGCGGCGCATCGCTGAGGTGTTTGACTGCTGGTTCGAGAGTGGCAGTATGCCCTATGCCCAGGTTCACTATCCGTTCGAAAGCAAGAGGGAGTTTGAAGGTGCTTTTCCTGCAGACTTCATTGCCGAAGGCATCGACCAAACCAGAGGATGGTATGTCGCTCATTCTGCAGGTTCTGTGTTTGCGTTTATTTTACTGAGCAACTGTTTGCTGAGTGCCTGTGGCATATCTGCTGTGTGCTGGGGTTGGACCACAGGATAACAGTCCTGTTTGTGCCTAACCCCCTAACATGGGCCCCACCCACCTGTCTATTAAGCAGAACTCTCACTACAGTAGGGTTGTGCTGCTATGATTCACAGTATGTCACTAACATTTTTTTGTAATGTATCTGCATGTTAAGTTGGAAATTGAAGTATTATGAAACACTTTATGTGTACCTAGGTGGTTCAAATTGTTTACTCAAATGTTTAATGAGTATTTACAACAAGACTTAAATAGATTGAGTGCTAGGAATTTGGGCAGTAGTTGGAAAGGTGCTTAGTATTCATTGTAGCCCTAAAGGTGAGCATTCCAAACATCCAGATATACCAGTATGTGGGGGGTTTGGTGTTGGTTTTGTCTGGTGCTCTACTTGGAGCGGTAGTCACATCCTCATAATGGGAAAAGGGACTTTTTCTCCCCCTGTGATAACGTTCCTGCAGGGTCATGCTCATGGAACTTCCAGTGTCATTTTCTGCCTCTTCAGTTTATGTTGGTCATTGTTAAAGTCCTGGTGTGGGGTCCAATCCTCACTGCCCCTTTATCCTCTCTGTCAGACCTGGGCTGCCTCTGGGGCACCAGGGGCCCTTGCAGCCCTGCTCTGGAATAAAAAACACCCTCTCTGGACAGGTCTTTGTACTTGATTGGGAGCTGGTCTCCCCAGTTCATACTCTTTGACAGTGCTAGAGTACAGACCCAAGTCATTGTGGTGAGAGAGCATTAATATAATTACTAGCATGAGAATGTCACCCTGGAACAGCAGGAGCAGGAGCAGGGCGGGGTGGCACACGATTGTCACGCCTGGATAGTGAGAGGGATAAGAGTTCTGTCGAGGAAAAAGTTCAGTAATTAGGCATAAATGAGATGTGTGATGTCAGAATCAGAGACATTTTCTGTTGCCAAGGTCCACATATATTTCCCCTTCGTTGTGTGAGTGTTTCTTGCAGGTTGTGTCATACAGTAACACGTCCTAGGCATTCTGAGTGTGTCTGCTCACCCAACCCCTGATGCCTGTGGCTTCCATCCCCGCCCCATAGGCAGGGTCAGGACATGGCTGGCCTTTAATTGCTTGTAATCAAGTATGTTTTGCTTGCACACCCAGGGCTATAATTGGACTAATATAAGAACCACAGCTTTATGTGATTATCGAAAAGCAGAAACTCAGCCAGTGAGTGCACATGTTTCTCCTGTGTTGGGCTCCTTGTCTTCTCACGCAGTTCTGTGTTTTCAGGTTTTACACTCTGCTGGTCCTGGCCACTGCCCTCTTTGGGAAACCGCCTTTCAAGAACGTGATCGTGAATGGGCTCATCCTGGCGAGGCAGGTGCCCTCCTCCCTGGACCCTCATCCCAGTGTGCCCCTGCGTCCTCACCCCATAGAGCCCATGTTTGGGCTGAGCCCTGTGTTCTCTCTCTCTGAAGAGAGGCTTCCAGGGACACAATGCCAACTCTAGTCCTCTTGCTTGGCCCTCTGATACCAGACTTCTTGTGGCCCCGCCTGTTTGTTACCACTCCTGTCCTATCCTGTCTTTTGCTGTCCTGTACTGTGCTATGCACATCTGCACATCTGTGTGGCTCTGTACAGCACTGTTTCCTCACGGGGAGGAAAAGAGGGAGGAAGAGAAGCAGGAGGAGGGGAGGGCACACAGAGCCAGGGGCCAAGGAGGAGAACCGGGGGGCATACCCCCAGACCGCTGTGCTCCCATCACCAGTGATGGTGTGAGGTGTCCACAGCCTGAGGTCACATGCAGTAGGTTTGCTTGTAGGTGTTTCTTCATCTGCACCTCAGTCTTCTTTTTGCAGGACTGCGGATTGAACCCAAGATTTTCACACCAGTCTCTGTCCCCAGTTCTTTCTTGGTTGTCTGTTTTGAGACAAGATCTTGCTAAGTTGCTGAGCTGGCCATGCCCTATCCTGCCTCAGCCTTCAGCATACCAGGATGACAGGGATGCACCGCCACATCGGCTCATAGCCCCTTTTAACCCATGAGGGAGCCCTGGGCTCTGAGAGCGCAGGTGCCCTGCTGCAGAGAACCTCAGCAGGCCCAGATTCTGCCACCCGATGTGTGTTTGTCATGGTTTAGTGTTAATAGGAAAGGTTAAGTTTCATTGCTTCCGGGACCTCTGGTCACTTAAAAACAAAAACAAAATTTCTAAGACAAAGACTTTCACACGCAGGCTTCCCAGGCTGCGTGAGGAAGGACCGCACCGACCTTCTGTGCGTGCCCTGACCAACAGGCCCTATCGTGCCCAGCCAGGTCTTAACCCACTTTATCCTCAGAATGGTTTCAATTGGGGCCTACAGTTATTCTGTTTTGATGATGGCGAATTTTACAGCACAAGAAGATTAAGAAACTTGTGGAAGGTCACAGAGCAAATTAGTCATAAATTTTAGGGGGTTTTTTTGTTTTTTTCTGTGATGGGGTTTCACTCTGTAGTTCCAGCTGACCTTAAACCCATGTAGCAAGAGGCTCTTCTTACTCCTTTTTTTGTTTTTGAGATCGGGTCTTACTATGTAGTGCAGGCTGACCCTGAAGTCGTGATGATCCTCCTGCCTCAGCCTCCCAAATGCTGGAATTATAGATGGGTGCCAGCACACCTTCCACCCTTATCCTCAATCCCCTTCCACCCTTGTCGTCAATCCCCAAGATCCCCTAATCTGTTCTCTCTCTCGGTAACTTCATTATCTCAAGAATTTTATGTAAACAGAATCTGCACCTAATTTCAGAGATTAGCTTTTTAGTCAGCGTAGTTCTTTTTTACAAGCTGTGCACTCCTTTTGTTGCTGAGTCCTGTCTCACAGTAAGGACATCCTAGCCTAACCTTTCACCTGTGTGATTTTTACTGCACCACGCGTGAAACTCAGGACCTCCCACATCCACCCCAGCCTGCACTTGTTGAAGGTCAGCTGGGTTGCTTTGAATATTTGGTGATTATGAGTAGAGATGCTACAGTTATGTATTTACATGACCATAAGCTTTCATTTCTCTGGGATAAACCATGATAAGTCAATGGCAAAATACTTCATGGATTTATGGTTCTAAAAAAAAGGTTTTTGAGGCCAGAGATGTGCACCCAAAGCCCTGCGTTTGGTCTTTTGCATCATAAAAAAAAAAAGGAGAAAGGTTAGAAGTGCCAGCAAAACAACCTTATTGTTACCTAACTCCTGCTTCTCTTTTTCACTGAATGAGTTTTTATTTGCAAGTAACTTTGTCCATATAAGGATCAACCGGGTTTACTTACTTCATTGAAATCTACTTTTTCTTTTACAAGTGATGGCCAAAAAATGAGCAAACGAAAAAAGAATTATCCAGATCCGGTGTCAGTCATCCAAAAGTACGGTGCCGATGCCCTCAGGTACAGCAGTGGTTTGTTTGGGGGTTTTTGTTTGGTTTGGTTTGGTTTCTTTGTCTTTTGTCATTTTTTGGTAAGCATCTCCCGTCCTGTTAGTCATAATTCTTAGATTTGTGTTTTATGCTTCTAAACATGGATCTCTGTTATATGGGAAGCTCCACTGGTATACTTGCTGATTTTAAACTCCTGAATAGTTTTCTAATTAGTAAAGGTGACTTTATTTTTCTTTACTAAGTTTATTGGTACCTTTTACATATACATAATGATCACAGTTATCACAGGGTATTTGTACATATGAGTAAAGCTATTTTTAAATATACAGGTCTTTTTGACAAAGAGGACCTGTTTTAGATTTCATGAGCCATGAGGCCTCCCTGGAGTAGTTGTGGGTGCCTTTGCCTCGCTTCCTTTCTAAATTCTTTGTCTTGGTGGTATTGAAATTCTCTTCCATTATTTAATTTTGCACTTACAGAGCCCCATGAGCTATTTGTAAGCAAGGACAAATTGGGAATGCTGAAATATTGGAGAAATGTTCCCAGAAGTTTGAGCCAGTGTTTGAAATAGTCGTAATCATGTAGTTTTCATAATCACAGTTTTCATGCTGAAAGGGGCCTTAAAGGAGTTCAGTATCCCGGTGTCCTCATTAAGCCTCAACTGTCTACCCTTGGGCAGTGCTGTGTGACCAGGAGCACTTACAGAGGTTGGGCCTGGGCTCTGTTATCTGTGAGACTCATTCTTGGTACCCTCGGCCTTAGGGCGGGATCATTTTCTCTGGTGAGGGCATCTGATAGAATGTTGGCAGCACTTTGGCCTCTGCCACCTGGCTGTAGGAATCTACAGTCTGCGCAAGCTACTCCTGGACACTTGAGTGCCCACGTGGTGGGCAGTGGGCAGTGTTGTCCAGGGGAGAGAGGATGTGGCTCTTGGTGAGGACCCTCTTCCGTGATACAGTGCCTTGATACAGTGCCATATTTCATTTTTGTGTTACATGCAGTAAATGCCTTGATGTTTGCTAGGGCTCTTTCACAGAATAAGAGCTTAGTGAGTGTGAAATTGACCGTTCAAAAAGTATTGCTGTTTGTCCCCTTTTGTAGAAGAATGTGGACTTTAATCTTGTTGTCTCAAAATGTCGGCGGGATATTTCGTTTATCATCTACAAGACTTTGCTGAGTGTTTCTCCCTCTTCCAGGTTATATCTGATCAATTCCCCTGTGGTGAGAGCAGAAAACCTCCGCTTTAAGGAGGAGGGCGTGCGGGACGTCCTAAAGGACGTGTTGCTTCCGTGGTACAACGCATACCGCTTCTTCACGCAGAACGTCTTGAGGCTCCAGAAGGTACGGCCCAAGGGCTGCGTGCTTGCTAAGTGGGTTCGTGTCGGATCTCAAGGCCATTTTCTGTCTGCTGTCTAATGTGGGCGCACCGAGCTATGGGGAGGCTGGACCCAAAGATGGGGCAGGTGTCCAGGCCCTGCGTGGGACTCAGACCTTGACTGGGAAGGAAGTGTAGTAGTTTCTTCAGTTCTTGGTGCCAGGGACACCATGTCTCCCCTCATGGATAAGTGGGTCATGGAGTGAGTCCCTGGTGAGGGGCAGAGCCACTTCAGAGGGCTCAGGGAATGCTACTCTGTGGCACTGGTTGAAACTCAAAATGGCAGTGAATGGAAGGTGGTCAGTTTCTATCTGTGAATGTGCCCTTCGGGCTGGTTCCTTGCCTGCCCACGCCTGACTGCTGTCAGGCTGGTCACCTCCAGCGCATGCTTCTGTGTATGCTTTGAAGACCCCTCTGGGGTGGGAACCTCAGGACTGCTGTCCCTATCTCCAGCACCTGTCAAGTAGAAATGCTAACCGATTGATGTTGTCTGCATGTGTGGCTGTATCCCTGCTTGATTCGGCCTGGAAGCTGGCTAGAGTGCCAGCAGGTAAATCACTCAAGTTCTGCTGCTCTGGGTGTGGCTCAGTTCATTCCACTAGTGGAGACACAGTGTGTTCACCTCGAGCTCCCAGCTCATTTTGCCCTGGGAGCTGAGAAAGGCAAGCATTTCCCCTGCATTCCTTTCATTGGGAATCCTCCCAGCATTCCTTTCATTGGGAATCCTCCCAGCATTCCTCTCATTGGGAATCCTCCCAGCATTCCTCCCTTTGGGAATCCTCCCAAAGAGGATTTATCAGTTCCTCTCTTGGGGATTCTCTCAGCATTCCTACCTTTGGGAATTCTCCCAGCATTCTTCTCTTTGGGGATTCTCCCAGAATTCCTTCCTTTGGGAATCCTCCCAGCATTCTTCTGTTTGTAATCCTCTCCACACATGGCTCTGTGCCAAGTAGGGACCGCACAGAGCAGGTGCGCTGTGCAAGCCTCTGCTTGTGTGGACTCAGGTAACCCCTGTACCTAGCAAGGGCAGGCTTCTTACCATCAGATGCTTCACCCCGTGGAAGAGCCATATCACCCCTGATCCTCTGACTCGTAGTGCTGCAGTGAGTTGGGTTTGCAGAGCAGGAACTGTGCTGAATGGGGTAAAGGATGATTATTGCCAAGCTAAAAGCAGGAGGGTTAATCTAGGAGGAGGAAAAGTCTAAGCATGGAAAGAAATACCCAGTATTCATTCAGGCCCGAAGTTTTATTTCTTTCCTAGGTTTTACTCAATTCTTTGCAAGACTTTTTTAATGTCTTTGAATTCTTAATAATTCTTTAGTACAAAGAACTAGTTTATCCTAAATCTTCATTCTATTTATAAAACATAATTATTTGAAGACTTTAATGTCCCAAATTACTGCTTATCAGAAAGTAGAATTGCCTACCCGGAATGTGTGTGGGTTTGGTTTTGTTTTGTTTTCCTTTCAGTTTGAGTGATTCTCTCATCGTAGCTTCTCCACCATGCATGTGAACTCTTTCTTGTCTATAGGAGGAGGGAGTAGAATTCCTCTACAATGAGAATGCAGTTAGAGAAAGCCCCAACATCATGGACCGGTGGGTCCTGTCCTTCATGCAGTCGCTCCTGGGCTTCTTCGAGACTGAAATGGCAGGTGAGTCTCTCTGGGCTGTGCCCCTGGGAATAAGGACTAATTTTTTTTTTTCTTTAAAATTGTCCTTTTGGTATTTTAATTTTTCCTTTGTAAATGTAGAAATTTCCAAGCTATGGCAAATGGCAGGTAAGTCATTGTCTAACCTCCAAATATAATTAGTGAAGGCCTTGGGAAGCACCCTTGGGAACGTGTGTGTGTTGCCAGGCCCTCAGGGCTTCCGTCTGGGGTGCCCAGGGCCCTCATCCTCCCACAGAGGAGTGCAGGCCCGGGCACTAAATGACCATGAGTTTGAAACTCAGGTCTACCACTCGGCTCCTGTCTGGAGGTCACCCCAAGCCTGTGCGTGTTGCTTGCTTGCAGTTATCTATCTATCTATCTATCTTCATTATGAAACAGTTCCTGTCCATTTTAGGAGATTAGAAGACTCAGAATAACAATAATGAAATAGACACTTCCCCATATTTCTATTACCAAACAACAGTGAGCTCGTGTTCAGACAGAGGTTGACCGAGTAGGTTACATTGTCCTCTCCAAGGTGGGAGGTAGACGTGACCAAAGACTCTGGTGAGAGATTCTAGACACTTGGGTTACTCTGGTGAAGTGGGCAGGCAGATGCCTTGGGCCTCGTGAGGACAACAAAGGTAGATGCGACCTCCACTCGTGCCCTACCTTCCTGGCCCACTTTTAGGCAGGTGCAGCCGGCCATAGCAAGGCTGCTTCAGCATCAGCCTGGCTGCCGGTGCTTGGTTCCCTGTGGAGCAGCTGGAGGACTGTGAATCAGTCACTGGAAGTGTCCACTGCATTAGACACACAGTGGATCGGGCCCGAATGAGTGGAGGCTGAGTGCTGGCACAGGGCATTGCTCAGTGGAGCGCTCCGCACTCTCCTTGGACACTAAACTGTGATACAAGTCGGCAGGAAACATGGGCACTATTGCCAGCTGCCAGCTTTCCAAAGAAGCCGGGCCTAGGGAGTCTGCCCGCCCTCCAGAGCCTGACCTGCCTGGGTCTTAGAGGTCAGTAGCGCATGGCAAAGCTCCTGCGCAGGGGGCCAGATATTTATTTACAGAGCCCAGCTCCTGACCAGTGCTACTCAGTTCTGGTCCCAGCAGTGCCTGCCTGATCCCTGTGTGGTGCCAAAGTCGCATCAGCAAGGTGCCTGAGACAGGACTGGCTTCAGAGTGGTGGTGATGTCCTTTGACAGTGTGCGGTTACTGGTGGTGGCCTCAACAGTAGTTCCTGCCACCCTCTTGTGTCACACTGAACATGAGGTCCTTTCCTCTGTAAGAGGTGAGACCTGAACACACTGACGTGAGCTATGTTTGTTTGTAATTTTGGTGTTAGGCTGCAGTCTCAGTTTCAGGGGAGGTGAGTGGGAGGATCTGAGTCTCAGATAAGATGGGCTCGAGCTTCCTGAGTTTCTTGGGAGTCCCCTCCCAATTCTCAGTCTTCAACCTCTCTCCACGGCCTTTACCTTTCTTTCCTTGGTAGATTAAGCTTGAGATAGCCTGTTCTATTTTATTCTTGGCCTCTGCCAGCTTTTCTCAGAACTTGCACGCTCTGCAGCTTGCATCAGGACTTTTGCAGAGAGGCTGTGCCGTGCCTTGTGCGTTGCTGAGCAGCATCCCAGCCCCCTGGCTCCATGCTCTCAGAGAAACACAGCTGTCTCCGGGCATGGCCAGATGTCCTCAGCGGGGCGGAGCTGCCGGTGATGAGAGGTGATGGCCCATGCTGTACCTTTAGCTTCACCTGAAGCTTTCCTCTGTCTGTCTCTGAGGGAGGCGAGGTGTGGAATAGCGCTGTGGAGGGGAGTCCTGTGTACCAGCTCTAAGCTCCCCTTTCTGGGGTTTGAGTCCAGAGACCAGTTGTCCTCACTGCCCAGTTTAGGTTGTTGGGGTTTTTCTATTTGTTTTATTTTAGGTTTTGTTTCATTTAGTTTCATTTTTTACTGATACAGGTTTGCAAGTAGCTTGTGGTTTTGCGTGTCCCTCTAAACACCTGCCTCTCACATGTTGCACCCTCAGCAAATGAGCCATTTGTGATGTCTTCGTTGTGATTCTCACCGCTCCTGACGGTGCGGTCGCCTGGCTGAAAGGGGCTGCGTATTCCTTGTGGGGTGCGGCACCTCTCACCCAGACCGGCAAAGCCTGCTGATGCTCCTGTTTCTCTGTCTTCCAGCATACAGGCTCTACACCGTGGTGCCTCGCCTGGTCAAGTTTGTCGACATCTTGACCAATTGGTACGTCAGGATGAACCGCCGGAGACTAAAGGTAAGTGCTGGCAGGAGAGCACCACTGTGTGAAGCGTGAGTGCTGAACAGGGGACCGCGAGGGCAGAGAGCATTGTCAGGAGTGTTCAGCTCTTCAAACTGCCTGTTTTTCCTTTGACATTATGTGTTGGCTTTGTTGAGAGATGAGGTATGTCAGGGTGTGAGCATCCCTGTGCACACAGGGTCACACTGGGCGGACCTAGGTCAGTGGTGGGATGGCTAGGATTGTGAGGGCAGCCCCTCTTTGCCTCCCCCACAGACAGGCCTTTATTTATCAGGCATTGGCTGTGGGCAGAGCTCGTCCTTGGCTGCTGGGGTTTAGAGCGAGCAGAGCTTGGACCCTGGTCCCAGGGCTTGCACAGTGTGCAGAAATAGCAAAAGGACCATGTGGTGAGTGACAGTGCTGTCGCTGCAGGTCAGGTGGAGGCTGCCACCACCTAGTGGCCCTTGTAAAGCTTGTTAGTAATGAAAGCCTGTGAAGTAACTGTAATTCAACACTGCTTCAAGTGTAAACATGTTTATACATGCCTGTAGTATATCTGGAGGAGATGGTAAAACATTTTATTGTGCTTTTTGAGTAAGCTAATTATGGTTAGATTTTCTATTTTAATTATCTTTAGGTTTTTCCTACAATGATTTCTTTAAAAAACATAGTGTAAGCCAGGTGTGATGGTCTAAGCTTATAATCTCAGCAGGCTGGGAGGCTGAGGCAGGCTAATCACAAATTCAGGCCCACCTGGACTGTTTAATAAGACTTTCTCAAAATTATGTTTTGTTTGTTTTGTTTTAAGAGATGGGGATGTAACTCAACACAAAGGCTCTGGGTTCAATCCCTAGTCTGACCACAGCGGGAGAAAAACCACAAATATATAGTTTAACTATAAGAAATCTTAAAGGTAGTTTAGAATTTTTCATTAGTAGCATGCGTTTGTATGAAATGCGTTCTACCTTCCACCTTCAGGGACCCTGTCTGCCTGCATCTCCCAGTGCCCGAGCCACTTCTCGTCTGCCTGGCCTCTCAGGGCCATGGCCGAGAGACGGTGGATACACAGGCCGTCCTCATCTCCTTGGCCTTTCTGCGTGCTGTGTGCTCTCTGTGTATTTCCTCTTTTTAATAAATGTTTTACTTTTTATGATAAACAGCTTTTTCACTGTTATAAAATGTACTGTTGTTTCTTTGTTATCCCCTAGGGTGAAAGCGGGATGGAGGATTGCGTGATGGCCCTGGAGACTTTGTTTAGTGTCCTACTTTCTCTGTGCAGACTGATGGTAAGATGCTTGGCATGTACAACTCTGGCCTGTGCTCTTCCACTTGCATCTGTTTGACAGACCAGGCTGCCCTGAGTTTCCAGCTAAAGCAGCTCCTCTCTCCGGGTCCTACTGCGAGCTCTGCCAGCTCCCATGTTCCCTGAGGCTCAGCAGCACTATATTTCTGTACCCCTGGGGCACAGCAGAGGTCAGTGTCCTGTGTCTGGATGAGGAGTGGTGGCTGGAGCTAAGGCCCAGGTCTTAGTGTGGATGCTCAGGTCTGTAGCCAGGAGGCTCCTGAACAGCTGTGTCACAGACATTCTCACCTTGGCATGGGGGTGACACTGTGCAAGTGCCGAGTGTTCTCACCAGTCACAGTATTAGTTACCTGGTTTGCGGTGAGAAGGTGCCTTCGGTTCATCTTATGACAGTTACAAGAGGAGGTGCTGGCTTCCGCCGCCTCCTGTGCCTGCTGCCTGCCACCCCAGCCATGCCCACCTGCATCCAGTGATGTGAGTGGTGCCCTCCCCAACCCAGGTGAGGTTCCTAGGGTTCAGCACAGCTCGTCCTCTGCAGATGGCCCTGGCTGGTGCTCGGTCAGGGGCTCCTGTTCATCCTCCAGGAGTTGAGGGATAATTAGGGTCCTGCTGGTTATACCCCCCACTGCCGTGCTTCATGGTGAGGTCACTTTTCTTTCCTAGGGCACTTTTGTAATCTCATGCCTGTGTCTGTGTGTCATCCTCCAAAATGCTTAGTATTGTGTCCCAGCATAAACGAAGTAGATGATGGCCGTATGTGACGTGATGTCCTGTGTCCTCACACAGGCCCCTTACACACCGTTTCTCACCGAGCTAATGTACCAGAATCTGAAGACGCTGATCAATCCCACTTCTGTCCAAGACAAGGATACACTCAGCATCCACTACCTCATGCTACCTCGCGTTCGGTAGGAATCAAGCCTCACAGAGAAGGGAAGGGGCTGCCAGAGCATGAAGGCCAGCCTCTCGGGGAAGGTGTGGTGACAGCCCGCCCTTCCCACCCCGCCCCTCTGTGGAACTGGGGATGACTCCCCAGAGGGACAGCTGAGGTGCGGTGGGGCCCATCGTCACCTCTGGGCAGGCCAGGTTCCTCCTTCAGGAGCTAGTCCAGGAAGCTTAGCCACCCCACTGTGCCTTTAGCCAACCATCGTCCTCACTTAAGCCTGTTTCTCCCCCTTTAAATCTTTCATATTTTTCTCATATTTCTTCCTCTGCCAATCAGAGAGGACTTAATTGACAAGAAAACTGAGAATGCAGTGTCCAGGATGCAGTCTGTCATTGAACTTGGCCGAGTGATCCGAGACCGAAAAACTATTCCCGTAAAGGTTTGACATTTTATTTGGATTTTATATGGCATGCAGACCTGAAAATTATGTATTGGGTTAGCTTTCTCAATGTAGAGTTTCCACCAGTGCCATAATTCAGTCTTCCTTTGTGCAGTAAGGGTATGAATAACTTGGCATTAGTTTAGCATACTCAAAGATTCAGGAAAACATTTAATGTTTCATTTTTCTGCCATATTAAAAGAAGGGCTACTTTGTAAACTTTTATTTTTCATTTCCTCCTAGTATCCTTTGAAGGAAATTGTGGTTATCCATCAAGATCCTGAAGCTCTGAATGATATCAGGTCCTTGGAGAAGTACATCCTTGAGGTAAGGTAGAGGATTTGTCTGTTTCTAGGAAGTCTTTTCATTTGAGAAAATTGTTTATATTTTCCCCAAAGTGCTTCCTTATAATGAACAGCAGACCTTTTTTCTTCCAATAATGCAAGCAGCAGGTGACCACGCACTGGCTGAAGGGGTAGCACAGCTGGTGCCCAGTAAAAGCTGGGCTCTTCTCTATCTTGTCTGTCCCTGGAGTCTCCCTCCCCTCTGGAGGATGCTCCTTGGATTTTACACATAGATACACTTGTATGTGCACATGCTCATGTGTGTGCATGCTTCATGGTTTGTACATATTAAGAGAATGCACATAATCTTTAATTTTGTATTCTAGGGTTTTTTGTTGTTGTTGTTGTTTTTTGTTTTTTGATAGACCTAGGAATTGAACTATAGCCTTTCACACTGAGCTACTTTCCTAGTTTTCTTTGTTTGTTTTCCTTTGTTTGAGTTTTTTAGACAGTTTTATAAAATCCAAATTGCCCAGGCTGGACTTGAACTTGTATCCTTCTGCCTCGTCCTCCTGGAGTACTGGGATTACACCCATGCCTCTAGTATGTACTTCTAATAACTACATGGTATTTGTTCCCTTGCTTCATAATTTAACTTTTCTCTTACTGTTAGAAATGTGTAGGTTTCTCTTTACACAAACAAAAGATGTGTGTCGTCTATCCCTGTGTGTACTGCACCATATAGATGTTGGGTACATTTTAAAAAGAGGGTTTGGGGATCAGAAATTTAAACTACAATTCATTTCTCCCAAAGAGCTTTTTCCCATGCAATATTAGGAATATTGATAAAAATAACTTCAAATAAAAGAAAGCTATATTAAAAACAAATACAGGCCTGGTGGTGTAGCTTGGTAGAGTGCCTAGCATTCTAGGTAGATGTGGTATGACAGGGCTGTATGCCTGGCCCGGTGGTGGTGATAGAGCTGTTTGTATCACTGAAGGCTCTAGAAGGTTTGCCATCACTACCCTAGTCTGTTGTAAATGTTTTAAATTTCTGGTTTTTTGCAAGCAATATTTAAATAGCAATTTACCATAGAAAAGAGTTTCTGAATTTGGTTTTGCATTGCTTGAGAATTCCAGATAAATATTAAAAGCCAAGAAGTTAAAATTGTGAAACTATGCTGATAGTCCTAAAATAGAATTTTTATTAAAAAATCTTGATTGCATCTGAAATGAATAGAGCTAAACATGATGGCAACACTCGGTTCCCTGTTATTGGTCCCCATCTGTAGAGTGGTGTCTGGTTTCCATATCTCCTGCTCTAAAAGCATCCCATGCAGCAGTGGTAATCGGCAACAGAGGAGTGCAGTACTGCGCTTACCTGCACCTTCCTGGTAACTCACGGTTAATCATTCTGTTCTGAACCTGAGTTTGTTACTTAACTCTGAGGGAAGAGTTTATATCTCTTTTCATTGTGCTCAACCATCTTGATTAACCTTAACAGAAAGCTTTTTACACCCACGGTCCATCTCAGGGCTTTTAGGAATAGCCGTTAAGTTTCATTGGCACCTGTTTAGAACAGTTCCTCGTACCTAAAATTCACGTGAGTGGAACTGAGTAATTTGTGATCTTTTGTGCCTGGTTTATTCCACTCAGTATAATGTTCATTCATGTTACAGCATGTTAGTGCTCTTCGTTCCTCTGGGTTGCTAAATAATACTCCATTGTGCAAGTATACTATATTTTAGTGACCCAACGCTTGATGGAGTTTGGGGCTTTTTTCCTTTTTGGTTATTTTACAGAGTGCTGCTGTAGACGTTTACGTGCATATGTTTTCCTGTGGACATGTTTTCACTGCGCAAATTTTTGTTTTCTCTCGGTCACTAACGGTAGGAATTGAATGTTCGGAAAGTTACACTGTCTACCGATAAAAACAAGTATGGTATTCGGCTGCGGGCAGAGCCAGACCACATGGTCCTGGGGAAGCGGCTGAAGGGAGCCTTTAAGGCCGTGATGATGGCCATCAAGCAGCTGAGCAGCGAGCAGCTGGAACAGTTCCAGAAGAGCGGTAAGGTGTCCCTGGTGTGGGTGCCACTTGTGTCCTTGCTCCCAGAGCTGCTTCATATTTAGGATTGTGTTGGGCATTTGCCATCATACCCTTTCTCTAAAATAAAAACTGTTTCCTGTTCACAGAAACAATTACAAGTAATTCTGATGGCTTGGAAAGTAAAATGACCCTAGCCTCCACATGGCCACTGTGACGCTGGGGCACTTCCATCTGCTGTTCACGGGCATCCCTGTGGGGCCAGTGTGGCAGAAGTTGCCAGCCCCTGTCATTTTGGCTGTGGAGCAAGATCAGTTGAACTTGGGGTTTTTCTTTTTTCTACCTTTTTATGTGTTTTGGAGGTTTTCATACTTTTTGTGTTTTCACTTTGCATTATAAATATTTTATGTATTTATACTCAGAAATGCTGTTTCAGTAGTTGGATAATTTATTGTTAGTACTTTTTTGTTTCCAGCCTTTTGTTACTACAATTAATATTGCAGTGAATATTTTTGTGTGGTATTTTGTAGAGTTGATTCTTTTAGCTGCATAGCTGGATAGAAAGCAGTCAGATGGAGGAGTGGCCTTCGGTTACCATGGGTCCTGTAACTGCTAACGTGGGCCTGAACAGTTTGCATTCACAGTGAGAGGACAGCATCTCAGGGTCCATGACCAGGGCATGCTGTTCTCAGGTACTGCTTTCGGAAAGAAAACCTGACTTGGAGGTGGTGGAGTGAAGATGGACTACTCTGAAGGAAGGGTTGCCGTGTTTTTTGAGGCAAGAAAATTAGCATAGAGGTTCAGGACTTCTTGCTAAGGAGAAATGGGTAGAACTTGTTATAGTTTCCCTAAACTGTCTACAATCCATGCCTTGTTGCTCAGTGAGCAAAGCTGAATTTGTTCCTTCATCAAATACTTTTTGTATTCTTTAGAACTCAGTACATCTGTGTATAAGACAGATTTTGTCATTATTTTCATGCTGCTTACATTTGAAGATTCATGGCAATAATTATGGTTTGATAAGTGCCTTGGAAGAAGGGAGTAAATAAGAACCTGTAACGGGACCTCACCCAATTTACTGGGCTAGGAAAGGAACCTCAGAGAGTATTTTGGGGTGCCCTGCATTTGCAGCTCTGTCACAACTAGACTGACCTGTAGCATCCTGCAGCTATCTGAGGACACAAGGTATTTGTTACTAGGGCCCCTGCAGAGCTGAAAATCCTAAGCTGTAGCCATCATGGGCAGAGAAACTGAAGAATGCAGGAATCAAATGAGTGGTTAGAGACTGGGGAGACATCCTTGAGATTTACATAAATGAAGAGAATCAGCTGTTAACCAACTCAACTCAGAATGTTAAATTTTTGGTCAGCCATCATGTCATAAGTCTTGATTTTTTGACCAGGTAGCTACACATCAAAAATTCCTGCAGTGAATCTTACTTGACAGTGAAAATCTGCAGTTTCTAAACTGTAGTTTCTGAAAGGATTTTTCTGCCTTGATGGAAAGCCAGTTTTCTGACCTTGGGAACCTGAGGTCAAAATGACGGCCTACTGCCTGAACGTGAGAGGACACCAGTGACACTGGGCTTTCCCCAGGGGGGAATGCCTTTGGCAGCCAGCAACATCCTCTTCTGAGGTGGCCCTGATGTCCATTTCCGCAGACTGTCCCATACCCTGCAGGCAAGGAGTAGAACACCAGGTCACAACAGCCAGCGACTGGCAGATCGAAGGCAATTTTACCCTCAAAGTTGAGTTTTTCATCTTTTCTTTGCCATGGTTAGATGTGGACTCTTTGGCTCTCAGTGCTTCACTTAGCTTTGGCATGACTTTGAACTGAGAATTTCTGTACAATGGGAGACACTGGTGATAACTTAACTGTCACCAAGGCAGCATGGTGTAGTCTATAAAGAAAGCTTTGCAACCCCTTATATTCACTCAGCAGTGACAGAAGTCGGGGGGAATGTGGTCTTATAGTTTCTGCAGCTCTCCTGCTAGGAAGTTCTCATCCGGGGGGTGCAGCACAGACTGCACGCATCCGGAGGACTGACGGAGTGGGTCCCCCCAGGGAGCATTGTTGTGGAAGGCCATGAGCTCCATGAAGAAGACCTCCGCCTCATGTACACCTTCGACCAGACCTCAGGGGCCACCATGCAGTTTGAAGTTCATTCGGATGCTCAGGTATATATCGGGTTCTTACAAAGAGGGAAGTACATCAGGGATTTTACTTGTGCCTCTCTAAGGTACATTGACAGCTTGTCTCAAGGTAAAATAACCCAGTTACTCATTTCAGAGCTGCTTCATTGAACTTCTCCACTGTAGATCCTAACCTATATGTTTTTTTTAACTGCATGTGTAAGTGAGCATTCTGTGATTCTTTTTTTATTACTATTTTAAACTCTGAATAAGGGGTCCTAAATGTTGAGCTCACAAAAATAAAATAAACCCTGTCAGAAACAGATCAGTTATGGACCTAGGAAAGTAAGCTAAGTCTTAATATTTTGCCTGAGAGGTTGTTGGGTAGAAACAAGTTGGGGAAGCCCCTTTCTCAGATTTGGGGGTGAGGGGTGCAGGGTCATGGCCAAGGCTCTGTAAGAAAAACAAATGTACAGGCTGTTCTGAGGTCAGGATTTTTATCATAATAAAACAGATCTCTTTCTGGTTTCTGACCAGACTTCTCCAAACAGGGAGATCTCTTGTGTGGGACGAGGGACACTGTTGGAATCCCACTGTCCTTAACCTGTTATGTACAGGAGGTTGTAAAGCAGCATCTTGGTAAAAAGAGGGGGGTCTTTTGCTCAGTTAGATATCTACAGACTTCCCCAGGAGCAGTGGCAAGGATTCAAAGGAGACGTCCAGGGAAGAGGTTTGCAGTTAGAGCATTCTGTCTTTCCTGTTCACAGCATAAGTGTAGAGCCTGAGCACTGTTTGCGGTTTTTTTTTTTTTTTTTTTTTTTTTAATTTTATTTAAGGAGAAAAGAAAAAAAAAGCAGGGAAAGGGTACAAGTTATACAGATTTACAGAAAAAAAAATGAACAGTAGGAAATCACTAGTTAATGGATTACATATTGTCATCTTAGAAATAATTGTTCAAGTCACAAAATTAAAGCTTGTAAAGTGGACATTCCATCAATGATACTGCAAACAGTTCTGTTCAATGATCCAGTAAAACCCTGTGATATCATTTTCTATCTTATACACTTAAATATACATGCAGTTATATAGTTTGGAGCACTTTCTTTTCCTCTCTTTTGTACCATGACTATTACACATTTTGGGTTTCATTGCTCCCATGGTTCTTATTACTTTTTTGGAAGAGAGTAAAACCAAATGTGACATAACAGAACAGAATCGGTCAAGTCAAAAGGGTGGATATAATAGATAATGTAAAAACATAATACAAGGTGATCAACAATGGTTACCATAATGCCTCCCGCTATCTCTAATAGAATTGCCTATATCATTAGTTATAATACAATTGAACAGAACAGTAAAGAATAAAACCAACAAAACCAAAACATTGGAGACATTGTAGGTCTTCAAAAGTAGATAAAAGTCAACAAGAATGGGCGTCATAATGAATCTCATTATCTTCACAGCTGATGCCTAAACTTTCGAACCTGATACTATCCAGCAAAACAGAATAGGGGAACATCAGTTAAAAACCAGATGGTGAGAGTAATACAGGGCTTTAAATCAAGGTAATGAAAAGTCAAAGTGGGTTACTATAATATATCCTGCTATTTTTTTCCTTTAATTAAAAGGATAAAGATAAAAAAGTAAATAATGGAGTGGAGATTGAGATAAAAGAGGGCATAACAACAAAACAGCGCAGATCAAAACATAACCATTTAAGCAGAATAGTGTTTCACCACCAGATAATCCTAACCTAAAAGTAGTTACCATATTGTCTCTTTGAAATCCTTGAGTACAACTTCGTATACTGTAGCATTAAGTATATCAAAACAATGTAAAACCATTCAAGAGAATGACAGCTTTACAGAGTATTTAGAATCGACTAACAGAAAATGAACAATGGTTTCTGTATAATCTCCTTGTCTTTAAAAGGTTTTTGCTTATACTATCGTACATAATAAAATCCAATAAGATACAGCCTATTTAGACCATTGGAGACAGAAGGACAAAAGCTAGGTGAGACTTCAAAACAAGATGATACTAAATCAGTATTACCTATTAAGATGTCATTTTCTCCAAAATAGCTGTTCCTATCATCCAATCTTCTCTGTCTCATTTCTGTTGAGCTCTTTTTCCGTCAGTAGCTGTCAGTTTGTCTTCTTCATTTTGTTCTCTGCTCCATTCGTTGTGGCCTCCCCGCCACTATTTCTGGGTTCTTTGTATTTTTCTTTTTTTAGAATATCCTGCAATACTTTCTGTAGGGTTGAATTGGTGGTTGCAAATTCCCCCAGTTCCTCTTTATCCTGGAAGCACCTTGTTTTTCCATCAATTTCCAGGGACAGTTGTGCAGGATATCTCAATCTTGGCTGGAGATTATTATCTTTCAAAGCTTGAATTATTTCCCCCCATGCTCTTCGTGATTTGATGGTTTGTGCACAGAAATCTGCTGTAATTCTGATGGGTGTTCCCTTGTAAGTGGTCTGTTTCTTGTCTCTTACAGCTTTTAATATTCTGTTCTTGTATTGAATTTCTGGAATTTTTATTATTATATGCCTGGGTGTTGCTCTGTTTGGGTTGTAGGTAGCTGGGGTCCTGTATGCCTCATACATCTGAGTATCTTTACCTTTTGCTAAATTAGGAAAATTCTCCTGGATTATTTCTGTGAGTAGCTTTTGTAGTTCACTTGTTTGTGTCCCTACTTCTTCTTTTATGTTCTTAATCCTTAAGTTATGGATCCTCTTATCATCTTCTTGTCTTTGTATTATTGCTGTTTGTTTCTTTGTTATTTTTAAGAAGTTTTTCATTTCATTCTCCCATATTACAAGTCTGCCCTCCAGTTCAGATAGTCTGTCCTTAGTTTCTTTCAAGCTGTTATGCCAGTCTTCTATAGACTTCTTAGTATCTTGGTAATCCCTTTGAACCTGCTTCACGTACTCTATGCTTTCTCTGTTTTCTCCATCAAACAATTCTCCCCTTTTTTTCTGTTCTTCCATTCCACCACCTGTTTTTTCTTGGGTGGTACTTAGCATTTCTCTAACTATTCTGCATACTTCTAGCTTCAGGTCATTGATAACTTCATTCCTGAATTGGTCTATGAGGCTCTCTATATGGTGCCGTATGTGTATTGGTGCGGTGTCTGCTATTGCCTGTTTCTCAGAATTGGGGGCCGAGGAGCCTTTCTTGTTGCTGCCTCTTCCCATGCTGCCTCTTCTTCTCTGTTCCTTATATATGCAAGCTTATATAAGAGGCCCAGCTTCTCTCCCAGTCAGCCACAGCCTGATCAAATTGCGCCAGTTAGGTGTTCCCGCTCACCGCTGCGCACCAGGGAGTTACGGACCAGGCAGCCTTCGCTTCTCCCCTCCCGGCCACCGTCAGGCTCTGGGATCTGGGTTGGGACAGCCTACCAGGTCTGCCGGCAGCGTCACGCAGGCCAGGCACTTTTCACCAAGCCCGCCCGAGAGGGGGATGTGTGGCTGGAGTCGCCACCCGCGCCCTGCTCCTCCTGCAGGACTGCTCGGGCCCAGAAAGTCCTCTGCTGGAGTCAAACTGTGGTAGAGTGTCAGTTTCTCTCACTCACCTCACCACAAGTCAGTGCACACCTCCCTGCCATTCGCAGATTGCCGTTCTCAGAGCTTCTGCGTGTCTCTTTCCTTGCCGAGCCACTGTAGAGGCAGCCAGCCGCAGCGCGGCGGGAAACCAAATCGCGGCTTACAATGGCGCAGGGTCCAGCCTCCACACTGATGCTTTTCTGTTCCTGTTTTAGCACCAGGACTGCATTCCAAGGTGGTTTCTCTCAGCCCAGTTCGTTCCTGAGTCAGCAGAGCATATCTCCACCTGCTTATGTCTTCTTAGTCTGCACCATTCCTGGCTTCTGAGCCAAGTCTTTCAGAGAGCCTCCGGTAGTTGCTGTTATCTGTCCGCCATGTTCTCCCGGGTGTTTGCGGTTTTTTTTAAGAATGAAACCCAGAGTAAAGCCAATCAAAACAAAGCAGTGAAATTGGCACAGAACTTTGAAGCAGGATAACAGGAAATCAGCAATGCATATCACCATAATATCTCTTGTTATCTTCATAATAGTTGTCTATTCCATCAGACATAGTAAATCAAATAAAACACAACAGAATAAAACCAGAACAGAGCATTGAATAAAACAAAACAATAAATCAGAACAAATAAAACTGAGAATACTGGATTTCAAAAACAAGACAAAAGGAAATCCCCACATTTCTTTTTTTGTGTACCGTCATCCTCCTAATAGATGCTCAGACTACTGGCCCCAGGCTTGCAAAGTCAATCAAACAACACTAACAAGTGGAATTTTGGGCTTGTCATGCTTTTCCACTGTCAGGTTTCCTCAGAAGAAAATGAGATAATGCCTAATATATGAGGACCTGGTAGAGGACATTTCATTCTCTAAGGTGCTCTGTAACAGAGGAAGTGATGTTACTGTCTAATGTAACCTACAACGGTCAGATGAGATAGAATAGTTAATAAGGTCAACCAAAGGGTGGGCTTAAATTGTCCTATTTAAAATAACGGGTCCATTCTAAAAGTCTTGAATCATACTAACAAATCAAAAGATCACCGCAGGTCTCAGAGTAAGAAAATTACCTGGAGTTGGCTAATTTGAGGACGCTGGTCCATTGTGGTGGTGTAGAAAGTTTACTGCTCATGCAGGTTTATTAGATGGCTAAAAGAGACTATGAGAGGATGCATGAAAGGGGTGTCTTGTGAAAAATGCTCTTCCAAGAAAAGGCTGTGTCTTTCTACAGAGATGGAGGGTAACTGTGTACCTACATGACCCAGAAACTAAGTTGGGTGTATTTCCTTGCTCAGTAAAATGTCGCATTATGAGTCCGACAGAATGGCATTTTGCCAGCTATGAAGGACGTATCTAAGTGTCTTCATGTGTGCTCACCTTCTGCAGGCCCTGGTCCTCTTAGACATCACCCCTGACCAGTCAATGCTGGATGAAGGTATGGCACGGGAAGTTATCAATCGCATCCAGAAACTTCGCAAGAAGGTCAGTTTGTTGGTTTAAGGGCAAGCTACAACTCAGTGCTTGTTTTGTCTTAGTTGTTGGGGAGGATAGTGAAGGCATGTTAGTCATGGTGATCCATTGTGGTCCACCCAGATTGCACTCTGCAGGAAGACGGGCCCTCAGCCTTGCTACTTGCATGGTCCCAAGCTGCATTTGGCTCTTTGTTTCTCTAAGAGCTTTCAGACAGTCTCTGCACCTTCCCATCTTTTTTTGTTTCCCTCTGGCTTCCACAATGGGGCATATGGTAACCAAGGTGGCAGTGAAGTCAGGGTGAAGGGCTCCTAGCTCAGAAGATAGTCTAGGTCTGGACAGAGTGGAGTCGATTTCCCCATTTGCAGAGCTGAGAAAGGGACACTGAGCCCATTGCCTACAAGGTGCAGGTGAACGGCCCCAGCATTTGAGGTTCAGGAAGCCCTCACTTAATTTTCCAGCAGGTCCTCCTTCCCAGGTATCTGAGAGTGGTGGGCCAGTGTCTGTGGAGGCCGCCCCTGCAGGTGTACAGGTGCTTGTGTGCCCTGTCCCAGCCCAGAGTTTTCTAAGTGGATCCTAGGTCATTTCTCCAGGGCCCAGTTGTGCTATTCCCACGCCCCTGTGCACCCCACCCTCAAGGATGGGCAGTGCGATTGGTCTCATAGACCTGGCCGATGTACAGGCATGCCTTTCCTTAACAAATGAGCTGGGATCACCAGTCTCTCTTTTTTTTTTAATGGTTTGTACTTGAGTGTTTACTTGTTAAAGTTGTGAAAACTGTATGAGTGCATGCTTGCAGCACACAGTTATCTTTGGGTGCGGGTACAAGCACCTAGTACGGCTTTTTTTAAATCGTCTTCTTCCCCTCCCTCTCTCTTCCTCTAATTTGATATGATTAGTCTTAGCTCGTGTCGAGGCTAATAATGTCTGCGGTTATTGGGGTTACTGGGTCCTGGTAGGGAGTCGTCCTTGTTGAACGGTAGCTCACCAGCATGCTTCCCTCTTCACATGTTCTCCATACGTGCATTCAGTATAACCTGGTTCCCACCGATGAGATAACAGTGTATTACAACGCAAAGTCTGAGGAGAGGTATCTGAATAATGTCATCGAAAGCCACACAGAGTTCATATGTGCCACCATAAAGGCTCCCTTGAAACCATACCCAGTTTCTGCAGCAGAAGAAGTCATTATTGAAGAGAAAACACAGGTAAGTTCTGAGATCTGCTGGATCACTGACTGATTTCAGACTCGGTTTTTTAAGCTCACGTAGTTGCATCTTGCTTTTCTGGCCCTCAGGAGAGAGGGGCATGATGCTTAGGCCTGTAGTACTGCTCCGGATAGTACTGGGAGAGGAATCTGGAAGAGGTAAAGGGGAGCAGGCCACTGTGCTCTCACGGCAGCTCTAGGGAGCAGCCAGGAGGGGATGTGAGACTTGCCAGAAGAGATAACATGGTGGTGCGGGCCTATTTTGTGTGAACCTAGAAAAGTGGCGATTGCAGATTTTGGCAGTTACTGTTAATAGCAGCAAGTGGCTTGAACAGCATTTAACTTTCATCAAATGATGCTGCATGCAAGATTACAGTTGCACTTCATGTTATGTCTAGGAGTCTTAAAGGTACTGTGATGGTCTGATACCAAGCCGTGGCATAGACTGGGCTGTAGTTCACAGTTCAAGTCACTGATATAGTGTATCTCTCTCTCCTTGTTTCAGTCATGTTCTTGTCTCATTCCTACTGTATCTGAGTCAGAAAGACAGACAAGGAGGCACTGAAAAGGGCTGTCTTTCCTTTCAGGAGGCCATAATTCACTGTAGTTTCCTTTTCGTTGTACATGTTACTTTTAAGTTAGCATATATTAGAATCAGAAAACTTACATTTTGAAGAGAACAGAAGAGAAAATGGGGTCATAAGTTGCTGTGTTTAACACTGAGAGCTTCTGTTCTTCCCCAGCAGTGTGTGTTCTCGATGAGAGGCGCTTCTAACCCTGTTTTTCTTCCCGCAGTTAAAGGGGTCTGACCTGGAAATTACATTCACCAGAGGGTTTTCCACGCCTGGTCCTGCTTGTGCATATGTCAATGTCAATATCCGTGCAAATGGGCGGGAACAAGGTAAGAGTGAGTGAATTCCATGGCTTATGTGGCATGTTACATACTTCTGGAAGTCTTTACTTTCACAAGGGTGATAAAACTAGATAGCATTATTTTTAATTCTCATCAAAATAAACCCATTAAAGTAAATAAGGTACATGCACTTGGAGGAAGCTGGGGTGGACGGGCTTTCCTTTTCTCCACTGAGGATACTAAGCGCTCTGTAAAATACAAAAACAAATATATGAAAACTCCACAAGGTAGAAGGGAAAAAAAACAGACCAACTAGGAACCTTGAAACCAAGTTCCTTAACAGGGATTAGTTCCCTAGACTTTATTTTTATGTCTCATATATCACAAACTTGGAACTTAAGCTGCCAATTTAGAAATGCCAACAGAAGCCCAACAAAATCCTGCTTTCACTAGAAAAGGACCAGAAAAACCTAGCAAGACAAATACATTTTTGTTCTTCAGTGCTGGGGATTGAACCCATGGCCTTTCACATGCTAAGCAGGTCCTCTACAGTGAGCTGTGTATCCCCAATCCCCCCAAAATATTAGACAATGATGGGTCTGCTCCATACACACCACAGGAAAACGTATGGCAGCCCAGCCCCATGCAAGGGAAGGCCAAGCAAGAAGCTCGGCTGAGCTGTTTCCAGGTTTAGGCTCCTCAGGCTCCACACCTGCAAGGGGGTCTCAGCTTTGCTGACTGGTAATGAACTCTCTGCCCAGTGCTGGCCACATGGACACCTGTACTTCCTTCCCGCTGGGCAGCAGCAGGGCATCCTCCCCTCACTACATGGCAGTAATGAGGTTGTGCACCACAGAGGTGTCATAAAGGCCACATGAGGAATAGGGAGGTGTCAACCTGCCTGGCCAGGGACTATTTGGTGGTGGCCTAGAGGAGAGTGAGCACTCTGCCCTGCCACCCCCAGCAGGACCAAGTAGTCTTGACCTTACTTGAAATGCAAGTTGATCATGCACCTGGACTTCCCACCTGAAGTCACTGGGCTGTGCTTCCCTTTCTCCCACCAGTGTGAAAAGGAATAATCAACAGATGCAAGCACCATGACAAAGGACATTAGAATTGTGTGACGGAATTTACAGCAAGCACAAACATGAAAAATGCAAAGCCTCAGAAAAGAAATAGAAGCTATAAAGAAAAGTCAAACTGGGTGTGGTTGTGCATGTCTATTCCCAGCACTTGGGAGGCTGAGGCAGGAGGATCACCATGAGTTCAAGACCAGCCTGAACTACACAGTGGAACCTTGTCTCTAAATAAATAAATAGGGGCTGGGGATTTAGCTCAGTGGCATAAGCACCTGCCTCGCAAGCACTCGGTCATGAGTTCAACCCCTGGTACCAATTTAAAAAAAAAAAACAGACAAAACTGAATAAATAAACTCACTCAGAAATTTTAGGACTGAAAAGTGCCACTAAAAGTTTAAAACCTCGACGGATGCACTGAGCAGCAAAAGAGAAGCAGAGAAAAGGCTCTGAGCCAAAAACGCAGGTTGCATATTCTTAACAGCAGAGTTGGAAACAGGAATAATTGAGGGCTTAAGGTCAAATAACAGAAAATTAATATTCTTGCCAATGGAGCTGGAAGAAGAGGATAGTGTTGAAAAAGGTATTCAAGGAAATAATGGCAAAAGGTATAGCCCAACAGATTCAGTAAGCTTAATGCTGTGGCCTGAACATTTGTTCTCCTGGCTCACTCCAAGGTCACACGTTAAAATCATGGTGGGCGTGGTGAATGGTAGGGCCTTTGGGGAGTAATTAGGGGATGAAGGATGAAGGCAGAGCCCTCTCAACAAGTAATACTTATGCCAAAATAAAAGATTCCAGGAGCTGATCACCACCTCGGCCATGTGAAGATACAGCAGAGTACAAGCCAGGAAATCTGCTGGCATCCTCACTTTGGGCTCTCAGAATACAAAGCTATGAGAAATTTCTGCTGTTTATAGGCAACATAGCCAGTGGGTCTACTAAGTAAAAGCCAATCTGGGTAAACCAAAACTCACTTTAAAACATATCATAGTCAGACTTCTAGAAAGTGAAAACCAAGACAATATCTTGAAAGCAAAAGGACAATAGTTTTCAAGCACTAAAGGAAAAACACTGTCTATCCAGAATTCTCTGCCAAGGAGAAGTAACCCTTGGTGTGATGGTCGAGGGTATGTTTGCTGACCTTCCCAAGTACTGCTCTGCGCTAAGCCACTGGTAGAGAAACTCTGTGGCCATCCCTGTTCTAGAGGTTAAAGTATGAGTGCTTTTGTTTCACGGCTGGGTTAAAAACACAGGAAGTAACGGACACCACCCCGCACCCGCACTTTCCCTCCCAGGCTGAGCTCATAACTCTGTCACCTTCAGGACCCCACTGAGGTGACAGGCAATGACCTGGCTGGCAAACCCTGGCAGAATGTAAAGTCTGTGTGTCTGTACTATATGTACTCCTGGCTTCTGCGGGCATGTCCACTGATTAAACTAACAATTCTGTTTACAGAGACTGCTTTCTGTATTCTGAGAAAACACTTCATTTATACTGTTTTTAAAGGCCAACGAGGCAGGCCTCTTTTACAGACTATCTGCAGCACATGTAAATGGAGCGCCAGAAAGTATATGTTCTTTCATTCTCAAATGCCAATCATATGTCAGAAATTAAATGATAAAACTTGGAGTTTTTTAAATGATAAGTTACCCAGGTGGATAGCCTACTTTTATTTGTGGGAATATCTTAAGATTTTTTTTTTTAGGCATAAACTTTCAAAGACTTGACACCAAGAGTATTGTCCATAAAAGCGAAAACTGATAAGCTGAATTTCATCAAAATTAGAATGAAAGCAAGCAAAAGACGCTAATCTCCATAAACAACATAACCAACAAAGGACGAATCTAAAATGTGTGAGGATCTTTCCAAATCAACAAAAGAAATACAGTCAACACAGTACAGAGGAACAGACATTTATGAAAGAGAATATGCAGGTGGCAGAAAGGCACATGAAGTGTACTCATCTTTAATAGGGAAATGCAGATTAAAACCACAGTCAGTTTTACTACACAGGTAGCAAAATGACCAAGTGCTGGTAAGAGGACCCAGATCTCACTGCATTTTAACAGTCACAGTGATCGTGTTTATTATAGAGATTGGGTAGCTGTGTTGCCCAGTGTCTTTATCCCTTTACCATTTCCAGGGAAAATTACAAAACAAACACCGATGGGCTATCTAGTGTATATTTGAAAAAGGAAACATATTAAGGCTTGAACACTATGTACCTTGACTGTTCCTAAAATGTAACTTTTTTTAGGCTTTACATTTTTTAAAAAATGTACTTAGCTTAATGTATTTTAATAGCAAACTTACAGGACCAGCACAGAAAGACAACACTGAAAACATGTGCTAGCATGTAGGATGACTCAGAAAAGTACGGTGGGTGGATGGGATCTATTGTATGCTAAAAATGCTACAGACACTATTTAGTTGCCATCAATAAGAAATTTACTTGTTTTTCAAAAATCCAGATGGTAGGCCAGGGAGTTAGCTCAGTGTCCTAAGCACCTGCCTGGCAAATGCAAGGTCGTGAGTTCAATCCCCAGTATAAATAAATACATGCATGCATACATACATCCCAAATGCTACCGTTGTCCAGAAAAATTTAATAGGTTTATTTATAATTGTTACAAAATTAGTTGTTCACAGAAACCTTTGGTAGTCTTTTGTTTTGTTTTGGTACTTAGAATCAAACTCAGCCTCGCACTTGCCAGACAGGTGCCGAGCCACTGATCTGTATCCCCGGCTTCACTGACACATTTTGACTTGCTTTATATTTCCACATTAATATTAAAAATTCACACACAAATGAAAATGAAAAACTGCCGATACCTGGTTTCTGTCCATTTTCCACTTGTAGCCATGTACTTAGGTACCTTTTGACCTCATAGGGAAAAAAAGTACCTAACATTCAGAATTGCCAGTAACAGGAAGGAGAGAAAAATATTTTTGTTGAGCATGACATGTTTCCTGTCCATCACATTGGGCTTTTTAAAGCACATCCTCCACATATGCGGCCTGCTAGCTGGGTATCTTTTGGCATAATTATTTCTCATTTGGTAAGGATGGCACACAGGTTGGTGTCTTCAAGCAGGCCAAGCAGACAGGCCTCCTTTGCCTCCTGCAGAGCCCCAGAAGTGGAGTTCTGGAAGTGCAGATCTGTTTTGAATAATTTCTTGCACCAGACCCTGGAGAGGGAGTTGGGAATCGAGGTTCACTGGACTCCTGATCACCCGATCTCACTGAGCGCCACAGTCCCATCCTGTGGCTACAGGACTTCTTTTCCCCTCCAGTCAAGGGCACGCCCTTATGAGAGCTGCTGCGGCCGTTGCTTCAGGTGCTCTCTACCCTGGGTGGATTTGCAGACAATCATCTTTGTAGCAGCTGTGGGACAGCAGCCACCTTACTTCACCCCTTCCTCCACTGGAGCTTGGCAGCAAGAGGCAGCGCTGGTTGGACAGCGGTGGCGGCGAGGTGACGGCAGCAGAGAACAGTCAGTCACAGCTGCTTTTACTTCTCTGAGTGAGATCTGATTTCTATGGCTGTTTAGGTGGCGTGTTACTTCTGGAAAACCCAAAAGGCGATAATCGGTTGGACCTTCTGAAGCTAAAGAGTGTCGTTAGTAGCGTTTTTGGTGTTGACACTGCAGAGCTGGCCATCTTCCACGGGGACACAGGTATGTGTGAGTGAGGTCAGCTGAGCCCCTTGCCAGCGGTGCACGGTGAGGGCTTTTCCTGATACCTACAGAACCTTTGTGTTTTTCTCAGAGTATCATCTCAGCAAAGCCGCCCCGCAGCGTCTCCTCACTGTGTGGGATATGGCTGAGGACCCTGGAATGAGTGGGTGGCAAACACAGGCTCTGACCCACCGTATTCTGTCAGTTATGATTTCAGAGACCTGTCTGTTGATTTTGGGGGTGATGAGGAACTGGGAATCAAACTCAGGACCTTGGGCTTGCCAGGCAAGCACTGCGCCACTGAGCTGTATCTCTGGCCCTATCTATTGATTCTTAATTTTATTAAACATAGTATCCGAATCTTAGAAATAAATCTAGGCACTGGCATATAATTTTAAAGAATTAAAACTTGCCAACTTTGTTTTCAATGTTTAATTGGTCAAAGTTGAGATACTGATACAAGGAGAATTTTTAAGACGAACTAGGAAAAAATTAACAGGAGGAATGCTTTATCTTTTGAGGTAGGGATACTGTATTACACAATTACTTCACCTCTGCTGTTCCGGGGACTAGTGGCATGGCTCAGAAGTAGCACAAGTACTTAGTGTACACAAAACCTTTAGATGGAACACCTAACGTTAAAAACAAACAAGATTCATACTACTCTATGAATTTCATTAACACCTGGTAGTGTGCTTTTTTTTTTTTTTTTGTCTTTTTCCTTTTTATCAGTACCGGGGATTGAACTCACGACTGCCTGCCTGCAAGGCAGGCACTTATGCCGCTGAGCTAAATCTCTAGCCCCTGGTAGTGTGCTTTGACGAATTCAATGGAAAACATTACTGTGAAAAAAAAAAAAAAAAAGACATGCTATTTTAGTCGTGAGGTAAGGAAAAGTGAATGACTTCAGAATTGTTGTTTTTAGAAATACAAAACCAAACAGATTTGCTGAGTCTCAGCGGAAGGACGCTGTGTGTGACAGCAGGCGCAGCTCCTGCCCCGGCCGGCAGCCCAGGTCCCCTGCTCTGTCGGTACATAAACCTGCAGCTGCTCAACGCAGAGCCCCAAGGTACGGGTGCGTCTTCCTCCCATGAGGGGAGTTGTGTGTGTGTGTGAGTTCAGTGTGTGAGCTGAAGGAGGTCTTTTCACATCCGCTTTAGCAGTGTAAAGTGTGCTAGGTAGGAAGCACCGCATTCATCTGGCAAGGTCAGGAAATGAAATATGCCCGAATAGAAACATAGACAACAGTATATGTACAATTCAATTACTTGCCAGAACACCCATTTTGTAATTTTACCTCACTGTTCTTGAAAAGTGTTCTGAAAATGTAATTTACTTTCATGCCTTAATCACATTGAGTGACACCTGTTTTTTCCCATGAATTCATGATCTTCATGGTACACCTTCTCTTCTGAAGCCCTCGGGTTCCTCACCTGCCTGCACTGAATATTGTTTCCCAATTTGTACAAGTCTGTGTTTCTTGCCCCACCCCAACAGCTGCTGTGAACTGTTTTTTATACACGGTACCTACAGCTGACAAACCTTTCTCCCGTGTCCAGAGCTGCCTGGGAGAAGTGACTCTGCCAGGCAGCTGAGTGCTCGGGAAGTGACCTGGCTTCTGCTTTCCCCACAGAGTGTGTAGTGGGCACAGTGGGCACTCTGCTGTTGGAAAACCCACTGGGGCAGAATGGACTCACCCACCAAGGTCTTTTGCATGAAGCAGCGAAGGTGTTTGGCCTTCGCAGCAGGAAGCTGAAGCTGTTTCTGAATGAGACTCAAACCCAAGGTAAGAGGGTTTGGGGCCATAAGGTTTTACGCCTTTATCGAATTGAAACTTAACGCTGGTGTCATGAACCATGTTTAGACTGTTTTGAGCTATGGTGCTTTTATTTTTCACCAAAAAATCATAGAATAGTTTATTTCTAAGTAATAACTAAAACAGTAATTTTTGCCTTGGAAATAACCTATTATATGGCTGGTCTGGGTAACAGCGTATTTACTGACCCTAAAGTTACTCTTGTCCCAAGGATCAGCATCCTCTCACTGTTGTAGTATACCAGTCTGAAGGGCCCTTACATCTGACTTCATGTCAGGCCCGCAAGTACATGCCTGCAGTCCAGCTTCTTGGGAGGCTGAGGCAGGAGGATCAGGAAATCAAGCCAGCTTGGGCAACTTAATGACACTGTCTCAAAGTAAAAACTAACAAGGACTGAGATACAGGCTGAATGGCATACATAAGGCTTTGCGCTCAATCTCCAGTACCAAAAAAATTAAACATAAGCCAGGTATAGAGGTATTTAACTGTCATCACAGTTATTTGGGAGACTATTTGAGACAGGAGGATCACAAGTTCAAGGGCAGCCCGGGCAACTAAACAAGATACTGTATCAAGCAAAAAGTTTTTAAAAACTTGCGTTCTAGCTCAGTGAGAGGACCTGGGCTCAATCTGCAATACCAAAAAAATAGTAAATAAATCAACACGACAATCATTTACCTCCTTTTTTAAGGTGTGCTCACATGCATTTTCTTACTGCGTCACATGACAGTGTGAACCCTGGACATCCAGGGATCCATCAGTCAGAGTGACTTTGGGACATGTGTGGCAGCAGCACAGTTTCTGGCCTCCAGGGTGTCAGCCTGTTGCATCCTGGCCCTGCCCTCCTGATCCGTAGGGTTTCGCCCACATGTTGACTTTTCCCTTGCAACCCTGTAATCATTGCTCCAAACAGCTTCCCTTTGTGGGATGTTTTGTGGTTGTCACTATTCTTCATTGCACCCCAAC